GCTTCAGGCCAATGCGAGTTCCCAACAACAAGCGCCCGTCCAGCCGCAAAATACCGCCCAGCAGCAGCAAGCCTTATTCCAGGCACAACTGCAACAAACTCAGGCATTATTGAATGGAGCCTCCAATCCATCTCAGCAGCACCAAAATCAGTACCAAAATCAGCACCACCACAATCAGCATCACCACAATCAGCACCAGAACAGTGCTACATCACAGCTCAACGCGTTACAGCAGCAATTACAGGCTCTAAACCAACAGAGCCAGCAAGATCCGCTTCAAGCACTCTTACAGCAACAACAGTCAAACTCGAATCAGTTCGACCCATCCAGTCTATTTACGCAAAACAATACGGATTTCTCTGGATTGAGTGGTGGCTCTGGCTTTTCTGACTTTTCTGGTGGGGGGTCTTCTGACTATGGCTTGTCCGATGCAACCGCATACGCGAACGCCCTTGCTGAAGGGTTTGCTGCTCAAGAAGCTGCAATTTTTTAGTTTATTTATTCATTTGTTCCAGCTGTACTTCGCCACCTCTTGCGTATTTCTTGAGTCATGATGAAGGGCTGTGACATTGAAGCTCGCGACCCCGTGATGTGACCGCTCAAGCTGTTGCTTAATTAGTTGTCTACAAAATTTCTTGTTTCAATCATTATAGTCGTTGCTAGGTCCTGAATCCACAGTTGGCAGAAAGATGGCCAGTGGAATTCGTCGTTCAGCACGCTTTGCAGCTTCCTCAACAGCAACTCCCACAACGAACGCATCGCCAATCTTTAGCGCCAGGACCTCTGTCGTGGCAGAAACTGAAACCCCAAACACGTCCGATGTTGAAGACGAAGACGCGAAGAAACCAGCTGCGAGGTCAACGGGTAGATCCCGAAAACGGGCAGCTGAGAATGAGAGCGACGACGCTGAAGACACTAAAACCGTGAAGCCTCCGCCTGCAAAGAGGCGCGCGGTCGCTAACAGAGCTTACGTTGAGATACCCGCAAAGAATAAAGGCAAGGGGAAAGCAAAGGTAACTCCTTTTGATCTTCTTTGCATGAGTTGAAGGTTCACGGAATAATTTCAAGGCCTTGCCGCCTACTTCGAGGGCCAAGGGGAAGAGGAAGGCCAAAGCGCCTCCATCTGACAATGAAAGCGAGTCGGGGAAAGGACTTGAATATAATGAAAGTCAAGACGAACCTATTGAAGAGTCCGGCGACAGTGGTTCCGAATTTATGGGCTCTGAAGTCGAGGTTGAAGTCGCCCCGTCACGGGTGGAAGAAGACGATGACGATGACTTGTTCAACGCAGACATCAACGCTGCTCTCGAAATGTCTTTACAAATCGATTACTCAAAGTTAACTGGATCATCGTCTTCGAACTTGGAAGGACTCAACCTTGCAGACGCCCGGCGCCGTTGTGCCACTGCAGCCGAAAGTCGTTTCGCCCGTGAAAACAAAGACTTCGACGTTGACGACTATCGAATGGAGTTTGACAGCGATGATAGCAACTCCTCAACTGAAGCGCATCCGTCGCAGTCGAAGAAGAAAGGAAAAGTGGCAATCAAGTCGTCCCTCAAGATGGCTATGACGATGTCTGAACTCCGCCAGAACAAAAGGGAACATCGGAAAACGCTGCTTGCGTCGCGAAGGGCTAACAAGAAAGAAGAGCAGGAAATGATACGAGTGCTCGGTCGCAGACTCACACACGTAAGTTTATATCTGATTTTGTGCTGCATTGCTTCACTTTTGGGGTTTGTATACAGGCAGAAAGGACATCCCTTGCTTTGAAGAGAAATCACCCCGAGCTAAACGATGTTTGGGGAGACCTCGAGGCGAAGATCAAGATCATAGAACCAACCAAGGCTAAGCAACCTGCAAATCTGAAGCTGACTCTTCTTCCTTTCCAATGCGAAAGCTTGTATTGGATGCGAAAGCAGGAGAAAGGTATTTGGCATGGTGGCATGCTCGCGGTGAGTCTGTTGACGAAGTTGCGAAGTCAGTTAGAACTGAATTTGGAACATGCTCGTAGGATGAAATGGGGTGAGGAACCTCCAGATATCCAATGTCATGGCGGTGTGTTGCTTACCTTTTAATGTATAGAATGGGCAAAACGATCCAAATCATCTCTCTTTTCGTTTCGGACGGCAAAAAGCCTAACCTTGTCATTGCGTAAGAGGTTTCCTATATCGTCGAATAACCGCTAAAATACTGCATTGCAGCCCGACGGTTGCTGTCATGCAGTGGAAGAATGAGATCGCTGCGCATACTGAAGGCCTCAAAGTCCTTGTATGGCACGGTTCTTCTCGTGAAAGCAACTGTGAAGAGCTCCAAAAATATGACGTGGTATGTCTATCGAAACTCGTGAATGATCAATCTGACCGTTACAATCTGTTAAAGGTGTTGACGACGTATGCGGTCATGGAAAGGTACGCATATCATTCCAAGTCCCACTTTGGTTGTTAACCTTGGCACTCTTAGTTGTTTTCGAAAACAACAAAGTGGTTTCAAGCGCAAGGGCATGATAATCAAGGAAAAATCTCCAATTCATCAAATTCATTGGAATAGGATTGTTGTAAGTTCTAGTTCCCATAATTTTCGATTGCATTCGTCGACCCCACCCTAGCTTGATGAAGCCCACAACATCAAAGAACGCTCGACCAACACCGCAAAAGCGGCTTTCGAACTCAAGAGCGACTTTAAATGGTGTTTATCTGGCACACCCCTTCAGAACCGTGTTGGGGAGCTTTATAGTCTCATTCGCTTCCTAGGCGGCGACCCCTTCTCCTTCTACTTTTGTGAGGCGTACAGTCAGTTCCAGTTGACCTGACTGACCGTTTTCGGGCAGGTAAGTTATGCGATTGCAAGTCGCTTCACTGGTCGTTCTCCGACAAACGTACATGTGATGGTAGGTCCCCAAACCTGTCGTCATTTAGCTTGGATCTCACAGTTTTCGACAAGACTGTGGTCATAGTCCAATGCAACACGTCAGTTGATTCATTGCCTTTCAATGGAATTTTCAGCTAATATGATTTTTAGACCTGTTTCTGGAACAACGAGATCCTTACACCCATTCAGAAAAGTGGGATGAGCGGACCAGGGAGACTTGCCTTCAAGAAACTCAAAATTTTGTTGGATCGCATGATGCTCCGCAGAACCAAGGTTTTCGAGACAACGTTCCATCCTATTCGGCATCTCACACCATGATTATCTAGTTACAAAAAGCTGATGACCTTGGGTTACCTCCGCGGACGGTGATTGTTCGGCGAGATTACTTCAGCCCCGAAGAGAAAGAACTCTACCTGTCACTGTTTTCCGACGCAAAAAGACAATTTACAACGTATCTTGACGCAGGCACTGTTCTCAACAGTAAGCCATCTCCTATCATCTTTTCACAATTGAACAATTCTCCCAGATTACTCCAATATCTTCAGTCTGTGAGTAACTTGACATACGTCACCCAGTAACTTCTCAATCTTTCCAGGCTCACCCGCATGAGGCAAATGGCATGTCATCCTGACTTGGTCCTTCGGAGCAAAACAAACGCTACGCAGTTCGTCGCGGACGCGGACGAAGCAACCGTCTGTCGCATTTGCAGCGACGTGGCAGAGGATGCGATCCAGTCCAGATGCCGGCACATCTTTGACCGTGAATGTATCAAGCAATATCTCGAGGCGTCGCCTGAAGAACAGGTACATTTTGTCACTCGTCGACTATGTACCCTATGTCTGACTGAAAACAGCCTGCGTGTCCTGTATGCCATCTTCCACTCACGATCGACTTGGAAGCGCCAGCCCTTGAACTCGAAGAGAACCTTCCTAACGCACGCCAAGGCATCCTTGGACGCCTGAATCTCGAAACTTGGCGGTCTTCCTCGAAGATTGAGGCCTTGGTAGAAGAACTGAGCAACTTGCGAATGCAAGACGCCACGACCAAGAGCATTGTTTTCAGCCAATTCGTCAACTTTCTGGATCTAATCGCGTTTAGGTTGCAAAAGGCTGGGTTTACCGTGCGTCATTTTCAAAGGCTGCTCCACTTTCGCTCATTTTTCCTGGATATAGCTCTGCCGTCTGGAAGGTACCATGACTCCTCAAGCGCGCGATGCAACAATCAAACACTTTAGTATGTTTCTTACTCGTTAGATATACTTGAGTTTAACCTGACGTCCCCAGTGAATAATGTCGATGTTACCGTATTTCTTGTCAGTTTGAAGGCAGGAGGTGTTGCTTTGAACTTGACTGAGGCGTCTCGCGTGTACCTTATGGACAGTTGGTGGAATCCCGCGGTAAGTCTAATTGCGGATCCACAATATGTTCATTTCTAATGTCTCATTTTTAGGTCGAATATCGTGAGCATACGCCTTTTTAAATGCATGCGTACTCATACGATCACAGAGGCGATGGATCGAATTCATCGCCTTGGACAACGTCGTCCAGTCCAAGCCATCAAGCTTGTCGTCGAAGACAGCATCGAAAGCCGTATAGTCCAGGTAAGCATTTGCCGCCCTACGTTGGTCTTGAGCGTCAACGAAAATGCTGCTTATAGCTTCAAGAAAAGAAGAGCGCCATGGTAGATGCAACCTTGTCCACTGATGAGTCGGTAAGTTCAAAATCACAATCTACGTCGACCTCAAACACCGCTTAACGATTAACACTTTCCAGGCTATGGGCAGGCTTACTCCAGAAGATGTAAGTGCATCACATCTTCATTGTAATTCGCACATTTTTAACCCCTGCGCCATAGCTTGGATTCTTGTTTAGAGTGAGTCCCCTGAGTTTCAAAATCGCTTCACTGCACTGCATGGGCCTAATTCCTTGTTACTTAGTTATGAAGGCTGTATGTCCGGAGTATGTTTTTTGAATATGGTTGGTGATGCGTAGTTGTAGTGAATTATCTGATAAGATACATACTGTAGCATATGATAATTGCAATGGCCGGGTTCGTTATTTACCGCCACCACCCCTCTCCAAGGATATTTATCCAACGAAGGTCCTCCGTCGTGTCATCCATTTCAAACTCCCATGGCTTCGAAGACCTTCAAAGAGTACACCTTGGATGAGATAGCTCTAGTTCGTCGTCACGTTTGCCTAAACATAACCAGCCCCTAACGCCATTCCAGCACAACAAGGAAGGCGATGTTGTCAGTATTTAGTATTCGGAGTCAGTTTGAAGCTCACTGAGGACCTCACCTTAGTGGATTATCATAGACTCGAAGGTGTATGACGTATCCAAATTTGCCAACTTGCATCCCGGTGGTCCTAACGTGTTTTTCGCGGATGGTGTTGGTACATTGCTTTCGCTCCATCGTGCATCACGCCGTTCTAATTCCCTCTAAAAGCTGGAAAGGACTCCACGCAAGTGTTCTTCGGGCTTCACCGCCACGAGGTGCTCCTTAAGCCTCAATATGCTCGTCTTCAAATCGGCAAAGTGCAGGGCCAGGAAGAAACTATCAAAGCACCCCAACCTGGAGAACTTAGCCGAGTCCCTTACGCTGAGCCAACATGGCTGACTAGCGGCTATTATAGTCCTTACTACTCTGAGAACCATAGGAAGTTCCAAACGGCCGTACGCACGTTCTTCACCACCGTTGTGCAACCCGAAGCAGTCAAATGCGAAGATAGCGGCAAGCGGATACCTCAAGAGGTGGTGGATAAGATGAGGTGACTGCTTACTTTACAAAAAAAGCTCTCCGCACTTTCTCAAAACCACAACAGCGAAACTAATATTATTGCAATGCGTCTGGGACCAGGAAAACATCTCCAGGGCCGTAGCTTAATGGGTGGACTTGTAAAACCAGAGGAATTCGATTACTTCCATGAGGTACATTTTATCGTTTAGTGTTGGGTTCTCTTGCTCAACTTCTACCCAGTCCATCATTCACGCTGAGTTGGCACGCGTCAGCAGCAGAGCTGTCGTAGATGGATTGCTGGCCGGTCTTGTAATCGGTCTTCCGCCCATCCTGAATTACGGTTCACCAGAACTCCAAGCCAAAGTTGTCCCTGATGTATGATGCCTCCCTCGTCAGTGGTGACGAACCTGGTCAACTCATTTAGATGTACAGGCACTGGCAGGGAAGAAGTACATTGCACTGGCAATCAGTGAAGCTTTTGCTGGAAGTGATGTTGGCGGGCTCCAAACGACTGCTGTCCGGGATGGAGACTACTGGGTTGTGACGGGGACGAAGAAGTACAGCAATGCCTTCTCACAAAACAATTTTACTCAAGTTGAAATAGATGGATTACCAACGGAACTTTCGCAGACTACTTCACAACTGGGTGTAAAACGGACGTTCGTCAACCTTTTCATATCTTTTCATGTCTGAGATTTCTGAATGCCCATCCAGACAGGATTTACGGTTATCCTCATTGAGCGTGGACCAGGCGTCTCAACGAAACAAATCAAAACTGCATACTCCTCCGTTGCCGGAACAGCGTATGTTACCTTTGACAAGGTTAGCCCCCTGTTTTGCGTTTCTCTAACTCAGCAAACACGGAAACCTTTGAGGTACGCGTCCCGGTGGGGAACACTCTGGGCAAGGTTGGTGCCGGAATGTCTGTCATCCTCAGCAATTTCAACCATGAACGTTGGATGGTCTGCGCTACGTCGCTTTCTGCCCAGCGTCTGATCGTTGAGGAGTGCTTGAAGCGAGTTAGTTCCATCGTAACTCATTCACCTCATGCTTATATTTCTCCCTGCAAAGATGGTCAACGCAACGTATTGTGTTCGGGAAACCTTTGACTTCCCTCGCTGTGATCAGATCGAAGCTGGCCGCCATGATCTCTCGAGTGGAAGGCTGTCAGAACTGGTTTGAGTCCATTACACATCAAATGAACAACGTTTGCACGATTTGATTCTATCTATCACATCGACAATGCTGACAGGCCCATGTGCAGATGACCTACAGCCAACAATCTGACAAACTCGCGGGTCCCATTGGCTTACTCAAACAGTGGGTCCCTCTCTCTTGGTTCTTTGGTCAGCTCATCATCGATTTTATCAAGGTACATCTCAAGATCAGGGCGCGAAACGGCAGAAGGTGCCATCCCTCGATTTACGAACTGCTCCATAGTACTCATCTAAATCCTGTAGATGCCACTCAAGTATTTGGCGGCCGAGCATTGACGGTTACTGGGATGGGTAAATTGGTTGAAAACGTACGTACCACGTTTCCCTTGACGACCCCATATGATACTCAACTCATATTGCCCGTTAGTATCACAGAACCTCAGGCTTCGATGCCAGTAAGACCATTTCATTGTTTCCTTCTATCGCGTATTGATCGTAATGCTACATTCAGTCCTTGCTGGTGCCGAAGATGTGTTGGGAGATTTGGGTGTACGGCAAGCGCTGAAAAAGATGCCTCGCGACTCACGGTTATAACATCGTCCACATCTTTAATTTCGCCTACATACATGAAATCAAGTGGATTCACACCCGGCGAAACTCCACATCTCTCACTTATATACATGCACTTAACTGGATTGTGTCCGTCAAAACTGAGAGTCTCAAGGGCGCCTCTTAAGCCATCACCAGAAAGGCCACAAACGTGACAATCCCACTCAACAAAGCCCCAGCCACTCCTCGTAGGCCTGCTTTCGCCCCGCTGGTCTGGCTCGATGAGGGCGATGGTATACTGGTGGCCAGACTCGTGACCATGATCTGTGAGGATGGGGTTGTGACGGGAGAGGACAACGTCGCAGTCAATGATGTGATGACTGTCTGCTGTCTGGTGCTCGATGACGAGGTCGATGATGATGATCCAGGAAAAGTGAGCTCAGGAAGGGTAACCCCATTTGCAGCACATAGTTGGACAATTGCTGCGGGTAAACGATTTGTGGTTCCACTCAATAAAAATGCACGTTCAATACGCACTGTCTAATTCTTGCTGTTCCTGCGTGTAATCTGTCGTATTTGTCGCTGTACCGACGCATACGAAACAATCGTATATGCCCGATTCGAAAGAGGTCGTGCAATAACACTGGGACGGCGTACAGCCCTATCAGATAGGACGTTAGAACCCAGTGATTCGTGAATTTCTTCTAAAAGCGTTGTACTTACAGACTCTAGCACGGTGTTGACCGGGTCACATACTGATTCGCATTGGCTGGGGACACTGGGTACTGTGGAGGTCTGCCGTGCCTCCAAACTTGGGATGCGAAGAGCGAGATCACTTTGTTTAGCAATGGCCAGATGGTAACATCCAAGCAAAGAGTAGAAGAGCGAGATCCATTGCAACATATGCATGTTGAAGAATGTCTACACTCGTTTTCAAGGTCAAAATGGATAGTACCGGTCAGTACGTCAGTGCGGCGAGGAAGGAAGCACAGCACATGGCGGCCACGGAACGCCTGCACCAAATTTAACCGTGATGCATTGGTTCATAGCGCCGGATGAGAAAGAATTTGGATGCGAGTCCCCAGGAGTCCCCCTTGCATACGAGATGGGAACACCATCGGAACAAAAATATTAAGAAAACCCTGGAAAAGTGGGCAAGCTCGCACGGAGCGTTCAAAGAGTTTGCAAAGCTTACGAAACCGGGAGCAATCAAGGAGTAATCCAGTTTCAACTTTCACTGCGGAACAAAAATATGATGAAAACCCTGGCCTTGCCCTGGCCCAAAAAGTGCACATCTTTGCTTCTGAACACCCTTAGAATGACCTAATTTTATTCTCATTGCTGCCCACGTCCTTTGAATTGAAACAACATGCATAATTACCGCTGTTCTGTCATCTTCGCCTGTCGGATTTAACCAGAAAAGAGAGAAACACTCAGCTGGGACATATAATTAGACCAACAAAATACGACCACCAGTTGAGCAGGCTATCTTCTTGGAGTCGGACCGATGACATTGTTGAGCACAGGACACGAACACAGAACTGGCATGTAAATTTTTTTGTTGATTACCTCTCATTCTAATGATATCAAATTGAAAAAGATCTCAGTAAGTTGGATCAGCGAAGACAACCACGAAAGACGTACATCCTATTATAACTTGACACATACGTTTGACCTCCGACACTAATTCCCTCATCTTTCGCTCTCCTTCAACTTCTAGCAATTCATAATTCCACCGAGAAGCCGGAGCGACATCTGTCACAAAAGTTGGATGGCGGGGAGTGGAAGGCGGTGAGAGGGCATTGGTCTCTTTATCGTACTCGTACACGGAAAAGCGCGTGCCCATCGCACTGATGGCGTACAATTTAGGCACAACAAGATTTCGGCCAATGAGGCTTTCAAAAGTGTTGCGCATCTGCTGGTCTGCTTTGGATCGGGTGAAACTCTCGTGGAAATGAGGGAAAGGCTTGATTTCAAAATATAGGACACTGCCATCTTCGAACGATGAATATCGTTGTAAAGTCGATAGAACCAGGCGCTACCGGTCCCTTGTACTGAGGCATCACCTCATAATGCTCGGTGTGGGGAAAAAGATCCGTAAGGAGGGTGTTGTATGGCCCATAATATTCAGATTCGTCTGTAGTGAAACGAGTAACAGACTCAAACTGCTCTAGGATCGTATCAATCCAAGGCATAACTGGTAACATCAAGTGATTTTAGTAGACGGAAAACAAACGGCCAATCACTTACATGCTCGTAGGGGTTGTGGGCAGGCTACTACATTAATGTCGACCTTGGGCGGGAATTGTGATGATCTTGACAAACACTAAACAACATATGTGCGAGACCGAACCATGGACTCGATTCATGATCGATGGATGAGGGAGGCATTGACCATGGTAAGTGTCAAGGCATCATTTTAAAATGGATTTTGAATTTCTTCGTCAATAGGCGGAGGAGGCCTTGGCTGCATCCGAGGTCCCTGTGGGGTGCGTGTTTGTCAGAGACGGTATCATTATCGCAAAAGCACGGAATCGCACAAATGAGCTCTGCAACGTATGACCTCAAATCGCTTGTGCTTTTTCGCGATTGAAGAACTCCTCAAAGGCCACGAGACATGCAGAATTGGAGGCCATTGATAGCATCATGGCCGATAGATCGTTGACCCCAGAAATATCCGAATATCCCTTGTCAAATACCACCCTCTATGTCACGGTTGAGCCTTGCATCATGTGTGCATCTGCCTTGCGACAAATGGGAATTAAAGAAGTCTTTTATGGGTGCGCTAATGATAGGTTTGGGGGTTGCGGCAGCGTGCTTGGCGTAAATGAACGGTTAGTTCCGTTGTATTTGGGGTGGTTATCACTCATTAACCCATGCAGGCTTCCTCATCCAACGCACCCTTCCTATTCCGCAACAGGTGGATATTACCGTGAGGAAGCTATCATGATGCTTCGTCGTTTCTACATCACCGAAAACACAAATGGTATTTCCAGTTACAAGCTTAGTCCGACATTTTACTCACCCTCCGGTCAAAGCCCCAATTCCCAAGTCGAAAGCTAACCGAGTCCTGAAAACGATTATCTACCCTGATCCCCCAAGGCCGTGAATGGTCGTGCGATTCGAATCAGGCTCATTTTCGTCAATGGCGGAATCTTCTGACGAGTCAACTTATTCGAAATCTCTGGGCTTATTAGATGATGGTCAACATCCAGGGCTGGACGTTGTCGGGGCCCCAACGTTAAAGTATGCCATTGCTAAAAAAAGATGCACAGCGATCGTCCTTATGTAAAAAATGGGGGAAAGGGAAATCGGCCCGTCCCAGGAAGGAACATTAAAAGTTCGCTTGCTCGGTTGAATCTTTCCATACAAGGCCCAACGATTGTGCCACAAAACCCCATTTATCCGCAGCCTCTTGGATTCTGAATATGCAATCAGAAACCTACAAACCAATGTCAAAGAGCATAGGTGCAGTTTACCTTTTTTCAGTCGATTTTCCGGCGCCGTGCCCAGCTTTTTTGTCCACTCGAAGCAGTAAAGGATGAGGGTTGTGGGGTAAAGTGTACTGTAGAGTCGCTGCATGTTTGAATGAATGCATGGGAACGACGCGGTCGTCATCTAAAAGGACATCAGGGTCACCGTGAAAATTGAATGATACTTGAACGTACGATCAGCAGTCAATAGCATGTAAGGGGGTAAAACCTTGTTGGTCGGGACGTTGTGTAACGGTGAAATTGGATAGATGAAGTCGAAGTCGTTGGGATCATCCGGATCGCCATAGTCACTCGTCCAAGCTTTTCCTGGAGCGATGATCTTAGCAAAAACATGCAGTGTAGACAAAGAAATAAATACCTATGGTGAATTTATGAAACTACAAAAAGACTAACGTTAGTACAAAACTAGGACAATGAACAGAGAAAGTGTCACCCTGAGAAGGTCCAGAACACCGACTTCCGCAAGAGCTGCACCGTATGTGCCCTCAGGGGCACGATTCACGCAGGCCGCAACAAGTAAGCCTGAAGAAGAGAAGTTCTCAATGCACGCCGGTTAGTGGAATTGTTGGCCTACCTCCATTCGAACCACCATTAATGGCAACTTTCCCTGGAGCTGCATACTTATTTTTCACCAGATAATCTCTAAGAAACTGTCAGCGATCAATACCAATAACGTCAAGTCAACACACGTTGCTGCGATAAAGTCGTCAAAACAGTTTTTCTGGTAGAAAGTCAGTCCCAAAACAGTCAGTTGGATTTGGAAATCTGAACCTTTTTTTCGCGATAGCCCCCCCTATGCCAATCTTCGCCGAATTCTCCGCCACCCCTGATATTGGGAACGGCTAAAACAGCACCGTACTTTTGCAAGAACGTTAGGATGGTTGGGCTAAAAAAGGGGTCGATGGAGATATTGAAGCCTCCATAGCCTATGTAAAAATGTCAGTGTCGTAGTGAACGCGATGGTTCAAGGTTGTTTACCGTATTGTATTGCCGGGGCAGTGCCGTCGAGTTGAGTAGATTTGTGGCGGACGATAAACATAGGCACCTTGGTGCCGTCTTTGCTTTCGTACCATACCTAATGGGATTGTCAGTGAAGTACTCTGCTTTGGAAATAGAAAAACTAGCTTGGCGAGTGTCAAAGTCACCTGGATTCAAACTGCCGACTTTAACGGAGCGGTAAATGTTCCACCTTTGTTCTTCAGCCGTGGTAAAATCGTACCGGGCGATTGTGCCAGGACTATTAAAACCGCTCATTGTAACGAAAAACCAGGGTTGCTTTTCGCGAGAAGAAACTGAGGCGGCACCGACAAATTCCGGCGCTAAACGAGTGAGCTGCTTTCCATCTCTAGAGTACACATAAATCTCGTCTTTGACCTACCCTGAGTGTCAGGGAGCAAGTGGTAGCATGAATTGCATGAACCTACATTTCGTTTGTAGATGATGGCAAGGTTGTCCTTGTTGACAGAGGATACGTCACTCAAGAATGCATCGGTCTCCGGGATGAGTTCCTTAACCTCATTTTTTTTGGCGAGGTCAATGGTGATAACTTTGTATTTCGAAGCATCCTTGTTTGTCCTAACATAAAGAGTCGATCGGTGATTCGTGATGCTTCGGGACAACGTCAGCAACGGGGTAGCAGCTAAGGGGAAAGAGACGTCGTACACGTCGTATTCAGCATCGAATTCGTCAATTATTTTGTTCCACTTGATGTTTGGTCCAATTCCATCCTCTTTATTATACTCTGCAACCCACAGCAAGTTTTTCTAAGCGTCTGGTAAGCTTTTTGTTGAGAATGATAGTTGACCTGTTTTACTGACCCTTGAAGTATCCTTCATAGTGTAAAAGACTATGTACTCTTTCTTCTCTGTGAAATCAATGCTGAACATCCAAGTCGGGTTCTTCTTGTCTTCGTGAATGAGAATATCCTCTGCTAGAAAGAAGAATGAGACTCAAACTTGGGAACTAATGGAACATAGATACATTGCGGTGTGCCAATGCGATGGTAATAAACCATGGCATCCACGTCGCCTTGAGTTTCTATTGTGGCATTCTCTGTGGTGAGGCCGGCTCGGTCTGGGTAGCGCTGTCACACCGAATGGTATGAATGAATATCCATCAGGTAGATTGTGATAAAATCGTACCTGATAGAAAAACCCCTTGGAATCTGGCGTCCAGGTTATTGAAGAGAATTTAACGAAATGAATTTCTTCGGGAAGTCGGCCCGTATCGTGGCCATTAACCGGTTTTTCTGCGAGGGGAGAGTCTGTCCGTCTGATGTATACAGTAGAAAAGTCGCTTCCCTGCAATAAATTTCAGAAACGGTAGAATGGCGCTAGAGAGTGGTAAATTACAGAGAGGGATACTCCGTATGCCCAATATTCTCCAGACTCAGAAAAAGCATACGTAGAAAGGGCGGCGGTACCATCTTCAGTTAGTAGGTTAGGCTTCGGAGGTGATCAGCCAGTGGTTGGCAATGAGGGAGGCACATCTCTTACATCGAAAAAGATTTCCCCAACTTTGCTATCATCGCTTCCCGACAAGGCGGGCAAATCTTTGCCCTTAGAGCGATACACAACTATATACGCCCATGAGGAAGTGCTCTGAGTGCATGTATGCATAATAATTGCTCACCCGATTGCGCTTGCAGCCCGCTGTTATAAATCCAGTACCAGCGGCCATCTTCACGCAGAGTCGGCGCGCCGAACTAGAAAGAATGATGGGTTCTATCACGTTGACACGCACACCAAAGATTCTGGGTACCTTTGCGTAATCCATGCTAGCCCGGAAGGCGTCCTCCAGCCGCTTCCTATCTACATTTCTGTCGAGAAACTCCCGCGTGAACGCTTCTTGGGAAGAGGTCCATTTGTCCGTTTCCTCCGTATACTCTTCCAACCAGCGATACGGGTCAGCGATGCGAACTTCTCCCTTGGCAGCGCTTTGATAGGTGTCGACATGATCGCAGCGGCGCGCTGGTGGATATTTATTGGAGTTCCACGGTGTTGGAGAAATTGCCATTGAGGAGACGGAGCGGGAAAAGGGACGAAAGACGCGTCGACGAAATGCTTGCAGCAACATGTGCGTTCAAGACATGGCTCCTTATATGGGAAACCACTACTTCCTATCCCTTTTTGGGGTCCAACACGCTTAGCAAACCTCGCCCACTTGGTCATGCGCTGTGAAATTCTCTCTCATTTGGTCCAATCGATGACCGATGTCGACCGATACAGATAACCCTATGGCCGACCGTCAACTGCGTGTATCGTTTCGACAGCTTATTTCTCTCAATACCCGATTGCTGGGCGCCCCAACTGATGAATCTACTCCAAGCCTGGTGGCAAGACAGTCAGGCATTCATGGAACCAAAAGAACTCGTATCGGTTCCAAAACGTTGGTAGCAACGCTATCAACCTTTACCGTCGGCTTGAGAAGGAGCCCTGTTTCAACAAGTATCTCGACTGATTCCGCCTCATGGGTCATGTCAGGGGATAACCTGGGATAACCCGAAACACGCTGCAGGACATATCTCGGCCTCCATCAGGTCAGGGACTCTCATCGAAGTCACCAGGACCTTCAAGATGAAATGAGCCGAATTATTGCAGCGATGTGACCTTGTGAGTTTTTCGCTTGACGATTTTACATGACCATACTAATCGGGGCTCACACAACCGGCCTTTGTGAGAACTAGCTTGGTTTTGAACATTCGTCATTGCAGTGTGCGTCTCATAATTTTTTTCCAAAGACATTCAGTTCGGGACGGTGGACCGTTCTGAGCAAAGGAGCTTGTACTGGAAACAGTACGTTTTCCCGATCTATGTATCTTGCTTTTACAAGTTCTCACGTGGCCTTTCTTCAGTCCCAATCTCATCTTTTTCAGACGTCCTGTCAAATACGACCATCGGGTGTTCCATTGGCTAAGGAATATCCGGCGATCGCGACATACGGTAATAGAACACAGGTCCGCGGTTCTTGTCGTCCTGGTAGAATGTCTCCACCGTCCTCTTGATCGCTTGTGCAGGCCCTTCAAGGGTGTAACACTTCAAAGCTCTCCCCTGACGTGGAATTCTTTCCGCCCTAATAGATGCCATATTGCCGGCGTGAGCTCCTGTTTCTAAAAATATTGTCATTCAGCGACATTCTGCCACTTAAAGCGTCATGTGCGCCGAGCAACAGGCATTTTCCTGCTCTTTCCCTGGTCTCTGCCATTTCATCTTGGCTGCTCCTTCGATCTGCCAGGAACTCTGATCTCGAATCCGGGCACTGATGCGGCAGAATACTCCTCCTAGGTCCCTGGGGATGTATTTTCTGTGACTCTTTGCTTTTACTTATTCGTCTATGTCAAATGATCTTACGACTTGAATGTGGGGTCTGAAGGAGTGAGATACGGGGTGCATTGCTGTGGAGTATCGTTCAGGACTACTTCTGTTCAGGAAATCGGCGGGTGAAAGCTTATAGCTTCAATGACAGACTTACATGAAATGGGGTTTGCATTGGTTCGCCACGTGGAACGGGGAACTCAAGATTGTCCAGTGGGACCCGGATAGAGACGAACTTTTTCAAACGAAATCGAAAAAGAGTCAAGCGATAGGATGGGTCATTCGAGACGGCAGCGCACTGGACAACTCCAGGACTTTTCCGGAGTGCAGGGTCTTCGTTGGTCTTTCCGAGAACATACTTTCTAAAGATTCCGCTTTGAAATTGAGTTATATATGGAACCTGAAGCTTGAAGGTTTGAGCCACCGAGAAATTTCCTGTGGTTGGGACCGGTCCTGAAACGCGAAGTATACCCGTGCAGACCTGCGACTTATGGCGATAACGGTGGTGACTTCTGGCAATAGCCTTTCCAAACAGTGGTATCAGAGTGGGGGGTTACAAAGTACAGACATTCTCTAATCCCTGTCCGCGCGGTTTTGTTTTAAAACCTATCTGGCTTGATTTAAGCATGTGTGTGTGTGATATCAACGGCTCATGCAGTGATCAGGTCGAGGTGCGCATGAGCATCAAACCACCTTCATAAACAGCCCAACCAATAGCCGAGCTCAACACTTTGCGCGACATGCGCAATGAAGCACCGTCGAAATATCCGGTGATACCTCGTTGCTGTCAACGAAAAAAATTAGCACAATGTGACGCCATTAGTTGCGAAAAGCATGCCTTCCAAATAGTAGCAATTGTCGTTAAAAACCCGTGATACTGAGCTTCAGTGCGAACTTGTATCTTGGTCTATGACAGCCAGTTTTGAAAAGGAGGACCAGAGATAAACAAGGAAAGGAATTACCTTTATGACATCGAAAGGATGGGTCGCCATCGTGGCGATAGCACCGGCTGAGGCCGCAGATAAACCATGAATCAACGTAGCCTGAGTACTGGTCACGGGTGGTAGCACGTAAGCTGGGAGAAGAGTAATATTGACACCAAAGACATGGGTGAAAAAAGATGTGTAATGAAAAGCACTTACAAGCTTCATGCTTGATGCCCTCGTAGAAGACAACAAAAAGACCGGCGTACGGCGCATCTCGCAGTGATGATGCCAGAAACCCACGGAGGAGTTCGGAAGGACCCTGACGGACGATGGTACCGAAGGCGCCTGTGAGGCTCTCATACGCATATATGTTGCTCTGGGTGAGTGTCAGGATCGTAATTCTTACAAGAGTGATTACACCTACCTCAAATCGGGCCTTCAAGACAGAGAAAGGGTTTAGCAGGAACCCAACTCCGACACGCGTAGTCGCACCTGCAATGAGATTGCCTTGACTGGTGAGTTTTGGCAGCACAGATGACGTGTTTTTATTCGCATCTCCGTTCTGTGGTCGTCTGCGAAGGGACGCGAAATATGGAGATGTGGCCATCAAAGCTCGAAGCTGGGTCAAACTGGTCATGTAAAGCGCGACTCCTGGGACGTTCCTGACATACGTTCAGTAAACCTAATGCTGAATTTGGAAGAAATACGGAAAGCACACCTAACGAGAGAAGGTGTAGTTCCCCTCCACAACCCACGCCAACCGCCTGAGTGAATGACGTCTCGAGTGATATCAAGAATGATGGATGTATGGGGCCTAAATTAGTTACGCCAATTATTGAGGTCACAAATGCTATGAACAGAAAGAAATACCGTGTCGGTCTCCAAGTCGAGCCATCCCCTTGCTGCAACCGGGTCTTGAGAAGATCGACTGTTGAACGTTGAACGCCTTTAAGTCAATAGCACTCCTCTCGAGAAGAACGAACATGGTTGGAGGCAGACGGTGGTGGCAAGTCCCGATAATCCACCTTGAGGGATGTTATACAAAAGGGACTTTTAAGCTAATTCAAAAACACACCTGAGAGCAATTGCTGTCCAACATTGCTCATTAATAACAAGTATAGGCCGAGAAAGTAAATGAATGACGGAAGGAAGGAAGATTGTGGAGTCACAGACAGCGCTGTGACCTTTGCTTACGACCACGATCATGGAACCAGCCATAGCCGCCATCCCCGCTCAAGCACGTTCAAAACAGCTGCGTGCATGTCTGCTATGCTCAATAATCCAGCTTCCTGTGGACTTCCGCAAGAACGGCTGTCCAAACTGTGAAGACGTTGTTCAGGTGGGGACGAATGAACTCTTCTCAATCATCGTCCGCTGATAGTCTCTCAGATGAAGCACAACCCCGACCGCATTAGTTCATGTACGACAACATACTTTGACGGTGTCATCTCTGTCATTGACCCGGATAAAAGCTGGGTAGCGAGATGGCAGCGCACATGTACGTTCGCCTATATCGTTCCATTGCACGTAATTGACTTGGCCTCAAGCGAAATATGTTCGAGGGATGTACGCCGTGCGTGTTAAAGGTCGCATACCAGAGGACGTCGAGGCGGAGCTTGAGAACCGGGGCCTCAAGTACCGCCCACGCGACCAGACGGACCAGGATTAGATCCTGCGGTACAGGAACATAGTTTATGTACATGTATTTTATTTAGATCACGTGATCCATTGAAGTTCCTTTAACGCGTCGCCGTTGGTTTTTAATTTCAACATAACCGCGCAAATACCCTTTGGACCGGACTGTCACATTCTCCCCGACTTGCGCATAGGTATTAGAGGCCAGCTATTGCTGGTATGAAGCAGCAACCAGCCAGCTTCTTTCCCACAACGGCCTTGGTGAGTCGCCACCATCACTCCACGCCCATGTAAAATGACGAACGCCGCCTGTATTAGGACCATGCGGTCGCTGGTCTCGGGGCAGGAGTTGCTACCACGCTGTGCATGAATCCCCTTGACCTTCTTAAGATCAAGTTCCAGGTCACCACATCGAACCCCAAAGGCGGTCTGGGGAAGCACATCTGGCTCTCATTGAAGGACATTAAACAAACTCAAGGATGGATGGGCTTGTATCGCGGAATCGGACCAAACATCGCCGGGAATGCATCAAGTTGGGGCTTATATTTCCTCTTGTGCGTGAATTATAGCACTACCCCCCGCCGGATATTTACCCACTTTCATCCAGTTATAACATGCTGAAGAAGCGGGCTTCGGGTGGCGATATCGCGAAACCGTTGACAGCAGCAGATTACTTGCTCTGTTCCGCTCAAGCGAGTTCGCACTTCCCATTTTGAACAACCTGGGTGTGTGCGGAAACTAACCTACTTGCAGGTGCTGTAACCGCCGTCATCACCAATCCCTTATGGCTCGTTCGTGTGAGGATGTTCACGACCAGAGTAGACTCTCCAAATGCATACCGTGGTCTATCGGGTGCGTTGAGTCAAAAGTCGCTCGGCAATCAACTTACCTGCATGAGCAGATGGTTTATCACAGATCGTCAGAACGGAAGGCTGGACGGGTCTGTTCCGCGGCACCACCCTTGCCCTCGTTGGCGTCAGCAACGGTGCCATTCAGTTCGTTGCCTATGAAAAGATGAAAAAATGGGGTTTTGACCAAAAACAGAAACAACATGAAAGGGCAGGGAAACAGTATGACGCGGAAACGGAGAAACTCGTCAGTCCTCATGCAGCTGTTTTTTTTCATAGTTCCGAACTTTTCCTTTGCAGTCGAACTTTGCCTACACCGTTATGTCTATCACAAGCAAACTGGCGGCTTTAGCGCTGACATACCCATACCAAGTTGTAAGATCCCGAATCCAGGTAAGATACGCTTGGCCGTTCTGCTTGGGGCAATCTGATTCGATACCTGACCAGGACAACGCTGCGATACACCAATTTCCTAACATCCCGGTAACGATAAAACGCACTTGGTCGCAAGAGGGCATCCGAGGCTTTTACCGTGGGCTGGGAACAAACCTTGTCCGTGTGTTACCTGGGACATGCGTCACGTTCGTTGTGTACGAGAACTTGGCATGGCTACTACGGACAACTGCGGCAAAACGTGTAGCGTCCGAATCATAGCACTTTGGGTCCTACCCGGGATTTATTTAAATTACCCTACATTCGTCTAATGTACTTTTTGCATTTTTTTATTACTAGAAATGTATACTACACCTTGATCTATATCCCCCATCTCTCGATCTACTTATATCGTTGTCGACTTCACTTCCCCTCAAAGGAGGGCTAACGGGAGATTGACGGGAGACTATGATTTTCAATCTTTATTTATGCGTGCTTTTCTTATCCCTCCGTGAGCAATAAGCAGCAACACGACCTCTCAGGTAGACCGTTCGACGTCGTTGGTGAGTATGAGTACTCAAAAGCCTTCATTTCTTGTGTTGATCCAAGAAATAGTTTACCCACTATGAGCGCCTTCCTTGCCTTTCGTTTCGCCGCGTTTTCCATCTTGAGAACGCGCCCCATGACTTTTGTCAATTTTCAACATGGAACCCGAGCAATGTCCTCTAAATCGAAGCAACACAAGGGTCTAAGTCTACGAAATCAAGTCATTGGAGCAAAGATAAAACACCGCGTCGTCCAACTCGTCGACCAAGAAACAGGCGTGCCCGGCCCACCCCGCAATCTCGAAGACATCCTCGCCTCGGTCGATGAAACGACACACTACGTTGAGCTCGTCAGCGAAACTCCCGTGTTAGTAAAGATATACGACAGAGCTGAAATGAAACTAAGGCACCTTGCACGGAAAGCCCGGGTGAAAGTGTCGGCGAAACGTAACCAGCGGAAGGAGATCCAACTCACGTGGAACACTCAACCAGGGGACATGGCGCACAAGCTCGCAAAGGTCCGGGAAGAGCTAGAAAAGGGGTGTCGGGTGGACTTGGTCTTTGCGCCCAAGCCGAATACCGAACCCCCACGCATGATGGTGATGCGGCAACGATTGGACGAATTTGTGGCGAGTTGTGTGGATCTGAGCTCAGAGTGGAGGGAAAGAGTATTTGAGCGCGGAATGGCTCTCGCGTTTCTGCAGAGCAAGATCGAGATTCAGGTACCCGACAAGGAGGACTTTAGAGGGTTGTTGCCCAAGTCGGTTCTCCGTCGACAAGAGAGGATTTTGAAGGAGAGGGCTAAAGAGAAGAAGCGTATGGAGGCGCGAGCTTCAGCGCAACCAAGCGAACAATCAGAATCCGACATATTTACGTAGAGTACTTGGAAGCTACATATTTACTTGGGATTGTCTCCTAAAACTTCTGGGATCAGAACAGCTCCGGTTCTTCGGAATCCCATATTTCACCAATGGGGTCATTTTGAATGACGGAACATATTCCCGAGGAGACAATTCAGAGTGTCAGAGCGTCAAAGTTAGCCCAGTCCGAGTCCGTGGGACTTCGTTTTCCTCGTTGGAATGCGATACAACGATCTACCCTGCTGCATCTTTAACGGGAACGCATACGGAAATGTCTTGATCTTCAGTGGAGATTCCTCTACGCATGAGGGCAGACGCCCCACGAAAAGATGCTGGAATCCCAAAGGAATGGCAAATCCCGCCTGAATCATATCCTTTCCAACTTCCAACAAAGTCGGATCCCAAACCTTCGAAAGAGCACCACGATGCGCATAATTCAATTTCGCCTTTTTCACTTGGTGTTTTACGAAAGCTGGATTCACTCTTGGTCTCCTAGGTCGCATGTGCGAGTGTCGACCGACAATATCGAGGATAGCATTGAAGAAATGGGCATCAGGCTCCGGAGGCTGCAGACTACGCTTGATGATGAGATCCTCCGGGATTCTCTGCGCAGCAGTTTGTGCGGAGCGGTAAACAGCCAAACCTTGATCACGTCCCAGAACTTCGCGCAAATTTGATGTCCGAGGTACAAGAGGATGGGGTTGTCCCCAGCCAATAACGCCTTGACGAGCATGACGAGCCTTACTAGTGTCCAAATTGTTAGAAATTGACCGTGGATTCGCTTCAGCAGCATAGAGCTTGATCATGATGGTGTATGCATGAATAGGGAGGCACCAAGGAGTAAATTTTGCGTCAGGATCTAAAACCACCTTCCAACTCGCCTCTTCGGCATCTTGTGCAAGCTTCCAAACCCTCTCAGCGAACCCAGTCCTCCCTGTTTTCTGAAGTGCGTTCAGGATCGAAGTAAAGACGTATGGTCCGAGTTTAACAGCGTGCTTTAGTTGTTTGCTATACCTGACCATCTTTCTTTTCGCTGGATCAGCAAATTCGCCGTCTTGCACAGCTTGGTCCGGCGGTAGGAGGAGGCCAGGAAAAATGATGGGTAAGAGGTCTACAACAACATTTGGACGGCCGGTGGACGTGAGATGTGTAATAGTGGACGTAATAGTGTGACTATCTCCTCGTTCCACAGCCGTGCGAATGGTATCCATGCGAGTAGCGTTCTGGCCGTCACTCATCAAATTCAAAGCTTTGTCGACAATCTCAGAACGGTGGAGCAGTGTACCATTCCTCAGCAGAATAGTCGCGGTAGCTTGATCAGGTTTTAATGGCGGGACTCGTTCGTCAGTCATGTGGCGCAAAATTTTGTCAGCCAGTTTGCCAGAACGCCTATGCCGCAAAGCGTACTGCAGAAGACTGTTGTACCCGTATCTGTCCATGGCGGGTAACATTGATCTTTCCGGGGATGAAAGAGGGTGTAGATGATTGCGTTCTGGCAATTTATGGATAAGTCGGTGAAGGACGTCATGAAAGTAAGAGTAGGCTTTGACTTGCTCGGGCTGACCCGCTTTATCAGGGACCCAAACTTTCACTTTGTCTCGTGTCGCTCGTGCCGTCCTGGGACAGGCAGAAAGTGAACGTATGATTGGGCTGATTGACTGGAAAGGTATTCGCTTTTCATCTAAAAGTGCCGCGATATTAGCAAGTGCCTGCAGCGCGGCACGAATGTTAAGTCGGGAGCTCTCATCCGTTGCGTCCGATGAGAGGGTCTGATCAATCGCATCCAACATGGGGTGCAAACATGATTCTGAGGGGAACTCAGCCTCAGAATCGTACCATTTGGGGACGCCCAACCCGTTCTGTGTAGTCGCAATAGGTCCAGGGGAAGATGGATCTAGCTTGATTGAAGATTGCACCATGCGAGCCTGCCAATCCCTAACCATAATCCCAAAAAGCAACGATGCTATGATGATTTCCCCATTGATAACGCAGAGTGTCATGAGGGTTCGAAACATGTTGTTAGTTCGTTTCTGCCGTCTTTGGCGCGCCAGGTCCAGAAGCCGAAGAGCAAATTTTGTACCGTGGTGGTTTGTCATGGTAGGTTTGAGGGTGAGAATGTCAGAGTCTTCTAGCGATGACTTTAACAACAGGGGTGACGTTATATTGCCTATAGTCGGAGAAGGATGTGTTATCGCTTGAAAAACGGCTTCCAATGTTTTGGTGCGTATTCGGATGCAGCTTTTCATCATTTGCTGAGCCAAATTGCCGGCTTTTTTCGAGAGCCCTATCCGAATGAGACCATGCAGTAGTGCATGGGAAGATAACCTCGGCGAGACATTCGAGTCGAAAGGTATGGCTGAGGCCTTGAACCGCTTGAGGTCTCTTATTCCGAGGCTTGAAGTCCATCTATCGCCAAGCCTGGCGTGGCGAATGGAGTTGACAATGAGAAAGGCATCAGACAGATCGTTGTTTGCAATAGACAAACGGACAGCCTGCGAAGCGGCAAGAGAGATCTGGGCTGGTGTCAGGGATTGCGAAGAAGAATTCGAGGTAGGTATGGAAGGGGTCGGTGAAAGTGAAGGTGAAGTTGATGGATTTAGGTCAAATGAGGTAGAGAGTGCGCTAAAACCACACGAGAAGGTGGATTGCAAGGCCTTGCCATGAGCAGGTAAAGCATGGAGCGTGTGTTTGGTGCATCTTCGCCAGATACATTGCATGTGTATTACATAGCTGAAAACTGGGTGAGCAGGGGAGTCGCGCCTAATGTATGTTAAACTCACGCGTCAAGACTCACGCGTCAAGAGCAGGAGAAGTTGCGCAGCAAGCACTGGTCGGTGTCGAGGACGTTGTCGACAACTTTTCGTATGATGTCGCAGGACATCCCAAAGAGGAAGGATGACACGTGAGGCGGTCACTAAAGTTGAGTTGAAGCTTGAAGACGACAGCGACGACGGAGTTTTGAAACCTTGCATTTCAGAAAATACCCAACTTTATTGACACACTAGAGTTATGAGTTATGAACGTCGCGGCGGCGGTGGTAGAAGGCGCCATCACAGAGGTGAGAACAGGCTTCATGCCCATGTCCATTTCTCCAACCAACCATCTCGTGTCCAGATGACTATGACGACCGACGGCGCGAACCTTATGAGTCACCAGACGATAAGCTCAAAAATGCCATAATCAAGTTGGGCGAAGTGGTAAGCGCCTCAGCTGGCGAGGCTTAGACTTACATCTTAACCTACGCTTCCTCCAGGATCCGGTGGAAGAACTCCCTAGACTGGAAAAACAAATCAGGGAACATGTTCCCCGTAACATCCCCATCCTTTCAGAAGCTTTTCGTATTGGGTAAGTGGGTTTCTAATTTCTCAGCTACTGTCTGACTTGTCAATTCCAGTGTGACAGAAGAACCGTACAAAACGCCCTACTATGCCGCCCTTTTACGATTGCTGCATGACCCTTCAGACGTTGGCATTCCAGATGAGACGCCCCTTGGCAGACTCATTCTCGAAGATTTTTGGAAAGGCTTCCAGGGATATCTGGACAAGGTTGCTTGGAGAGAGACTCGACTATGCGTCAGTGCCCCTCTTGCAACCAAGACCCAATTTGACAATCCATTCACCAGATTCATTTCTTTGCCCATCTAACGGTGGCCAAACTGATCTCGCCTGAGTCCTTGTTTTCTCTCCTGCAATCATTCACAGCGGTCCTCGATGAATTCGGTGTCTCTCATGGGCGAGCAAAACGAGCAGCCCTTTGTGCTGGCGAAGGCCTTCTTGTGGTATGCCCCATTCTTATTCCCGGCGGCGGTCATCTTGATTTCTCTCAGGCCGGACCCATATTAAAACAATATTCTCCCTCAAACACAACGGATATAATTGAGGCAATTCGAACCTATAACGAACTTACTGTTACACAAAAGTGGCTGGTAGCGCCCGTCACCAAGATTTACAGTGATGTCGTCCCAGAAGAAAATGCAGTCGAGGTTTGTCTTTGCACTTGAATCACGTTAAGCAAAATTCTCAAAGAACCTCTAGCTTCTGGATATCCTGTTGACCATTTTACAAACCCTGGATCGGGGAGATTTTGAGGAAACTGCCAACTGCCTTCCCAGACCATACTCTGAATATCCAGAGATTGACACCACCGTTCTGCCTCCATACAACCTTCCTTTGGTGCTAGTTCCACCGGAGATCATCGAATTGGATGCCCTTTCAGGGGATTCTGGCGAGGAAGCCCAGGTAAAGAAAGAAGAATGGCCAGAGTTTTTTATTCGACTATTTGGCTCCGAGGTAGATTTCGTTAGTATTATTGAAGATCTCTACTAACTATAGACCCCTTAGGTCTCTCCCGATTTCCAAAATCCTGTCGGGTATATTTTGCGAACCGCACTTCTGGATATCACCGATATTTTTGAGGTGAACAGGAAAGAATGTGCCCGGTTACTCCTCGAATACCCCAAGTGGAATCTCCCTGGAACATTCAAACCCAAGCCTGGAGCAACAGTCACTGCAGATCCTGTTCCTGGGAAAGATTGGCAGTTGGAGAGCACGATTATTGAGGTCAGCTCTTTCTCTTTCCTTTCCCTCGATTTGTTCTTATCTGACTAATATGTTGCGAAGACCACTCTAGGAGCGTACTTGATTCTCCCAGAATCGTCCTCAAAGTCCATTTACTACACCAGTCTCATAACAGAGCTCTGTAAACTGTCGCCTTCAACCGTAGGCCCAGCCGTGGGAAAGTCCATCCGTAAGCTCTATATCTCCCTCTCTGAAGGTTTGGACGTGGAAGTAGCGCGTCGATTCGCGGAATGGTTTGCTGTTCATATGAGTAATTTCGGGTTCCAGTGGGTGTGGAAGGAATGGTGCGTTTTATCAATTTTGTCTTTTAGATGCATCTCGAGCTGTTTATAGGGTACCTGATCTTTCTTTGACCGTTCAACACCCACGTCGTGCGTTCATGCGCAGAGCGATTGAGTATGAAATACGGTTGTCCTATCATGACCGCATCATGAAGACCCTTCCCGAATCGATGCAGACTCCTGAGGCATACACCATTGCAGAACAAGCACCAGGTCCTGACTTCGGATATGATGACCCTGGCAAGTTCTGTTGTCCTCCCTCATCAATATTACTTTTAAATATACTTCCCGTAGGCAAAGCGCATCATGATGCTGCTCAAGCCGTTCTCAATCTTTTCCGAGGACGAGCAAAAGCGGAAGACGTCATATCACATCTCGACACCCTCAAATCCACCCTCGAAAGCTCAGATGAAGGGCACGTCAACGTCGACGCTGTCGTGCGCTCCATCGCCGTCCAATCCCTCCTCCACATCGGCTCACGCTCCTTCTCACATTTGCTCAACGCTATCGAGCGCTACCTCCCTCTCCTACGAAACCTTGCCAGCAGTGGTGTCTCAAGTGTCGGAGGCGGTGGAAATGCAGAGGCTAAAGCTGACATCCTCAGTGCTGCGGCTGCATTCTGGAAGCACAACAGACAAATGGTTGGCATCGTTTTCGATAAACTGATGCAATACCAGATCGTCGACCCGACTGATGTCGTAGGCTGGACTTTCCTGAATGGGGCTGTGATTGGGCAGTTTAGCGAGCTTGCCGGCCCGATGAATCTCAGTACATTCGAGTGGGATTTGTTGAAGGGTGCTCTGGACAAAGCCAATGGACGAGTGATGATCGCCAGGAGGAAAGTCACAGCATTGAGGAAAGAAGATGATGATACACGTGCCCGTGTAAAAGCTAGTACTGACGCAGACACGATGGAGGTGGATGCTGAAGAGAAACCAGGTAAGAATCTTACAACTCCGATTTTTTTTTTTCATTTACTTACTAACGATTTTGATAGAAGACACTACGTCTGACAACCCCGCCCTCGTCACTGCCCTCAAGGCTTTCTCAAGTTTAACCAAGGAACAAAAGGCAGCACTTTCAAAAACACTCGAAGGATTTGTGTCATGCCTTGCACCATCTCTAACTGACCCAAGTCCAAACCCCCACGCCCGGACAGTCATCTCAGAAGAGGCATGGGAAAACCGAGCGAATTGGGGTCGAGATGAATGGAGTGCCTGGGAAACTTGGGGCTGGTACAGGCAGTTCTGTAGAGCGGTTTGTTATATTTTTGTTCCTCTCTTGTGGGGTCTAATATGCCCTTATCTTTGTGACAGTATTCGCCGTACCTCCGAACATACTCCAACACGCTGTACGCTATCTCGTTCGCCAAATTCGACGGATCTAAAGATCCAGCTGCTGAGCTACTCAAAAGGATCTGGAACATTGCTACGGGCCAAGATGCTTGATCAAGTGCCGTTTGGGAGAGCCATGTTACAGTATCTACACCTCTCGATTATCAGTTATTTCCGTAATTTGCTTTTATCTGTGTTACCAAATGCCTGTGTGGACTTGACCTAAGATTATTGTCGTTGATGTTACTCGTTGCAGCTAGATTGTTACAACACTGCAAACGCAAAACTCCTTTGTCCTTGTGATACTCTGTTTTTCGATCAAACGTAGAAGCAAAGGCAAGACCCTAATTAATAGATATATCCTTTGAAAAAAATTCTAGAATACAAGAAACGCTTGAGGTATCGATAAGTGAAACAATCCAGACGTCCGGTTTGTGATCGGTAATTTACCCAGCAGTATCGTTCACGTTGAGCTCCAGCCATTGACGATAAGGTTCCCGTCTGGCGACTTGCCCGTGAACTTATTGGGTCCGCCGTTCGTGCTGATGACACTGTTGGCCAAGGAAGGGGTGGAGAGAGCAACAGGAGTTGCTGAGGCAATAATGGCAGAGGCCTCAGCAGGGCTGATGGTGGTCGTGCTGGTGGATGCCACAGCTGAGCCGGTACCGCGGACAAGCGAGCCGATGGTCTGGGGTTGAGTATCAATGAATGCCATCGTTGGACCGGCAACGAGCTGGGTCGAGGCACGATCGCGAATGTTGTTGACCAATGGTTGGCCGTCGGAGGTGATGAAGATAGCGACGGGGCCGTTAATCCCTGATGGGACGACACAGTTGTTGAATGGCAGAGCAATGGAGTTGGGCTGGCCACCAAGCATCATTTGGCAGAAGAGGTTCTGAAAAATATTTATTAGTCCCTCAACTCAAATTATGGGGGGCTGGAATGACGCTCACATCGGTGGAACCGTTGATGGCAGACGAGCTAAAGGTCAGCTTGGTTCCTGGCGCAACGGTACCGGTGTTGGTGATTGCGAGAGTGGGATTTGCTGCAATGCCAAGATCGCATGGCCCATCAAAGAAAGGGCCAGCAATAGCCAAAATCTCATTAGGGGCAAGAGGAATGTCAAAGGCCGCTGGGATGGCCGTTCCTGTGCCAGAGAGTATGTTGAGAATTGTTTGATGGCGAGCCTCAACGGTCAAGATGGAGCCGGCAGCATCCAAGAGGACGGGATCGGTAATGAGGGTAGCACCACCAAGGTACGCCGAGACACCAACATTCTCAACTACACGGGCAGTCGCAGCCATAGTTGCAACGTCCGTCAGGGCACCTGCAAAGTTAAACTTGCAAGATGTGATGGGGGTCTCTCCAAACGACTTCAAAGCAGCCTATGCGTTGTTTCAGTAGATGTACATTTGCCTTCAGAAAATGTGACGTTTACCTGAAGTACGGTGCTATGAGTGGCTTCATCGACCTGGATGGTCTTGAATTGCTCGATAGGAATTAGACTAGAGCTGAACCCTGCAGCTGTGAAATCGCTAGATTGGAATTTTTTGAGAGCTTGGCAATAGAAGGCGGATTCCAGTTGCTCCAAAACATCAGCGAATTCTGTTGAGACCGTATCAGAAACAGACTCTTTGGTTTAGCGCACGCGACGTACTGAAGACCAGAACATCGGAGGCGGCGGCGCGCCTAGTCAGACGAGAGGGCGCAGCGGATACCAAAAGAGGGGCGGATGCCGTCAGGGCAATGAATAATGAGCTCAAGAACATTTTGGCAGAAGATGTTGTTGAAAGTTTATATATAGAAAGGGCCTGCTTCAAAAGGATGTGTCGAACGAATGAGCTGGAGCTAGCCAGATACTATCAACCAGGGGGTGCTGCCAGGCAAACCCAAAAAGGACTAAAATACAAGCCATTATTACTCTGCAAGAAAAAGCCTGAGAATGACTTACTAGGGCGGGAAGAGGGAGGGGAGAAAGAACGACAAGTGGAAAAAGACGTGGTGGCGACGAACATCAGAGTATTTGTAGGTATCAAGGCTCGGCGTCGTCGGTTCTGCCATTTCTATGGCGATAAGATACACAAGGAATCTTTTGACAACAGACCCTCAATTCATTGCTAACACCATGTCCATGTTTGGCACAGACATTGACGTCGATCCCGCCGACTGGCATGGGTCCTATTGTTGATTATCCCAATAGATTAGCTCTTATCTTTCAGTTGTTCTCGTTGGAATCCAATTGTCCACAAGTTCACAGCTAGCCACCGTTCGCAGCTTCAGTACTGCTCCGATATTGATATCTATCCATCAGTCATAGTCAGCGCTCAGCAATAAAGGGCACGATAGAATTTGTAGTGGGGAAGAGGATTGGCGGCATACGCGTCGAGATTTTGAGTGTGCATTCAAAGATGGGAACATGTTCCCACGTAACGGTGGGAAACCTAAGAATTTCTTCACTACACAGAAAGTCACCAAAAAAAACGATTTGCCATCGTCCTGCTCGTTGTGCTCGCTGTTCTCTAATCATCTTTGCTTTCCCTCATCTTCATCTCATCTCTGCTAATTTTGATTACACTTTTCTTCCGTGACGTCAACCAACCATGCTCGTGCTATACGAGACCGCCATGGGCTACTGTCTCTTCAAGGTATCAGACTCTGCAAAAATCGAGAGCGCAGATCTATGGAAGGAATTCGAAACGCCTCAGCAGGCGAATAAGCTGTTCGTCCCGTTGGATCATTTTTTGTCCGCGAGGTTGCCTCATTCTTTATTTTTTTTCAGACTGAAGCTGAAGGCTCTGCACCGGTTCACGTCAACGGCCACTGCGGTGGAAGATATTTCTGCCATACAAAATGGGAAGATCGGCAAGGGGTTGAAACAGTTTCTAACCGACGAAGTACTGGGGAAGGGAAAGGGCAAGGAGTCTCTGGTGGTTATTGACCCTCATCTTGGTATGCAACCTCTGTCAACCATCAGGATATATCTGGAACTCGCTTCATAGGACGGTCAATCTCAAAAAAGCTGAGTATTAATGTAAATGCTATGGCGGAGGGCCAAAATGGCGATCTTTGGCGCGGTATTAGGTCGCAACTTGCAGCTCTGCTAGACGGGTTGGACCCGAAAGATTTGGCGACTATGAGCTTGGGGTTGAGTCATTCTTTGGCAAGGTATGCACTTGTTAAACTCCAAGTTTCCCCAAAATGTTCATTCTTAAAAATATAGATTCAAACTGAAATTCTCCCCGGACAAGGTGGACACGATGGTTGTTCAAGCTATTGCCCTCCTTGATGATCTGGACAAGGAGATTAACATCTACGCTATGCGAGTCAAGGTATGTCCCTTTCGCATCCACAGACATCCCATTGAACCCCCTGCAGGAGTGGTATGGCTGGCATTTCCCTGAAATGGCTAAAATTATCTCTGACAACGTCGCTTATGCCAAAACCATCCGGCTGATGGGTATGCTTTTTTTTCATTCGTTCAAGAACCGCAGCTAATTGAGACCGCCCTTAGGATTCCGCACAAATGCGGCATCAACGTCATTCGCCGCCATCCTCCCAGAAGACCTCGAAGCCGTACTGAAAGCGGCTGCCGAAATCTCGATGGGAACTGAAATATCTGACTCTGACATTGCTCACATCCACTCGTTATGCGACCAAGTCATCTCAATCTCATTATACCGGACTCAGCTCGCCGAATATCTCCGAAATAGGATGAATGCAATTGCACCCAACTTGACGGCGCTGGTCGGAGAGTTGGTTGGCGCGCGGCTGATCAGTCATGCAGGCAGCTTGTTGAGTCTCGCGAAACATCCTGCTAGTACAATTCAGATCCTTGGAGCGGAGAAGGCCCTCTTCAGGGCATTGAAGACGAAGCACGACACACCGAAGTACGGCCTAATTTACCATGTCAGTATCTATGTTTTTCTTTGCATTTTCTAGGAGTTGACGTCACGAATTTTAGGCTTCACTTATCGGTCAAGCTCCCCCTAAACTAAAGGGCAAAGTGCGTCAAAGTAGGATATCCCCTTTTGACATTTTATTGATGGCTGGGAAATACAGATGGCACGTATGGTAGCCACCAAAGCTGCACTGTCAATCCGTGTCGACGCCCTCACGGACGCTGACGGAAAGTCTGAGGAAACGGCGCCCTCAATAGGCGTTGAAAACCGCGCGAAACTTGAATCACGGCTGCGGGCACTTGAACATCAAGAACAAGGTAACGGTGTACGCCGGTTCGATAACGGTGGCAAGAAGCAGCAGCGGTTTGAAATGACCGGCGAGACCAAGACGTACAACACCAATGCGGATGCGATGGAACTAGATTTGGTATCAACACAGCGTGTGAGCCCGAAGGAGGCCGCAGAGAAAATTGTTTCTGACGTGAAGGAGGAGAAGAGGAGGGCAAAGGAGGAGAGGAGGGCAAAGAGGAGAGCGGAGAGACAGAAGAGTGAAACTGCAGAGAAAGACGATGAGAGTGAAATGGACGTAGATGAGGAAGAGAGCAAGAAGGAGAAAAAGGAGAAAAAGAGGAAGAGGAGGGAGAGTGGGGCGGATGGAGTTGCTGAGCCGGAAGCCAAGGTCTGTTACTTCGTTTTCTTTGCGTTGTCTCTCCTGACTTTCTTTTTCTTCAAAAGGAGGAGACAGAAGAGGAACGAAAGGCAAGGAGAAAGGCCAGAAAAGCGGCCAAAAAGGCGGCGGCTGCAGCTGGGGGCGATTCACCAAAGAAGAAGAAAAAAAAGTCGGAGGCATGAGTTTGGTTGGATCGTTGTTGTTTTTCTACACTTGTTATATTTCCAATGTTATATATTTCCTAAAACGGCACATGACATCAGAGCCTTGCTGCTCGACAAGGACGACGACGGCACTCTTTAGCCCATCGCCTTCATACCCGGTTCTCGCTGTTGACGGCGATGTCCAAACCCACTCTCCTCCAGACTCTCCTCAACAGGCCATCCCAGACCTATTCCCTCCCCTCGCAAAAGGAATACTTTTCATCAAAGCAAGAAATGCTCCGCATTGCAGCCGAAACGCGTTCGCCTGGTGCGACGTCAGATAGCAGTCATCCTAAGACACAGCTCCCTCAGCCGGTATCAACGGCAAAGCACAGTGATATTCTTGCTGCTGTACGTCATCTCTTGTCGATATGTGAAATAGTCTCGTCTGACTTGAGAAATCGTTTGAGACAACCAGGACATCCCTCGTCCACGTCGGAGCAGCTCGAACTCCCAGCAGCAACGCCCACTCGCCATCTACCAGTTGGAGCAACTCTCGGACTCTGATTCTGAGCCAGAAGTGTTCTACACGCCAAACGAATCCCCACGCGCATCTATGGCCTCCTCCGTCGTTTTTCCTGGAGCAGTTCCTCGACAACCTAGCCGTAGATCCTTACGTGTTATAGTTAATGATGAGCCTCCGTCATCAACTTCTATCGCACCTATAGCAGGCCCCTCTACCCCCGCTTCCTCTTCTGCTGCGGTCACTCCGGTCACCTCACACCGAGAAATCTCCACTCGCGGACCCTCATCAACCTCGCGTGGAATGGAAAATAAAGAGCAACGCACCGCCATCACATCTTTCTCCACTTCCTCTCTTTCCACTATGTCGCTCGACGGATATTCAGTCATCTCCGATCTCACCTCTGATTCGCCTCAGCCCACAAGCCGAGAAACAGCCACCTCTACGCGTATACCCTCCTCAGCTTCCCCGTACCTGCGCACAAGCGGGCCTGCTGCGCAAGTCAGCGAGCAACGCAACACTATCACATCCTACTCTACTTCCCACTCTTCCATGTCTCTCGACGGTTATTCAATCTTTTCCGATCTCATGTCAGATTCGACGAGGGGAACTACACCTATGACTTCCGACGTAGGGCTTGGAAATAAAGAGGACACAGTTGCTATTACACCCATCAAACCCAGGAAGAACCCGCCATCTAAAAACTACGTCTACACAGACGAAGATTGGGCCAAGGAGGTTCGATGGCTTGTCCCACCCGATCAGCAGGACGCAGCAAAAGCAACGGTCATGCGTAATTCCAGCAAGAAGAAGAAACATCAAATACATCTAGGTCATGGGTTTCCATCAAAGGGCTCGAATGAGGCTGCACCCCCTGCCGAGACCAAGCAGAAGCCCAAATATTTCATTGCGACAAATGGGACACCTGTACCGCCACAATCTCAAAAGCACTCTCCCTCTTCTTCATCTTCATTCGGTACGCAGAGAAAGATGCAGATGCAGATACAAATGCCTGTATCCAAGACAACTCCAAGTATCATGATGAGTATGGCTGCACTTCTGGAGGAAGATGAGGATGGAGCGATGACGCCGAGGATGGAGCCTGGTGCGGCGAGGGCCATGGAGAGTGTGAGTAGGTCGGGTGTTTCGACTAGGCAATCGAAGGAGTTTCGGTATGGTTCTGGCTCGCATCCGGAACGTCGGGCTTCGTATTTTTCTTCTGCCACCACTGACGATGTTGGAGAATCTTCCCGACGTTTTTCATCGTCAAGGGACAGTCGGAGTCGGAACATATCCTCTCCCCACGGTCAAACTCGAAGGACCACTGACGTTAAGCCACCTCTAAAAAATCGACGCTCCCGGTCTTTGGGACACGAAATGGGTCGTCCGTTCGATTATGCCGCAGAAGCCAGCGCCAACCCACAGATGGGAGCTGGGGAGCTTCCTTCACATGGCACGCCAGGATACTCAACTTTATTCCAGGCTTATGCTCCCGGTGGTACTGCTGCAATGGGAAGCCATATGAAACTGGATGGCAAGGTCGACCTGACACGAAGTGGTGTAGCACAGACTACCATGGCAAGCGTTGAGGTTGTAAGAGGCTTGGGAGCGACTCGCAAGGGACTCTGGAAGTTACTGGGACGTAGAAGGACAGTTTCTGGGGGAGATGCAGTGTCGGCTAGGACCAGGAGTAAGAGTGAGGATGCAGTGGGGTTTGTTGGGAGCAGCAGTGCGCTTGGGTTCACGAGCTACCGAAAACCGCCTGGATACGTTCCTGGCGGGTGTGTGTTAGTGCAGGTGTGGGCGGTTGGTGTGGACGGCGTGGATGGAAAGTTGGTTGGGGTTACGTTGGGATCTTCATCTGCGACGAATGCAGAAGAGGATCCGGAAGAGGAGGATGGACAAGAAGAACAGGTAGCTCCTCCACGTTCTGGGTTGGGAAGAAGTGCGAGTCTGCGCTCCAGGCTTAGCATATCTGGCTCGAAACGAGATGTTCAACGGTCAGCATCAATGAAGGCAAACGCATCCCCAGTATCATTTGCACCCGTCCAGGCAGACGTTGGATACATACCTGGTCGAAGTTTTGTTGGTAGGGTGCTGGAGTGTGGGTGGGAGGTGAGAGAACAAGTGGTGAGGAAGGGGGAATGGGTTGTCGGGTTGTTGGATGTCAGGAAGGTGAGCCCGCATCGTGAAGTTTTATTTTTCGTTCAACCAGCGTTTGGAATTTTGATCGAACTCGATTAAACGGCTCGCGTCGATTTTACATATAATTTTCTCTTTTTTGCCTCATCCCTCATACATTCAGTCTGAGCTTGCTTTTTTCTCTCTAGTGCGGTGCCCTAACGGAATTCATCGTCGTCGATCGACGCCGTATACACCGTGTTCCACATCCCAGGCCAGATACCCCATCTCCTGCATCCTCTCAAACGATTAGGTCTCCACCCCAGCCCTCTCTTTCCCTCGAAGAACTTGCCCTTCTTCCCTTATGCGGCGTCTCCGCCTACCGCGCAGTCCGAACATTCATGTTCGCGTTCTCTTCCCTACGTGACGGGAATTTAAGCCCAGGTGGCAAACGACCCGGGTTCGAATTTGGCACCAGTTCTACTGTTACAAGTGGATCTAACCTTGGGACCCGCCGGCATGCATCAGCTGACCACGAGAATGGGCGTCGAAGGCGAGCTTTTGTTTTACGAGGCCATAATGGGGCTGGGGCAATGGCCGTGCAAATGCTCGTTTTACGCGGCTGGAGGGTGTCTGTACACGTCCCTTTCCCTCCTTTGCTGAGCGAAGGAGCTGGGGAGAGATATATGGCGCATATGGAGGAGCGAGTCAGAACACTAGGTGGGGAGGAAGTGATATTCGACGATGGTGGGACTGAAAGTGGGGATGATGGACGTGCGGCTGTTGTGCGCGTTATTGACGGTTTGAGGGTTGACGGGGACGTCTTTGACGCGGTGCTTGATACGATCGGAGGGAAGGTTATCAGGGAGGCTTCTGAGAGACTCCTGCGCTCTTGTGGAGGTGTTGATGGCCAAAGCCCTCCTGGGAAGAGTCAGAAAACAGGAATGGGCCATTTCACGACGCTGGTTGGTGATGCGCCGGAACGCACGATACCCACTGCTGGTGACAATTTTCGAGCTGGACTGCGGTCGCTCAAATTCGGAGATGGAAGTGCTGGGGCAGATAGAGAAGAGGGCAAGGGAGGGAAAGTGGGTTACGCTTGGGTCAGCGTGGCACAGGATGTGGATTGGGAAGGGGAGGATGTTGGCGAGTCAATCGGGGCCGTGTTAAAATTGGCATTGGAGGATGGTGTGCGACCTTGGACTGCAACTGTGAGAGAGGAGGACAATGAAGACTGGACTAAAAAGAACGTTGTACCATTTGAAAGAACGCCGAACGTCTTTGTGGATGAAGGTCCACTGGGCTATGGGGGAACGGTTGTCATCAAGATAGTTGGATGATACCACTTTTTGTAAATTCCTTCGCACTTTCTCTACCCCGGGCTAAGATCGTATTAACACGTTTTAGATTTTACATGGATTTATTTCGTTGCCTATACGCTGTTGTATTCACATACTTTATGTACCCTCTGGAGACGATCATCCCGATGCGGCTGTAATTTAGGTATTTAATTGCAGTACATTCTACACTTTTGCTACATTCCACAAATTATAAGATTACAGTAGATAGGTTGATAGTGAAAGGACAGCGTCAAATTCTATGCAGGATCATGGATGTCCTCACGAAACACTTTCAATGGCGATCAAGGGACCCCCAGAGGGCGGTTTGAAGAATGGTATCGTTCGTAGATTGTCCGGGGCAGGACCTTCAGCATCTAGCTTTTTACGAGCTCTATCGGTCTATGGGGGACGATCGTTCATCAACTGATAGTGCTCGAACATCTAGACGCCTGCACTTACTATGCCGGAGTTTGCCATACCGCGCTCAAGGCCTTCGAGAAGGGTACAAGCTTTACACAGCGCATTGCTCGACATATATCCGCACCTTTGACAAACCTCTGGAAGAGCCGTCAGATAAGCAGGTCCTGGAAGTTAAAGAAAAAAAAGAAACTGACGCTGCACTCGCTGAGTAGCTTTGACTTCTTCCCTGACTTCAAAAGCTTCCCCTGAGTGAATGATATCGATGATCGCGCTGGGTCGAGCTGCTTCGAGGTCCTTGAGGAAAACGCGTGCGTGGCCACGATAGGCGTCGGGAGAGTAGATGCACTCCGTCGAGAAGTAATCTAACTTTTTAAAGTATGCATACCTATGAAAAAAGATGAAATCGATGAGGAGCGCGAAATAAGAATAATAGGGGCATGAAAGACGGGCGCACATCACGATCTCCTTCTCGTAGGCGTACTTGAAAGGCTTTGATCGTCGAATGGTGTCTTCGCCTTGGGTGCAGATTGATGTACATCGTCCAAGTCTCGCGATATCGCCACGCATTACTAGAACCATTGTTTGAGTTTTTCGACTGTGATGGAGAAGAGGTTAACAAACTGTTCATAAGGACCGTTTCTGCAATGTCATCTGCATTGTGGCCTGTCACGATGTGATCTACATTTAGCATCGCAGCGCCTCGATCAAGGGCTTGTCGACGAAAAACACCGCAGAATGTACAGTTATTCTTCCTCCCAACTTGAGAGACGATGGCGTCCATTGTCCAGCCGTACAGTTCATCATAGGAAAGGATTTTCAGTGGCATATCGTATTGTTGCTGATTGCGCTTCACCGTCTACAAGAAATGTTTAATGCCCAGGCCACAGTCGCGTTTTCGAATTTAAGGCCACACCTCTAATGAATCATCCCGATACCCCGTAATGCCTTCATCGATCGAGAGCAAGAACAGCTCCAAACCGTACTGATAGCGTTCATTAAGCATTTTCATAACATATGCCAAAACAGTGGAATCTAGATCCCATTCAAAATCCGAGATTTTCATTTCAGAAAGACGGATCGCGGACACACCTTTCCCGCCAGATGCGCCAATCGCAACCCTGTCCCCAGGTTTAAAAAGATTTGCCTGAGTAATGGTGTTGTGAACCTCGGTTTCAAAGACGTAGAAGAAGCATTCCCGACAGATCTGCTCGCCTGTCTTTGGACGCTTCACCATGGCCTTTGCTTTCTGGCAAATAGCGCACGTTTGTGGTGCCATGGCGAACCTAGATAAATTTGACGAGCAGTACTGAGTAAGGTCGCGCGACGAGTCAACGTGACTTGAAATTCATAAAATTAGAGCCAGCTTGAAACTCTGCCAAAGTTATAACTAAACACCTATAATTTAAACACTTGTCCGTATCCTTGTCGTTGTGCATAAGTAAAGCAAAGCATGTGCACTTCATTCCGATACCCTCTTCTCTTGATCGCAACATGATAGCCATGCAAACCACATCATCGTCCTAAGCTGCAAAACATCCTCCTTCCACACCTTGCTTTGATTCTGTTCCCGGAACTCCCTCGTCAACCTCTCGCAGCGTTCAATATTCTCAGGGCTGACGTAGTCGCTCGCTACCTTGATGCAGTCCGCCATATTCGATACCTAAGCCAATTAGTTCAGTCTAAAAAATGTTTTTGAAAAAATAAACACAAACCTGGTGAGCACAGCCAGCAGGAATAAAAACGGCTTCCCCGGGCCGCTGGTATACCCTATAACTCTTCACACCCCAGTTATCATATAGCTCCTTGCGCAATACTTCATCGAGGTAATGCTGCTGAGTATGGATTGGATCTTGTATTGATCCACCCCCAAATCGCTTTCTCAAGAACGAGCGCAGTCGATCGCTGTCCTCGGCCCGAAAGAGGTCCCAAGCTGCGCACCCTAGGGTTCCATCAGGGCAAGGCGATGCGTATGTCATGATGTTAATTGCGTCTGCCATGTCCATATGTAGACGGGTGGAGCCTTTGCTTCCTGCTTTTTGAGTCGAGGCCATCGAGTTGTACATCTTAGGACCTGTAAAAATTCATGTACATATTAGAAGTTTTTTTTATTTACATTTTGCGATGACTCACCAAGATCAGGCCCAATGGTGTTGGTTGGAAAATGCGATCCAATATTGAATACACCATCGCGACGAACAAAGTCGGGAACGGGAACGGCCTGGCTAAAGTCCGCGTATAGTTCAGGAAACTCAGACTTGAAATCGGTTGATGGAGGCCAATCCTGATGAAAAAATATAAGAGCGTGAAAAGCTACCATTTCCAAAGCACGAACTTTCAATTTCCAACATTCTGTCCTGTTCTCATACTTTCCAAATGATCTAAAAAACTCTCCAACAGTCACCCGTTTGTTCACGTCCGTCTGGCACTCGAGAATCAGGCAATTCTGGTCGCCATGTTTCTCATTGAAATATTCTGGGGTCCATTGGATTTTAAACTGCGGCAGAACATCCGTCACCAAGAGGGGCTCGCCTAATGCCCATATCCGAGCAAATTTGTTTGTGGCGTCTACCGACGACAACTCTGAGTTAGAGTATCGGCGGATCTCATGGTACGGAATGGAGGCAATGGATTCGGGAAGATTAGGTGGAATATATGGGGGAGAAGCGAGTCCTCGAGGAGCTAATGATGGAGGGAATTGAGACGAAGATTGAGTATCCTTGGCGTTGTGCGTATGGGGTTGCGATTGAGATGAAGGTGTTGAGGCTTGGGTTAGACGGGCTGCTGCACCATTTAGGTGGATTGCTTGTGTTTGTATGGGAAGCGACTGAGTAGGGTGGGGTGGAGCATTGGTATGAGGTGATGGTTCTTGAGGGTATCTGGGCGGTTCTGGTGTATGCATTGCAGCCGACTGAAAAGAAGGGGTATAACTTGTGGAGGGGATCGACTGTGATAGATGGCCAAGAGAGGCGGAAAGATCCTGGTGTAAAAGGGATCTTGTCTGATTTTCGTGATTATTGCTGCTACCGCTCTGAACCGTGACACCATCCTCTTTAGATGAACCAATCTCGTTCAGTGTCCCCTGTTGATGTTCACGATCTTCAGTACCAACTTCAATCAAGAGCCTCTCCATAGCATCAATGGCAGCTCCTAGTTCCTCCTTGCAGAAACGAGACATGGGGGAAAAATCCTTGGCTTGGTGTTCATTTCGGCGGGTGCAGCTCAAAAAGAACGGATTGCTATGTGCATGTTTCTCTCTACGGGCTTGAAGCGCGGCAATTTCTGCTTGCCCTGCTCCGGGTCGATCGAAAGTAAGTTCCCTAACCTGGGCAAAACATTCCCCACAGGCCTCTCGCCCGCAGAGGCGACACATCCACGATGACGAAAAAATGGATGTCATGCACGTGTCTAGACGTATGCATCAGATTGTATCATAATAAATCTCAGGAAACAACATGCCACATGTGGCCCGGACTTCACTTTCGCGTACTCGTCGAATCAGCTCAGGCAACTTCAAGTGCTCACGTTCCAGCCTTAGTGTTGGTAAGAGGGCCTTGGCAATAGCTCTCTATGAAAGGGCCTAGATGAATATGATATGTTCAAGTAGTTGATTGAAAAGCTACCTTGGTCCTATTGATATGTTCCGCCCTCAACGGCACATTCCACCGTGTGGGGAAATTCATGGTTGGTAGATCAGCCTTTTGGGTTTCAACAAAGCTAATACCAACCATATTCCGTTCTGAATCCTTGAGGAAAAATCTGATACCTTGAAAGCGGCAAGTATCACCCGCCCACCGCCTCGTGCACGAAACACAACGCGGAAACTGGTCATTCCGATAACGGTTGGACATGCAGCGGGCAAACTGTAATTCCGGATGGAGGGAGACGCTCGCTTCACTGGCGCCTACGTCAGGGGAAACAAGCTGCATTCGCACTACAACATTGCAGGTGCGAGGACAGGTTAAGAAGACACGACGTCAATAACCTCAGTGCGACCGATGACAAGTCAGCTCACCATCAGAACCTTTCTCTTTCCCCTTCTCGCTTGTCACTTGCGCGTACTTCACGGTCGGCAATAATTGTGCTAAGAAAAGAGCACAGGGAAGTTAGCGACGTAACAACTAGTCATCTGACTGGACAATGAGGAGATATACCATTTTGAGCGACAATCTGGGCAGCCTCACTGCGCTTTTGAGCGTTGTAACCACGCTTTGAAGGGCCTAAAATGAATGTGTTAGACAGGCAATCAAGTCAAACACTCAATTGCTATGGGAAAGAAAATACCTTCTGGACCTGTTTTCGGCTTGGCGGTTCGTTTTGCTTTTGGTGCCGGAGTTACTTCACTGTCTGGAGATCGTCGTTTCGCTGACCCAGAGGAACTCGCTGGCCGAGGCTGTGCTGGGAGTGAGGCCAATGGCACTACCTCTGACTGTTCCTGGGACTGTTGCGAGTAGACGGCAGGGTGATACACGCCGTTGGGAGGGTAGTACGGCATGCCGTTGTAACGGATATCTTGATGATGCTGCGGTCCCTCCGTTACCATTCCGCGTGCTGCTAGGCGAACAGACGCTCGCTCAGTAGCTTGGTAAACTAATCGCCAACTATTAGATGCAAAAAAATATGAAATCGAGGTGGAGTATAGCTACATTGAGCGGGTGCTTGGACCATCGCTGGATCAGGATAACTCCGATTGTAGTTGTCTTTGTAAAGGAATTTTCCGGCGGTTAGTGGAACGCCCACACAATGAAAGTCATATCAACTAACTATGGCTTTGGTAATCGCCTCCTATCGCTGAGATCAAAACACACAAGAGTCAGGAATGTAAGAGAGTACATAGATATTGGCTTACGTGTGCGTTCTGCGGAGTACAAGGGCGGTACGACGGAGGCGCCATAGGACATGGTTGCGACGTCTTGCTGGGGCTGCCACACCGGCCCTTCAATATGGAATGGTTGGATATCGCCCATCCGAGACCTTGACATGCGAGGTGCGCGACTATCGGAGTACGTCTCCGCGGAGGACACATGTTGATGAGGATGAAGGTGGTGGTGACCGTTCGCGCCGTTCTCTGCCTTGCGTTTGGCTTCATTGACAGAATCCCAGCTAGCAGCTCTTAGATGAAAAGAAGAACCATTGCTGAATGAAGTTGCGTAGATGACTCCCTGATTGTTATGATGCCCTGGGTTCGCGTCAACGGAAGCGGGAAACGCGGAAGCCTCCTGTGGGTTAAGAAGAGAGTTGATCGACGTCTTTTTGGAAAGATCTTGGAGGGCATTCATGGTCAAGGAACGAAGAGGACAACGACAAGGTCGAAGTTAAAGGCGTTGAAGGGTTAGTCGAACTATGGAGGCCAAATGGAGGCTGTTAGTTTGTAGTATCGCGGAGCTGAAACTGAATATTAGATATTGATTTCTTTATAAATTATTCTTCCCTGACACAGTCTTGTGCCAGTGTGACCCCGCCCCCCCTGCTACCAACCTACACTCTTTATTCACGCAAACGTTCCGTGGCAATCCCTCCAGTACCACTGCAACGTTTCGCTATTAATCTATATTTGTGCCCAATCACAATCCATGTGCACCTTGATCGCAAAGGCCAACCACCATAGACCACCATCCGCCTCTAGATGGTGCCCAGTCCAGAATCCGGTGTGGCAATTCATATGCTAACTATTTAAATCATACAGTCATCCTGCAGGCTACTTGACCCTTGCTCGAGCCAGGAACACGGCTCACGGCTTCAGTTGGCTTCAAATTTCAATCTTCTAGAGTCTACTTATTGAAGCCTGATGGTCGGAAAAGCCTCAAACTCTGAGATCTGAACTCTTCCCTTCTAAATTGAATATCAAATCATCACAAATCATTTCTGATTTTGTGATTTTGACCGGAAGAAATGTTCAATACCTTCAAATTAGCGCACCTACAGAAATGGGCCCTGTGAGACCCTGTGTCGTCAGCTGCCACGCGCGAACCGTTGCAAAAAATGCCCTTTTGCGGCAAGCAGCGAACGAACCTGAGCTATACGTTCCGTCCGGTCCGACTTATTGCTGAATTCAATTGCGGACCGAAAATGTTGCGTCGTGGACTTCCAAGCCATCTTCTTGACATCGTTTCACCAAGAGATCGCGAATGTAAGTCTATTTCTCGATAGAACAGCTTGAAGTACTCATGATCTCTCAATAATTTATCCACCAAAGGTAAAACAAAACATACAACAAATCGCTGATATAGTTTGAAGCTTCAAGTCCGTAGTAGCCGGAAACCAAAAACATGATCCTTTCTCCCTGCGCACGTTTGCGGTCCTTGCCTTGGAACTGTTTATGACTGCTCCGGTCCTTTTCTAGGTGCAGTGAATCTCTTGAACAGTTTTCGCCACCGTCTCCAGAGGTCTAAGGCGTGTCCCGGTAGTACTACTAAAGATTAGTGCGCCCCCAACCGCTCTTACAAAATGGATAACTCAATGACGACGCGTTCTCAAAATCAATTCCATTCACGTGGCTTGTACCCTGCTCGTACCTTTGGACCTGCCTTTCTCCAAATTCCGCTCTGTTGTGGAGCTCCGCCAGATAGAAATTCTCGTATCCAATACCGCGCCGACTCGGATATCCCTGTTCATCTGCATCGACAAATTATTCAATGCCCAACGACGGATTACTACTCTGCTTCGGTTCTTCCCCAATAATTCCTTCTCGTTACTACATACGACGTCGCGCAGCACCTGATGATATCTGGGTGACCAAGTTTCCATAGAAGTCTAAGAAGAACTTGTCTGAAGACCTCTTGGGATACTCCATTATATGCTTGGCCGAGCGCTCTTGATCACCGGAAGAATCATATATGACATAAGTGTTCTCCACTTTTGCCCCATCTAACTCAGATGTAAGCCTTTCCTATCCCTTGGGGGAGCTGGCCATCGCCGACTTTGTCACTTGCGAAGGTTTCATTCCACGTGATAACAGCAGCTGAACTCCAAACTCCACTTTTTTTATTTTACCGAGCCTTTCCAATAAAAATGCCGACTGCTTTTTGAAGACACCGAAGCTTGACCGATGCCTATGTACCGATGCGGATTCTGGCAATCAACATTGCGTCGCAACAGGGGCGTGGAGAGTCTTTCAAATCAAGGGTAGCGACAGCAAAAATTTCAGAAAGGCGACCGGTGACCAGCGTGAGCCAGCATGACGCCCAAATGACGCCTTTGAAGTTTGAGTCCTCGAGATTTCGTCGCGCCAAGCGCACAGTGCGTAGCGCGAATCAGTCAGGTGATCGCGTATGTATTATTGGCCAAACCGTTCAAGAAACTACAAAATGCAGCAAAGCACTATCGCGATGGTCATTCAAATGAGTTCACTTGAGCAATGGGTTTATGACTTTTCCGCTTCGGTATTTCTACTAATTGAATCATATTATAATATTGGTCAGAACTTACAGCTAACTGCATAATCGTAGACCGCATCTGAAATTTCACTTTGCGCCTTTGTCTGTGCGTAAACATCCGTTTTAGGCCGTGGCTATGTAAACCATGACGCCGATTCGCGCGTGCTGCCCATTGCTCCAAGTTCTAGCACCGTTTCGGTAGTTGCTCCAAACGCTCCAATCCCGCCCCGCACGTCATAAGGGTGGAGCGGTTGGAACCTGCCAACTTGGAAGGGCGTTCTACCTAATACGGTTGTTTGTACAAATAAAGGCGCACAAAGTAAAATTTAGATATCGTCTACGGTTATGCAGTTAGCTGTAACACGCAGAAATCCATAGGAGCAGAAGAAGGTAAAACCACCATTTGACCACCATCTACATATGTTCACTGGCAGTTTCGAAGTCCATTGTTACCCTCTCAGAAATGCGCAAGGAATGGAGGAGCAAATCACATCGCGCTAACAGCGCCTCACTTTCCTCCTCATGGGTTTCCCACTCAGCAACCTCGGTCAACCCGACATGCTCATCACCCCATCGTTCAGTCTGCGATCCAAATCGAATAGGATGTGTTCCAAGAAGGTCAGAATTTGTTTCATTGGCTGGTGCAAGTGATCTGGATCCCATGAGGGGTGTGATGAAGCAAAGGGGAGCCAATACAAGATGGACGGTGGCGATAGCAGACTTGAATGGTTCGATATTATGGTTAACAGAACCAAACAAGCGGGCCTATCATTCGTGCATTCAGGGAGTAGAATATGACGAGGCAAGCTATATGACATACCAAGTAGAAAAGGATAACTTTTATGAAGTCGAGCACCATTCCTACAGGCACAACCTGCGTGTTACAAACTCCAGGTTGTGAGATGAAATGCCGTATACGTTTGGAATCTGGAGCAACCTCCTGGATGGACTGTTGTTCCAGAGCAGTAGCTATGAGGTCAATTTGGTATTTAGAACCCTCGTAAGAGTGGTCCGTATTCTTGAGCTGCCAGTCTTCTGAATCGTAGAAGCAGGGCAGGGCTTCGAGGGACGAAGACCAAATTACCCTGGCCTCAGTAGGGGACGCCGTCAGCAAAGGCTGCAGTTCACGGAACTGCAAGGTGGTGTCAGAAGTTAAATGGACCAATGAAAAAGCCTAATTTACCAAAGTATAATGCGAAAACGTGTTGCATTGCCAAACCCAACCCAGGCCGTCGATACTCAGCTCTCCCTTGTGTTGAAGGTTGAACCTTGGGTGTGTCACCACACCAACAGGATCTGTAAAGAATTGTTGAAAGAAAGTTGGCCAATGGAGACCCTTGAAGCTATTGACGCCAGCATTGCAAATTAGGTGGGAAATGTAGGGGTATCTATTTCGAAAGTGAGGGTCCTGCCACGAAGCCACCAACAACAGGGACTTACCTCTGCGATAATTCTTCTGCAAAGCGAAATACACTCACGATCGAAGCAAGGTCGAGATAATGAAATTGGATGTCAACATTCTCCCGGAATTTGTGAGCGTGTCCATCATAATTAGGGCTTTTTCGCAAGATTTCAACGTGTGCATTGAAGAGACGAAGAAGCTTCGCCCGAGCCTCTGCCGCACGCTTTTCACTTCTACATGCCATTATTAAAGTGAGACCATCATAAGTGGTGGGTATCTCCGTCGTTTGGGTATCTGGGGCAAAAGCCTGAGGGAGAGCATCGGTTGGGTAGGCCTGGCTCAACTGGAAAAGAAGACGTTGGCAGATGCCAAACCCTACACCTCTAAAGTCTCTTTTCAGCACCATTCTCCCAACGCTGGAAATATATGACTCACGCATTAGCACCTGTTACGACGATGATTGGTTTTGAGGAAATGACCATGGCGCGTTCAAACTTCAAACCGAAGATAGACAGGATCGCGTTTCTCAATAAATTAGAGTCGTGTGAACATTGTTGACAGACGTAATACACGAAACTCTATCTACTTCTGCGGGTTGATACAAAGATCTGTAACAGTTCAGTACATATGTTGGATAACCTAGACAACCTTGGCTGTCGAAAAAATGACACCATCCCGGAAAAAAAAATATGAACCGAGAAAAAGAGATATAGTGCGAACCATGATGATGAACATTGTGGGGATCTTCCAACCCGGCAGCCTTCAGGAGGAGGGAAGCATGAAGCTGATCAACCCTCCCAGAATCCCTAAGGCTGCCCAATAACGTCATGGCAAGGGTACTTTATTGACAGATGTGTCTCTGTCTGGTGGACGGGGGCGTAAGGCGCCAGCATGGCCATTCTCCCGAATCTCCTCGCCGTCATTAGATAATGTCTCAGGTAAGGTAGCTGTAGGCGTTAATGAATCTGAGCTTGAACTACGAGTAGCATCAGTCTTCACAGAACTTTGTGTTGGTGTATCTAATTCAGTAATAAACAAACATTCAAGGGGATGGAGAAAGACCGGACGCACGATCAGCGATGTCGGAGAACCTCCTGGTGAAAGGTTGGACTTTCGATAAGTCAGTAAGGGCAGTTTCAAGTGGCGAGTCGAAACTTGCTCGGAACGATTCGTTCGGTGGGCAGGTTGGGGTACTGTTGTCGGTGCAGGTTCCAGAGAGACCGCCGGGGACGAAACTGGGAATTATACTTGATCCTGCAGGTGATGCAAGTGCGATGGCCGCAGCATTCTCCTGTAAGCGGCTCGGCGATGGCGTTGCGCGACCTTTGGGGATGTTCAGTCGCTCGGCAACATTGCGAGCTTGCGCCGCTTGTCCAGTGTTCATATTTCGCATGGCGTCGGGGCGAACATCAGCCCACATTTGCAAAGCTTTGATAGAGCCCCATTCGATAATCTTGTTGTTCAGCCAGAGGAGCGACACAGGCTTGGTCAAAAAGTCATTGCACCCAGCTGCAAGCGCAGCAACACGATCACTCTGTAGCGATGAAGCGGTGAGGGCGACGATGATTACAGAAGAGCGATAAGGCGAGGCGGGCGGTCGACTCTCCGACGACGTAGCAGACACTGATGATTCTGATGGTGTCCTTTGCCCTTCTGTTTCGGTGGAGGGTGTTAGATTAGGTGGATACCCAGATGCTGCGTTGCTCTTTTCTAGGCGCCGTATCTCCTTTGTTGCTTGAATCCCGTCCATGACAGGCATTTGGATATCCATCTGATTAACGAGGTCAAAAATAATCCTCTAACTTGCAAGAGACTAACCAAAATCAAATGAAACTGTCCTGTGCGCCATTTTTCAACGGCTTCTTGTCCATTGCTCGCCAATTGATAAGTAATCTTCTTCTTTTTCATAAAGGTCGAAAGAATGGTCTGATTGATTGGGTTATCTACGAAGAAAATCGTTAGGGCTCGCAAAGAAAGAAAAAACAAGATAAAGATGACCACACCATCAACAATCAGGACACTAATGGGCGGAACGATGTTACCATCAGCTGGCGCCTTCCCCTTTTTATTGAACGAATCCTTGTCTTGAGGTGACGGGCGTTTGTTGTAACTCCGTCGAGAAGGTGTGCCCTCAGGGTAAGGGGATTGTGGAGGTGGAGATAGATTGCGGTTGCTTTCAGATGGTCGACGTGGGACAGGTGCAAGGATACTAGAGGCAAGCGATGGCATTGAACTTGGAGGTGTTGGCTGCCTATCAGGAATTTGAACATTGAGCGATGAGATGGACTGCGAAAGGCCTCCTTCGCCAGACTCAGATGACGTGGTTTTAGGGGACATAGCTGCGTGCAATGACGAAAACGAAACAACGGCTTCACCGAAGCTGTTGGGAGTTAATCTTGACGCGGACGCCTTACGAGGGGGCGGCACTCCCAATTGGCCTTTATCTCTTTCCATTAATTGACTGGATGGGTTCCGCGAGCCTTTGCTGCGAGGGTGGAAATAGATGCCAGCGGGCTGGCCATCTGGGCTCTGAATGACAAGCCCTGAAGAGGGAGAAGTTCCTAACTTTTGGGCTGCTGCCGAGAAATATTCAACGTTGTCAGGTAGTGCAAGGGGTGAGGGAGGAAGATTTGATGGTTGCTCCAAAATATCTTTCGTGGATCTAGTGGAACGATCGGAATCGGAGCGAGAGCCAACAGGCCGGGATTTGGTTGTGGAGGTGGTTGAGGAGGGACTGGCAGGAGGGTTGCTGCTCACACTATTGTGGCGACTGCTGAAAAATGACGTTCGTGTGTTGACGCCAGGACTCGTAGGAGACGTTGCGATAGGTATGAATGAGGAGTCCACAGTTGGTTTTGTAACTGCTGTGTGAAGTGCGGTCAGACAGCGACGGGGTCCAGCAGGTTTGGGGATTATCATAACTTCTGGCAAAGGGATAGAAGACGCAGTGTAAGAAGTCACGATACTTTGCATAACATCCTTCAATAATTTGTATTTAGAAAGACTGGCAAACATCATTATAGTCGCAGGCACCGGTTGGCGAAGTGTAGTGTTTTGCCCCAGCAGACGGGCTAAGTGAGGTGACGATCGTGGTCGATGGTTGGCGGCTAAAGAGGGACGCTTGCGTGGATTGCGGTATGACGACGGTTGATTTTGTTCTATCCGTAACGCTTGAAGACGCTCTTTAAGAATGTCAACGTTATCGTCAATCAAGATAAACAAAGGTGACTCTGTCAGCGGTTGTGTGGATTCTGCATTGAATAGGACACCGGATCCTAGGGTGCCTTCTGCGTTCGCATGATAGGCTGATAAGACTTGCGGCGTTTGGTTTTTAGCTGGGGGTGGGGATATTGGGGAATCAGTCACTCCGTCGACATTTCCGTCAGGTGAAACGTGGCTAACATCCATTCCCCAAGCTGTCAGATAGCTTGTAAGATGTTGTGCGAAAGAACGTTTAGAGCTCGCATATAACGTTGTCTTTTTTCCCTTCAACGATTCCACAAACGTTGTCAGTAATTCAATACTTGGTTCGGGGCTGCCACCACTTTCTGTTCCAAACTCTTGTATAGGCGTTCTCGGAGGAGAAGCTACACTCTGCAAGGTGAACCGAAGATCGCATGTACGCCCACTTGTAAGTGATTCAGGAATTAAGAGTTCGGGCTCCAGAGTTCCATCAATCTGGTCAAGTATTTGGTGTAACAGCTGCGCTGAAAATGATGCTCTGGGGCGGGTTGGTGATTCTGAGGTGTTCGACCGACTTGTTCCCTGGTCTAATTCCGAGGGCCCGTATTTGTGTGATATTCGAATGGTAAACTGAAAGGCAGAACCCGCCAGACTTGGTAAATCTCTCAACTGTTCATCGTCCAGAGAAACAACATTCGGGGGGTCCGGGTGCGTATTGACCGGCGTGACAAGGAGGCCAAGCTCTATTGAGTCTCCTCGCTGAGCAGTGTGTAGGACTTGCCGGACGATCTGTGAGAAAACGTCAATCCTATTTGAGATGGAAGAGTTTGAAAACGAACATGACAAAGAGCGTAAGAGATTGCACTCTCGTCGCCGAGAACGTAGATGTGCTTCAGACTAACGTCGCCATGATAAATTACCAAATCCACGCCAGCCTCAGCCGCAGCGCCACTCAGAACATCGCCAACACACTGCAGCGTCTCCCCAATATCAAATTCGTTGAGGATCGGTGGGCTTAAGCGTGCGGGAGATTTCTCTGCAGCGCGTGGGCTCATTGGTTCGCTGCAGAAGGCCGACATGTTCGCAGAGATATAATTTATATTCTTCATGGCAGTGAATATGGCAGAAATGGAAGAGGTAGGCACTGAAAGAGAACATGCTGACAACTGTTCCTTTGTGGGGTCCAGAACCTGAGGTGGCGATATCTGCAGCATGGTCTGAATAATCATCTGGCTGGCGTCCGCGAGCTCCACTGAGAGTTCATGAACTTGAGCAGATTGAGCGGAAGAGAAATAAGAATCGGAGCGGACGGGTAATGAGGGGCCAGGTCTGTGAGGATGCTGTAATTGGGCAAGTTGCGAAGGCAGAGGCATGGAGTAACGCCTTGAGAGCAGTGATGAGGGTTTGAGGAGATCATCATCCTGAGTATTTGGCAAATCTGAGCCATAACCTAACAGTGGGGTGCTAGGTTCCTCTGTTCGGTAGATGTCTCCGGAGTTATCCCCTTCCAACGGCTCCCCTTCTAAGCTAAGCATCTCGCCCTCTGAGGAGCTAAACGACGACCTCCGTTCGTGATGAGAAGCCATCATGTTCTGACGGCTTGTGGAGGCGTATGAGACGCTGAACTTGCTGCTACTCGGTAAATCGAGAGCAACGAATTCCTGCATGCCATCCGTCGACGACAAGTGCATTGCAGGGAGCATAGGCGCACTCATAGCCCCGACGTGGCCCTAATGAGTGTGTCTCCGATTAACTTGTTCAATGGGTGGTGTCTTGAAGACGTGATCAACGTCGGCAACGTTCTCAAAGTGTCTAGAGCTGGCTATTGTGCAGATGCTCACAGCAGAATGGCTGGCAGAAGTTTGAGCTTCAAGCTTCCAAGTTGAGATCGGGGGTTACAACTATAAAGCTGACCAAATACAGATGTCCCTCGAATTTCAATTTAAATCGTAATCTCATCCTATTTTACAGCCGGAGTATGCGTAAGTACGCCGTGTCTCACAGTCAGTAACATAACTCGATATCGCCCTGGATGAAACAAGGTAAGCGTAAAATTTCAATTGGAAGATATGAAAACAAACCTCTGCAACCAAGTCCATGTCATGATAGCTCACTCTCTTACCTGCCGCGGCACGAGGATCTTCCTTGGCATCGGGTGGTGGGGGCGGAGGTGGTCCGCTGGCCGAACCACCTGTATTTCCCCTATTCCTCCGACCGTTTCCAGTTCCGCTTCCACTCACAAGCGCTGTGTCCATAGCAGCTAAAGTGGGCTTCGGAGGAAGGCCTGCGCCGGCAGGAATAACCGAGCTTTCAGTTGCAAATCCGCTGATACGGTCGCTTAACCGTCGAGCCGTTATTAAGTCATCGCGTCTCGAAGACGGCATTGGCACGGGATAAGCGCCGACACCAGGATACATGGCACCTGGGAACGGAGGGGGTTCCCAGTAACCATTGTGATACGGAGGAGGAGGATAGGCGCCTGGAGGGAACGGTCCATTAGGGTAAAAGGGAGCCCCTCGACCAAATTCACCTCCATAGAATGGAGCTGGCCCTTGGATGCCGTAGGCTTGGGGTGGCGGCGCTTGGCTGCTGTTTCCAACGGCAGCTGGCGGATGTGCAAAGGGCTGAATACGATGTGGATCAAGAGCGAAATTATTGAAGTATGGAAGCTGCCAAATGAGGTTAACGATTGACGCGAAGCTAGGGAGAAGATGATAACTGTACCTCATCAAGTTGTTTCACCAATTCTGGATGTTTATTGGCAATATGTTTCTCAACAAAAGATGTAGCTTTGAACAGCTTTTGACAAGTCTTGCATCTGAATTTGCCCTCGTCCTCTTGTTTGATGTACGGTTCAACTGCCTTGGTCAACTCCCTGCCATGGACGTCAGTAAGATGCTCGTCAGACCCACAAGCAAATACGTACTCCTCGTAGCTTTTGCCACCATATTGATGCGGTTCAACACCATCTCGATTGAGAAGCAAGGCGAGCTTTGAGTCAAGCCAGTCAATCCAGCGCTCATCTACGACGACGTGTAAACACAAGAGGCAGGAGGGATAGGAAAAACAAACCATTGCGCTTCCAATCCTTGTTGTCAGAGGAGACCTTGGCGGTACTTTCTTTTTTCACCTCCTTCTCCTTGTCAGCATCTTCATCCTTGGACTTCTTCTCCTTCTCAACATTCTCCGCAATCTCCGCCTTCATTCCCTCAAGCTGTGCCTTGGACAATGGTTTTCTCGCATGTTTCAGACACTTACGTTGCAATTCCTCAAGATGGTCGGTAACAACAGAGCAATAGTAGCATGTGTGGAAAGCAGCCCGAAGATAGGCAAGATACATATCCAGCGAGACTACAGCCTGGAGCACCCTCAGAAACAGATGGCGAGGACGAGAATCAAGTCACGGACCTTCTTTGCTTCATGAGTTTTTTCATCATCCATGTTGACCAAACCTTGGCTACGCATGTCAGCCATAACTTTCTCGATCCTGCGCTCTACTGCATCGCTTCCTCTCTCTTTTGGTTCAGGTTCCTCCTCATCCGGAACCTCCGGGGCTGCCATGACAGTATCGGTGTCAGAATTAGTAGGGGCCGAACCCTCTTCGGTCTTGGGTGCAACTGGTTGAGGTTTGGAAACGCGTAACTTTTCGGCCTCCGCCTCCAAGATAGCCGCAAGAGCTTTTGCGTTCGCAAGATCTTTCTCTATCCGCTCAGGTCGACTGGCCACTTCGGGTGCATAGCGAATTTTGTTGACAAAAGGCCGAAGATTGTGAGTCACATGCAACTTGAACCCTTCAATCTGAAAAGAATTTGTTAGTCATCAGGAACAGCCATGCCTGTTCCACAAAATACCTTTTTTTCCGTCAACTCCAACATGACAGTGGGCATATCCGCATCGTCTGTGAAACGAAGCCAACCTGCACGATAGTAATTGCGCTTTTGCAAAGGATCACCCAGTGCAATATAAATAAAACCAGGGATTTTTGAGCAAGCCTTACCGGAGAGACGTCAGAAAAGCAAAGAAATGTGGGGAGCAGTCTTACCTCCTCCAGTTTGACGCGTCCGATATCGGGAGGGATTGTCCTAATCATAACTTGGTTCCCCTCGGGCGGCACGGAAATTTCTTCACCGCGAACTTGACGTCTATTATCCGAGGAGGCCTTTCCGTTCGCATCCACGCGCGGGGCATCTCCATCAGCCGCCTCTTCATCTGCATCAACGTTGAATTGCATGTCATCTTCGCCAGCCGTGGGCTTGGTGTTATCAGTAGCGGTGGGTACAGCGGTTCCATTCGACTCAGCCTTTGTGTCGTCATTGGCAGGGTTCTCCTTAACAGGAGATGAGGGTTCCCCATCAGGCTCGTTCAAATCTGGGTCAAACTTGCCCGATTCAAGATCATCAAGAAAAGTGTTAAGCCGCCCCTTCCAACCCTCTTTTCTCACCCTCATCCGCAAATTCTGGAATTCCGGAGCTGGGTCATATTTTTCGGCAAACCAAGGTGACTTCCTATGATGTTCAAACATTGTTTGAAGCTAGAATACGACACGAGGAAGAGTTTAGATATTTGTCTGACATAAGCAGAATGCAACGAGTCGCAAGCAAGTAGAAGGAACGAAGCGAACAAAATGGGGGAAACGTACTGACCTGAGTTGCAGCAAAATCCTTCTTATACTTTTCCCATTTACTTTTGATACCGTTACGGGGTTTTGAGCCATCACCAGCTTCGTGTTCAGCGGCCTTGTCGGCATTGTCCTCGTCGATTGCTTGTTGAGGAAAATAGTACCGAAACCACTCCGCGTATTGCTTCAGCGAAGCGGGATAGTCAAAGGTGTGTGGGTCTGGCGGAGCGCGTCGGTTTGGAGGAAACGAAGAACCATGTCCACGGCGCGGTGACGAGTAGCCGTACCCGCGAGAATGGGCATCTGGAGAATTGTGTGAGCGCTGGAAAAAGTTCAGAATCAATGCAGTATATCAAACCGTAGTCATCGTTGTAGCGCGGTCTTGGTTCATATCTGTCCCTCTCGTAAGGAGACATTGATCTCCGTCGCTTCCTGCCAGCTAAACAACGACAAATGTGGGAACTTGCACAGAGAACTCGTAGAAACATGGAACTTGCCTTCGTCAGGTTGAGGGCTACGACTCCTTCCCCGGCGGGAATAGTCATAAGCCATGCGGTCTCGTTCGTGATTAGCCCAAGCTCGATCCCTGTCATAGGCATCCCAGTCTGGCCTATATGTTTCTGGGTATGCCGAGTCAGGGTGAGGAGGTCTAGGTGGATAAGAACCGCGTGGAGGAGAACGAGAGCGAGAATGGCGCGGTGGAGGAGGATACGACGAAGACCAGGACATCTTTTAGAGGGAAAGAACTGAGTAGTCAAGAGAAGCGAATATGACACGAAGGCTGATCAGAGCCTGGCGGAGAGAGGTCGAGCATAGTGAAGCACAGACCTCTTGGGATCACGACACAAAGCGTGGGCGTTGGCTACTGCGACGAGCTCAACTCTGCTTTCAACACGCTGAACTGTGTTCGCGATGAGGTTGCAATTACGCCGAGCTCACGCTGTCACTCGATTCAATCTCCGCTCCACCTTCCGACAGGCCCGTGCGTACCGACAACGATGAGCTCTAAAATATGCTACTCAATACATTATCTAGAGATACTGTGTCGTCTGTGGGGGCCACCCTTTTCTCTTTCTTCTTCCTGTGCTCCGTGTCGTTCCCGTCGTCGGCGGGCCTTTTCCGCGAGCGTTCCATTGGTTTCATCTCCAGCTCTTCGCCCTTCTCCCTCTTCTTCGCCGCCCGTTTATCTAGTACGCGGGCAAGCTCCACATTCTTCATATAGTCTTGTTGTTCAGACCGCGACTGAGAAAGTTCCACGCGCAGCTTAGCCGAGTGGATAGCGGCTTCGTGAGCTAATGCGGAACGGAGTAAGGGAACTCAGGAAGATAAACAGAATAATGAAATGGCAAACTCACCGACTTGTTCCGTAAGCATGTTCCATTTGAACTTGGGAAGGTATTTCATCGTCCAAATGTCGTCTCTCCAACGTGAACCCTTCTTGCCTCCAATGGGCTGAGCATTCAGCATCTCAGCAACGCTTCGTGCAATCTTCTTGTCTTTAAACTCCACCCAGCCCTCAGTGTAATGCGGCTTCTTGGTAGTTGTATGCTTGCGCCTGAGATATGCTCGCTTCGCATCTGTCATTAAGGATGAATTTTTGTCAAAAGATAATTTCGGTAATCACGCACCTTCTTGCTGAAGATATACCCTCCCAGTCTCGCCGTAGGCGCTCATCAAATGACGAACTTTGGCGGGTTGCATTCCGGGAGGGATTCTTGAAATATAGATAACCCCTGCACGATCCTGCGCAGCTTTGAACGCAAGCAAAGCCTCCTTGGTCAAAGGTTTGACGACCTTCTCCCCAGAAAATCCGGCGGGGTCCATTCCGCGTCCTAAACCAGTTTCTTCTTCGTCAAATCCATCTTCGATCTCATGCAGCGATCCCGCTTCGCCGTCGTTTTGGGGCAATCGTGAAGGGCCAGCTTCAGTTGTCATGGGCGATTGGGAAGTCTTTGACCAAATTCTCAAGCTCTTGTGCAACAACTGCAAATAGATATCCTCAGGCTCCTCATTGTCCTTGTATGTAGCGGGGTAAATACTGGGTGAATACATAGGTAATCTGCAATTCCAAATCGATAAATAGCCCCTGAGTCCATGGTAAAACGCCCCTGTTCGAATCCAGATTCCAAACAGAAACGTGGTTCACCTAATCGTCGTCGCTGTCGCTGGAAGAATAATCATCGTCGCTAGGCAGCTCCGCCCCAGCTCCACCAACAAGCTGCTCTATTGATATTGGTTGCACTTCAGGCTCCTCGGACAAGGCAGTGGTTAAGAAGTCTTCATCTTCCATTCCCTCCATCTGGCGGTTGAGTTCCTCCTCGAAATCGTTCACGTCAATCTCTTCCCTATTGTCATCCCCAAATACATCATCCGCCTCCCCCGTAACTTCAGGTGGGTTCGACGGCTCTACTGGTTCCCAGTCTTCCTCCGAATCAGAATATATGGGAGCAGGAGGAGGAACTGGCACGGCTGCCGTACGCGTCGAAGAGCCAGAAGCCACTTGACCTGGAGGGATAGGAGGAACAATATATGACGATGATAACCCAGGAAGGGCAAGACCAGACGAAACCGGATTAGCGGGGGGGTTGGGCGTCGATGGCCGTGCTCGCTTGGCAGGCTTTCCGAACTGCAGCACTTCCTCATCAGCGTCCGAAAGCACAGTGACTTCCGGCTCCTTTTTTGCTTTCTTGACCTTTGGTATCGGGCGTGGTTTCGGCGGAGCTGGTTTTATTATCACTTGAGGCACCGGGGCCGGTGAAGGTGTAGGTGGTAGGTCCACTCGAGACTTGGGTAACGGTTTGACCGGTCGTGTAACCTTTGGTATTGGCTTAGGAGGTGACACCGGTCGCGGGGGTATATCTATTTCTTCCTCCTCCTCCTCCTCCTCCTCTTCCTCTTGCCTTTGGGCGATTGCATTTGGCACAAGTTCCACGTCGGCTTCCCCTTCGGCGTCTTCGTCGATGAGTCCCAGAATATCTTCATCCACTGTATCGCGTGCAGTATTTTTTGGTGCAGGGGACGGGGCAGCGGCTGTACGGGGATAAGTCTGCACCTGCATAGCAAACAAAAATAACATACCAGGTGCCGGACGAGGCGCGGACGATGCCGCTTTCCGTTGATAAGTAAGAGTCATGCACGAATCTAGTTTCTCTAACGTGTATGTCTACACCGCCCCTCAAAATTAGCATGACGTAGAAAGATACAACATATTGAACGTACGCCGGTCTCTTCGTCGTAAATGAGAACGCACTCCCACTCTTTTGCCGCAGCCTCTGATCCCAAAAATACTTGCTTCTCGCCAGCCTATAGATAGCCAAAGATCAATAAGCAGTTAACTTTGCTGATATACCGCGCACCTGGGAACCAGGATACTCCACCGTGACGCTGGTGGATTCCCCCCTCTTAACCTCTATTGTACCAGGTTTAGTCATGTCGACAGAAGGGGGTTTGAATTTATCTGTGAACAGCGTCATCGTACGCCCAATTCTAAGCAACAGGAAGAAAGACGAACATCGAAATGAGTAGAAGTCGCGATCTGGGAGATTCGACCGTTTTGCCGTAGCAGGTTCTGAGCCCTTGAGCTTGCGGGCTTTCAGAGCCCTGCCCAATGACGAGCCTACGTTCACGGGATGGCGTCCTTCGGGCATCCATCGTGTGTCGGAGGTCGCCATGGTGGTTCAGAACAACTTCAGCACAAGGCGTTTACAATTAGCCATTACATGTGCTGACTAAGCGGTGGGTGGGTGGAGTTGATCAAGGACAATAAGAAAAGACATGGAAAAGACCGATGGATTACTTAGTCGTGAAATTTCATGCTTCTGGTCACAGTAGGGCGACCAGAAGGGTGCGCGAGTAATAAAGTTACATCTGGTGAGTCTCTAAAATAATATAGTACACATACCACAGATCCTTCCATCAACTGACATACCGAAATCGAACTGCACCAATTTGATCCTCAATCTCTTCCAAATCCATATTCTTCTCAATTCCCGGCGTTCGTTCACTGACGAATTCCTTGGCGTAAAACGCTGCAACCCACGAGTACAACCCGAACCCTCGACGAGGCACGGACAACGGAAGCCTCGGAACAAACAATGCAGCGAGAACCCCAACCAGGCAGACTATGATGAGGGTGACGACGAAAGGGACAGTGAAAATCGCAACGCTGGTCACAATGCTATCCGGATATTGGAAAGCTAAGAGGAGGCCTGACCCTGCAAAATAGGGTAAAACGTTTCTAGCGTCGGCCATTGCTCTAGCTTGGGCATAGAGGGTTTCCGAGAGTGATGTATACCCATTAGGCCCATTGCGGCCTGTGTACGAAAGGAGCTGAACGACGGGTGAGCACCACGGAGAAACATCAAGGCATAGAGCATACAGTTGCTGATGGGGCATAGGTCGTATGACGCCCGTTATCCTATTTCTTCTGAGTACTTGAGGTCAATTTATTAGATAGGTTGCAACAAACCTTCAAAATCTGGTTGATACTACTCTGGTGAGCAATCGTAAACCTGCGTAACAATATAGTGAATCTGCATCGCAAGATAAAAAAGAACATACACGGTGGGGTAATTCGACGACAACAACTGCCGCTCAACGGAAGGGTCCGTGGCAAGCGTTTTCTCTGCTCGCTGGTGAGTCGACATCGCCGCCGCTTTGTCCACGATCCGCAAAGAGTTTGGGTATGCGACGGAGCTATTATACAATTCCACCACCCATGGTTCGTACAGCTCAAGACAAACGGCGGCGTCGAAACCGATGAAAGTAGGTGCTCCATTTACGTCGGGAATGCTGACATCGCCGAGACGACTAAAGCTACCTTCAGGTGCAAAAGTCGTATTTAGCCTAACAAAAATGTTTTCTAGCGTGACGAAGCCAGCGCCATCTTCACCTGAGGCAACAAGTTTGTCAGGCATCTTTCTAGAAACAGGTAACTGTGCTCACCAGTGCTCAAAGGCGTGGTCCCCATGTTATAAGCCATGCCGTCATTCCAGAACTTGGCTAAAATTGCAACAATCTAATAAAGCTGGGCGACATATCTGAGTCGAATTCAAGCTTACCTCCCAGAGCAATGCCACTCATGTTGAGGGCCTCAGGCAAAGAATCCAGAGGATCAACCAACGCGCTGAAGTTGTACGGCTGTTCAAGGTTTCGAGGGAAATCCCTGCCCAAATGAGAGAAGAGGGGACGAAGGACCTCTCTCGGAGTGAAAAGGTACGACATATCCGTCTCAGAAAACGGAACGCTGTAAGAAGGCAGAAATAAACTGGAGTCAGTAATGGCGATTGCTTGTGAAAGACGACAATACCACTGACTGACATGTTCGCATATCCATCCGGTATCTTCGCGCAACTTATTCTAATACCCCAACGAGGAAAGCTGAACGTCCCAGGTAAAACACAACAATCAAGCGTCGTAGAATAAGTCACATACCGCAACACTGAACCAGGGTCAACATTCAGAGCAGGCGCTGTCTGGTTGAAGACAGGATCATCAGGGTCGATAGATGTCATGGTAGTTTTGTCATCGAAAGTCCCAAGACCGGTTCCATTTGGGCGAAGTTGTTCGGGAATGATCTCGGCAAAGAAAACTGCGGTGTTTTCCCAGAAGAACGAAACGGCGGGAGGCACACCGCCATGCAATGAGGACGGGGACAACGTCCACGCGAGTTGACGATTCTAGCCCACAGATAGTCTAGAGCAGTCACAGTAGAAAGGCTTGAATCACACCTGAAAGATGCTTTGAACATTGTTCGCTCGTGAAAGATCATCAGCTGAAAGTGCGCCCATGACCGTCACTTCATTGTAATTCTGGTCTTGTAGCTTAGAGAGAATGATCAGATCGTCAAAGGCATCCGTTGTGGTCGTAGCGCTTACCTGAACATGTGTTTCAATGTTTACCAAACGGGAAAGAATAAACGGCAATGATCCCGCAAGGTAAACGAGACCAAGAAAGAAAAATATGAAGAGAGACCAAGGTCGTGAGCTAGTAGTACTCAGAATCGGCCGCCATCATATTGACCTATAGGAAAGAGGGTACTCACTCGTAACTCCTTCGGTTATCTCTATCTGTTCCGCGATAGTTTTGTCTATCCCAAAGCAAACGGAAGGCGGACCATGCGCTTGTCCAATTGTCAGAGTGCGTCACAAGATCCTTCAACCTCATCCCAGGGCGGTCTACGACACGCGATACATGAATGACAGTTGCCCAAGCTGTCCTCACTCAGGCGTTAATAATGGCATAAATAACAAAACGAAAAAGCGCACCAGATGCCTCCAGAATCCCTCTGCCCAGCCTCAACAAACTAAGTCCCAGAGAAAACCCAACCAACCCCGAACCAACACCAACAAAGAATCGCGCCCAAAACAGTGACCTTCCCCTGGCCAGGATAACGAAAATCAAGAGGAACGGGTACGCAAGTAAGCAGAGTCCAACATGAATCCACAACAATCTCCATCTTGGGGGCTCGAAGCCCTGCGCAAAAGGATGTTTTTTCGCCGGCTTGGGAAGGCCTCTCGGGTATAAAGAAGGAGTTTTAGTTTGTGGCTTGGAGATCGAATCCTTGACGGGATCGGAGAAAAAATTGCGGTAGAGTTTCATTGCATCGAACTCCGGCTGGGAATCATCGTAGATGGCCTCAGACAAAGAGAGGTATGGCGGTCGATGCTGGCTCCTCCGCCAGACAAAGCCTCCAGGCCTAGCAAAAGGGTCTACGTATAGTGGGTTCTCATCGTCTTTAACATCATCTGCATGTGGTGGCCCCTCCGTTTCTTGCCCTGGTGGTGAAGCAGGTGAGATAGGCAAAAGAGGTATTTGTTGCGTTTCATCCTGGTCATCGCGATTGTTATGGGGCCGACGAACATAGTCTGGTGGTGTGTGTCCATTTGAGCTCGGAGTCGTTGAGAACCGCAGCGGAGAAGGCGTGACAGGCGCCGTGGAGCCGCTGAGTCCAGGAGGTGAGAGGGAACGAGAACGAGGTTGTTGTGCCATCCATTAGCCGTGGGCCTGCGGCGCCAGGCTGGGTGAAGAAAAGATGTGACTGCAACAGTGGAAGGGGTAGAGATTGGGTAGAGCCACAGAAAGAATTAGTTTGAACCTGATTGTCAAGCTCAGCGCCACAAGGCAAGTATTTCTTGTTTGTGAACCCGGTCCAGCCGATTGGAGACGTCAACGGGTTTGCGCAGGCACCCTAAACCCCCTCGTGCGTACCTAACATGCCAACTCGGCAATAGATAGGCTTCCCAGCGCTTGAGAACGTCTCTGTCGATGAGTACACACACAAATCGCCTATATCAACGTCAGAGAACAAACCGAGGAAACACTAAATGGATCGTGGATAGGTCTGGAGACAATCTGGAGAAGCTGACATGCTAGGGTTCCCCACATGACACAAGGCGGATATTTATAGAAGTTCAGGGTTCCGACAAAACCGGCGTGCTGTTGTAAAGTGTGCACCGACAAGAACCTCAGTATTCTATCGCTCAAGTCTGCCAACAAAAATCTCATTAAAGACCCCTATCAAAAATATACCATTCTCAAGGGACTCATCATGAATCATCATCATCACCACCACCCTTCTTCTCATGTCTTTTCTTTTTCTTCTTTTTGCTTTTTTCGACCCCATCAGGTTCCTCAGCATCCATCTCCAGCTCCATTGCCGTCCGCTTGCGATGCCTCTTTTTCTCTTCAACAGTCTGCTCGGCTTTTTCCACAGGCGCGATGAAGGCCTCTGCGCGTTCCGCACGGCGTTTTTCTGTCGTTTCTGCTTGCTGCGGAAGGAGTCAGCGTTACGCATTGAGGTAAAACAAGGAAAAAGTACCTTTTGTTTTCTCTTCTCCGTTTCCTGAGCTTCCCTCTCAGTCGCCTTGAGGAAGTACTCTCCCGACTCCAATTGCAGATCGACCTACACATTCACATCAGCAAAAGAACATAAAAATCGTGCAAAAAAAGAAAGACTGGCCTTGCGAGGTTGCTGCGCAGGCGGGAAAGGCGTGTAAACTTTCTTTGCCGGTTTTTCCTTCTTCGCAATCTCCTCCGCGCCCATGCCCGCCGCCTTCCACGCCTCCTTCTTCCCTTCAAGTTTCTCGTTCTTCTTTGCCGTCTTCTCCGATGTCTTGAGATGCCGTTTTCTAAATTGTGGGAGGAACCGATCCCAAGACTCCGTTGCGAGTTTAGGGTCTTTCGCCAGCTCGCGCCGGATCATGAGCTCCTGTGCGGTTGTCAAAACATGTTTTTTGTAGGAGTGTGTAGGTTTTTTTACTAGCCTTTATGCGGTATATGGGATGTATGTTTTTCATACAATCGAGAACTATTCGTCGAACCTCCTTGAGCGACTTGTAAGGACCCATCACGCTCACTGTGCTTCCTTGCACCAGCACATAACAATTCGTCAATAGTTCAATGGCCTACTCTCCATTAGTTTTGTTTCTGTTACTTCAGATAAGAAGCCCAACTCACCTTGAGCGTACTCCCATCCGGTCCAATAATCCTCTGCCTCCGCTTCACAAACCTCTCCTTGTTCCGCACCAACGTCCCAATCTTGATGATATCACACGCAACCGCGTCGTCCAAAATCTTTACCGCTTGCGAGACAGCCACACCACGCGCCAAAAGTTTGATCATATCGCGGGCTTTGAGAATAATGTAAGGGTCGTAGGTTTTTCTCGTCGTCTTCACGGACATGGAACCATGGACCAAATCAAGTGTGCATGCTACTCCCTGTTAAACCATCCATGAATACGCAGACAGCGGCATACGCATACGTGAAAAAACGTTACATGTGTATCCAATGCTCGAGTAACCGCACTCCAGACTTCACGAAGGTATTTTTCTCGGTACTTGGGGAAAAGCGTAGCAAAGGACGATTCTTCAGTGAACGCACCAGCCTTGTTGTCCGTCGGCTGGAATGGGTCGACTTTCCACTGCCAATACGTTCGTGAGCTGCCAACTCGAGGTAACAGATAACTTACACTAGAAGAGCAGGTGAGCTGTGGTACCGATAGAAGAAAAAGCAGAACCCACTTACTGGTCAATATCATCCGTGTCCCATGCTATAAGAAAATTTGAGGACTCGACGAGTAAAAGCTATGAAAATTCGCTTACGCTTATCCTTCCGATGGGCTTTGTTCTTGCTCACGACTGGCTCTCCAGAATCCGACATGAATGGTGGTGGTCGACTTGTAATGTTTTGCGCTCACGGGACTTTTTTGGGACTTTTGTGTTTATTGACTTGCAACATCCTTGTTCACAACTTCCTCTCCCTCCTCCTCCTCCTCTTTTACAATGGACAACTTTCCTGACGGCGTCTCCCCCGATCTCCTCGTGCCACTCTCCTACGACGACAACATCGCCTACGAGGAGCAGCTCCCCACCCACTCCGACAACGACGCAGCATCCCTTGCTAACCGCATCGGCACCAGCAAAGTTTATTTACTCGCAGAAACGTCTGTAGCAACAGGCAGAATCGGCAAGGTGCGCTGGTAGCATGTCTTGGGCGTGTGTCGAGAACAAGTCCTGATATGCCCACAACCCTCTTTTCTCTCTCTCCCTCCCTCGCTCTCCCTCTCTTGAACTGGTCAGCGTAAGCATGCCGAAGAAGAAGAAGAGGAAGACGTTACCATGGAGGAGGACGACTCGATCGGAGAGGGTCTGTGTTCTTCTGTCTCTCTCTCTACATAAAATTCAATTATTGATAATGAAATAGACACAACATACAGAGCAAACGCTCTCTTATTCCAAGGGTCTCCTATAGCCCACTTACCAACAACACGAATATTCGCCTACGCAACACACTTTGACACGCACCCCATGGGGCTCGAATGGGTCGACGACACCACCTGCATCCTCGTATTCGAAACCAAAGCATCCGCCCGCCTCGCCTACCGGTACCTCCTAAAATCAGCATCAGAAGAACCCGATTTCGAAGGATGCATCACCGCAAAGTCCATCCCCATCGCTCTCTGGCCACCAGAAGAACGCATCAACAAGAGTCTGGGGAAGGGGGAGGGCTTGAAGGGCGTCATTCGCATGCGCTGGGCTAGGACGGAGGATGTCAAGAAGAAGGGCGCGAAGAACCAGAGCCAGTTTTACAAGAAGCACGGAACGGCGGCTGGGAAAGAGCTTTTCAACGGCCGGGATTTGCCCCCTCCAAAACGGAGGCGAAGGGAAGACGGAGGCGTTGATGAAGAATTGGAGCGAGCGCAACTTGATGACGAGTTGGACGCGTTCCTCGCTGCGGACGACGACGAGGTGGTTGAGGAGGTCGTGGAACCCGCCAGAGATCCCTCACCTCCTTCGAAGATGCGGTCCGACTATATTGCCGACGATGGGCGGACGTTACTTGAACGAACTTCGGTCCTGCGCATGCACTCTGACAATACACCCGACCTAGCGTCTCGGATCACTGCGCGTCTACCACGTCGGGCGCGGGGGGCGCTTGCCATGGACAGCGTGGGTGACCGAATAGAGTCTACAGAAAAACTGGAGTGGGGACCTTCATTGGAGCATAGTAGACGGGGTGGGAGAAGGAGAGATAATCCCCGGAGGAGTGGGAGACCCAAAACAGAGAGGAATGGTGGTCGGACGGAGAGACCGAGGAAAACACAGGAAGAGTTGGACGCGGAACTCGACGCGTTTCTCAATGAGCCCTAATTGCCGTCGTTTGATTTTATTGTTTATTCCCCTCCCCCCCTCTCAGTTTCTTATTATGTACCAATTGTACAAGCATTATGGCCCATTGCATGAAATCTTTGGATAATTGCCACCCGTCTCTAACTGGAGCACCTCTTTTAAGATTCCTTTTTTCCGACCGATGACATCCAAATGACATCTAAACAGGCTGGAGAGTATTGCGTCCATTTACATACCACAGTGAAGATCATCTCTACTTATCACATCACGAATCGCAGAAGTGTTACCAGCTGCCCTTCAGAGCCTTCAGGTTCCCAGTTACCTCATAATCATTCTCATGAAGTGGAACCGAAAACCATGATAAAGGGTGGATGTGCTCCCTGTTTCTGTCTCGCATACGCAACCAGATTTCTACTTAGGTTGAAGGAGAAATCTTCGTCAAAAATCGATTTTACCGAAGCAGAGGGAAGCCTTTATGTTGTGTTTTCGAGTGGAATAAGTTTTTAGTCCTGAAAGCAACAATTGAACATTCAACAAATATTCGACAAGGTATACATGTGTAGCTATCACAAAAAAGGACATCCCAATTATCTTTCCATCATCAATCGCAACCTTCGAGAAAGTAGATATTAGCACCGAGAAATAACTTCGGATCACGACTGCCCAGGAGATCCCTCAACCATCACACACATATAATAGATAAGTAAGCGAGAGGAGAGTTTTGCAATGTCATTTTACACCTGGGGATAAGGGCTCATCGGTTGTTGCTGTGGTGGTGGGGTGCCCGCGTAGCCGCTGACGGGTGTACCAGGGTTATATGGGGGATACTGGGCTTGGGGCGAAGGGAATTGGCTTTGGGGAGCCGAGAACTGCGAGATGCCAGTGTTGTCCATCTTGACCTCGTATGAGGGCTGAACGGGGGCGGAGATGACGGCGGGAGCGGTGAAGTCGTATTCGCGCACCGAACTGGTCCAGACGTTGGAGTGGCCCTTCATGTGCGCCATGACGGTGAATATGAGGAGGGTGATGGTATACGCCATAACTGCGAAAGAAAAGGTTGAAAAAATGAACTAGGAACCGAACAAGGTAGGAAAACGTACTCAAGAACCAGTTGATGAAACCCAGGGCCTCAATAGTCTGAGTTTCAGCACAGATAGTCGCAACGATGCCCTTGGCACGGCCACAGTTGCCAATCCACACAGTGCTGGCGACGTTACCCGCGGAGGCGACCCACATAATCCAAAGGAACCACAACCAGGCCAGCTCGACGACAACCATGGACGTCAGGGCGCCCTTGCGCCCAATGGAGATCATGAGCCTGACAAAAAAATTTTTTTAGAGGATTCATCGCGTATGAATGGAGGAAAAGACGCGTTACATACATAGCGGGTAATGAGAGAATGGTGAGGAGCCCAGTAGCCAGTGACAACGCAGCGTACTGGAAATAAGCACCACTAACGATCGAATTCGTCCACGAAACGATGTGCGCGCTCATAGCTAGGACCGCAAGACCCATCACACTCGTCGCGACTAAAAAAAAGGTTGTCAGTCGAGGAAGTAAAATAAATAAAAAAGAATCCAGAAACGGCGGCACGCACTAAAGACGATGGTCCGCGACAACGAAAGGAATTTGTTCACTTCAACCATACTTGAATTTGGGGAAGAGGAGGAGGGAGGACTTTCAACGAGTGGTGGGAAGGCTTAGGATGGGAGGGAAAGCCTTTGAATGTCTAGATCCGAATTTATGGGGAAAAGGTGAAGAGCAATCTTTAGATCCAGGGACGAGCACATATCCGATAAATGAATAAGTAAGTAGGGCTAGAACTGCCACGACGCGTTCCTGAGATGGTTTGCGGGATGCCAGGTGTCTTGGCATGGCGGGATCACTGAAAGTCTGAAGAAATTGCACACACGATTTGATAGTCGACCCACACTCGAGAAGGGGCTTATCATTATTGTTCTGCTGTGCCCGAGGAGAAAGAGCGAGCCAGTCGAGATTTTAGCTTTCAATTTCATACCTATGAGTCCTCGATCACCAGAATCTCCGAATCTGGACAAAGTAGAAATTCGTCGTGCGTCGCAACGAGATGATGCTTATTGTGGAATCAACCTTGGGGAAATTCGGTTTTCCTATTGTTCTGCTCCGTATATACATACGGCTTTGCAAACAACGTTGTTTTTATTTTGGAGAGGACGAGGGAGGATGCTGAAATTTTTTCTTGGCATTGTTCGGACGTTAGGCGGACGGGAATCAAATTGCAAGGCGGGATTTGGGAGGTAAACAGGGAAGCAAAAAAACAAATCAAAACAGTCATCCGTCACCTGTTCTCAGAAATCCCTCGGCGGCCCAGCCTCGAGGACAGATAAAATTCTGGCTCCTTTTGTCGTCCTCTGCCTTTCTTCCTGGTCACCAGCCTAGGTAAAATCTGTAGAAATAGAAAATGCAGTGCGCACAACATCAAAATCGGTGCGGCAGTGTACGGGTCCCTCTCATCGATATCACACGTTCAGGTCAACGATACATGTATGCGTACATTCAGGCATGCCGCATCGCATCCCGACGCGCTGCTTTGTCCCATGATTGTCACAGAGCGGAACCAGTTCCTGATAAATTGACGCTCGGAAAAGACACGGAAAAGCGCACTCTCAACGCACTCTAATTCCGTCCTTTGTCTACTTGGTGCACATTGGCATGATGGCCATGCTCAGTGCTCCAAAATTATATCGACAGTGTCCTCACCCTATCTGATGAAATGCGAGTTTACGTGAACTTTGAAGTACCCATTTGGGTTACTGGTACCAGTAGTAAGCTTAACAGTTGTCAGGGAATGGACGTGGAATCAAGCACAGCCAGATCACCATGAGAGTGAAAGGATGTAAATGGGCGTACGCGGCGAATCGATAAGAGCTTGCAGAATGGGTATCGGTTGTGAAGCGACGCCAGTCCGCGAACAGCCTAGAAGGGGTGAACAAGGTTATGGAGGGCTTTATGGGCGTCTGAAATGAAGTGGAAACAACAATGCATTCAAAGCGTCCCAAAAACAACACAAACGTCCGGCTGAGCTACCAGTCATTGGACCTCGACAACGAGGAAATGAAAGATGGGCAACAATGGAGAGAACACGTAACTGGTGGAATAGTCCAGGTCTGAAGTTTATCAATCAGTTCACATACCAGTCGAATTGATAAGAGCTTGCAGAATGGGTATTGGTTGTGAAGCAACGTCAGTCCGCGAACAGCCTACAGGTGAACAAGGTTATCGAGGTCTTTATGGGCGTCTGAAATGAAGTGGAAACAACAATGCATTCAAAGCGTCCCAAAAACAACATAAACACATCTCGAAACGTCCACAATGAACTCACCCCATCCATAAAATCAATAAGTTAATCATAATGTCAGTAAAACATCCACAGGTGGGTTATCCACCATTAAATACTCAACATTGGCAAGTCACCTCGCCCCCAGTTCCGTGACGATAAAATCACGCGGCACCTGATCCCCAGGCCCATCCTCCCCAAAAAGCGCACGAAAGTTGAACCAGCCCTTCGGGACACCAACAACATGCGCAGTGGCGCCAGTCTGAACCGCAAAGTCCAAGTGGGGCCTACTTCTTGACGCGAGTCTGTGCGTGGCGACGTGGCAGAGGAGGATGAAAAAGAGGAGGAGGATGATGATCGTTGAACGGGTTTTAAAGTGGATGGACGACGAAGATGTTGATTGAAATGGTAAGGATGAGAGGAAGCGGTCTTTGATGGATGGTTTTTGAGGGGGCGCAAGGAAAGCGATGGAAAAGTCGCGTGTGGAGGACGGGGAAGAGGGTGTCACTATTATCGCGGGAAGAGGCGATTTTTCTGAAGCGAGGGGAAGGGAGAGGTCTGTATAGAGTGTTGGTTAGCGTAGGATGAAACAAGGGTGGAGGGACGTACCGAGTGGGGCCGGGATCAAGGTGTAGTCCCGACGATGTGGCGGCAACCTGTGCAGACGAGGAGCTACACGGGTACGCTATCAGCAAGGTGTTTTCGTGTTTGTGGTAGATGCGGCTTACCTGGGCGGGCCATATTACAGAGATAAAGATGAAGCACAGAAAATACCGGCAGTACACGACGTCAAGAAAATTCGTCCTTGCGACTGGAGGTGAACAGGGAGGGATGGCGAAAAAAGGGTACTTCTGCGGAGAGAAGCGCTTTAGAAACGAACTCAAAGTTCAAAAATGAATGTGGGGCAGCTTTGTTGGCTGGGAGAAAGGCTTTAGGGTAGAGAACAGTCAGTTGAAGACAGGGGAACGAAGAGCTCTGCTTGTTGAACAGAAAAGGTACAGCAGGGACGGATGGCTTTGTAAGCACAAGGTACACATATTTAGGCCAAACAAGTCAACATATCGCGAAAAGATGGTCCTCATCGAGTCGCCGTATCTCTCGGAATCATCCAGGACATTGCGCACCAGCAAAGTATCTTCCAACGCGTACATCCTCTCCATTTCCTCTTTGCCCGGGTATTATGCCGCCTCCACCTCAGCACCTTCAAATGTCATCGAGATATTCGATAAATCCACTTTGCAGAGAATACAATCCCTCCCAGGCCATGAATCAGCTACAACCTCCCTATGCGCCATCAACACCATCGCAGGCATCTCCAAAAAATCACTCATATCGTCCGGAAAAGACGGGAGCGTCAAAGTATGGGACGATCGCTCAAATTCGCACAGCATAAAAAGTGATTAACCTTCAATTCAACTCCATGACTCTGAACCCCCCCCACATAGTGACGAACCCCGGTAAACCACATGCGCTTTTATGCTGCGCGGTTTCGCCGGACGGGTACACCGTCGCAGCTGGTACGGACCTCCAATCCGACGACGCACTCATCCTATACTGGGACCCTCGCCAACCCGCAACGCCCCTGCGCACACACGGGTCAACGCATTCGGACGATATAACCGCGCTTGAATTCAACGAGTCCGGTACCCTCATCCTCTCAGCCTCCTCGGACGGGTTAGTGAGCACGTCCAACCCAAACGAAGACGACGAGGACGAAGCGGTGGTTGGGGTAGGTAATTGGGGATGTAGCGTGTCGCAGGCGGGTTGGATTACGACGAGGAGAGATGGGAGTGGGGAAGCGGCGATTTGGGCTGCGAGCGATATGGAGACGTTTAGTACTTGGTCGGAAGAGCTTGACCGGCTGATGAGTGTGGATATTAGGGAACCGTCGGTCCATACCCAGCAGAGAACGTGGGTGACGGATTATTTGGTTACGTGTGATGCTAAGAGGGGGGTGTTGAACGTCTTCACTGGATCTAATGAGTAAATTTTTCTCTTTTCGACCTTACCAGTTGGATTGCTGATAATTTTTTGATGCAGGGGAGACATCGCGCTACTTACAAACTCCAATCCTTCAGTAAACGATGCGCCTTGGACGTTGCATAACCTATGGACGGCAGGCCACGTTGGGGTTGTGCGGTCTCTGTTGTATGACGAGGAAGAAAACGTCCTGGTCACTGGAGGAGAGGACGGCAAACTGAACGTGTGGCCCTGGCCTTCTTCTTTTGTCGCCGACGGACGCGATGAAAATATGGACGTGGACGTTCCTGCGCCTTCACCTCCACCCGTTTTTTCTCCGCCGAAAAAACGGAGAGAAAGGAATGTGTCTCCGTCTAGCGGAGGAGACGGGAGGGGTGATTCGGAGGATTATTTGAATGGGGAGGTATGAATCTTTTCTCGCCTTACCGACGAACCATCTGACTTTTTTTGCGAAGGAGGGAGTCAAGAGGGCTAGAAGATGATCGGGCTATGAATTATTAAGTTCTGGTATTAGTCTGTGTCCTATGCCCGTCATACCCCGGATGCTTGTAACTCATTTCAATGCTACTGGGATCTTGTATCGATTGAGGTTTACTTTCAAATGAGTTTTCGCCTCCATGCAGAGGTAGTCGCATCACGTGCTCAATCTTTTCTTCCAATCCTTGAATTTGAGTCTTTCCTCTCCCAACGTCCAATCATGCCGCGCGAGAACCGAAAAAGAGGAAAGAAACATAAAAAGCAAGCGGAAGAACTGGAACAACAACCCTATCACCCACCACCACTTCCTGCTGCACAAGAAGAAACCGGCCAAACACCATCCTGGATACTTTCCTCGTCGAAACAAACCGAGGAAATTAACCCCGAAGCGCCGTATGGGTACATCGACGCGGATGTGAAGGCGTATTTCCGGACTGTTGATGTGCAGATCCGGGAGTGGCAGGAAAGCCGTGGGTATCGTGAGGAGGAGGAGGAGGGTGGGGACGTAGATCCCAACGAAGGTTCGTTCGGACTTTTCCCCTCGCAACTCACTTTCTAATGCAACGTTACGTTAACGTTAACGTTTTATAGAACGTCGGCTGTTCTTCGTCGCAGCTTTAAAAGAGATGCAAGGGAAAGAAAAACAAATGGCTACGGACCCCGACTGTTCCGTTATCCTGGAACGAATGTTTTATTCCATGGACGACTTTGTGAGGCGGGTGTTCGTGGATAGTTTGGCTGGTTCGTGAGTTGTTATTGTACGTGTGTATATACCACAACTTTTGACCGTTTGATTTGCGGGGACAGGTATGAAACGCTTGTGAAGCATCGGTTCGCGTCGCATGTCTGCCAGACCTTGTTTTCTGTGGCTAGGGATACGGTGTCTAGAGAGGTGTGTGCTTGCTTGGGCTCTATGTTTCTTATACTAGTCGATTTAATATCTCTGTTCATTTTAGACGAAAGGCATCTTCCCATCCGTGCCCGATTCACCAGACAAGGGCGAACTTCGAACACTAACTCAACTAATCCTAGACGTTTCCGAGGTTCTCTTAAATCCCTTCATTATCCCCTCTTCACCCACTAACCTTCCTTCACTCAGGAACTCCTCCCAACCTTCCCCTCACTAATAATGGACCCATTCGCATCCCACGTAATGCGCAGCCTTCTCCTCCTTCTCTCCCCCACCCTCTCCTCTTCCTCTTCCTCGGAAGACGACTCCTCGGCTGTGAGATCCAAGAAAAGTGCAGCGTGGAAAGCCAAGCAAGGACCCATGAAATCCGTCTTTTCCAATTCCAACGAAGGCAAGGGAAAGTCCATCCCGCTCAAAAGCGCCCCTTTGGAGTTTACGGAGATGGCCAGGCGGTTCGTACAAGTTTTCAGGGATCAGCTTGGGGAGAACGAGGTAAGGGCGATGGCTGCTAGTAAAGTTGCCGGTCCGGGGCTACAGGTTCGTTCTTATTTCGTCTTTTTTTCGTTCAAATCTGGTTTTTGACGGTGTTTATAGGTTCTTTTGGAGGTCGAGGCTGACCAAGGTATGGCTAATGAGCCGGGGTCGCTCATGGATAGGGTTATGGTTGGATTGATCACTGATTGTCGTGAGTTTCTTTGTGTTTTGTAATTTATCATCATCATGCCTAACTAAAATACTTTACTCACTAGAAAATGATCCCTCAACCATGCCTGAAGCCTCTGATTATCTAGGAACGCTCCTTCGAGATCCTTCATCATCGCACATCCTTGAAATCATCACTTTTCGCTGTCCGCCCTCTGCATTCGACAAACTGTGGGCTATATATTTCAAAGGCGCACTGCCGAGATTGGCAGTTCACCCCGTTGCGAACTTCGTCCTTGCCAAGGCGCTAGAACGGGTGTCTGAAGGTCAGTTATTGGAGGTGTGTGCGGAGTTGAGAAATACGTGGCATAAATTGATCAGTAAGTTCTATGAGCCGTTTAACTCTGAAAATGAACTGAAAGTTGATGGTTAGGTACTTCGAGGACGGGAGTGTTGCGTGCTGCTATTGATAGAGCTGCTATTTTGCAAGCTCTTGGCGAGGAAATTGTTGAAGTGAGTTTTTTCTCTCTCTTCTTTCGATTGCTTGAGCTTATCATTGAACAGGCCACATATCTGGCTTTCAACCTCGAGAGTACTGAAGGTCGTCTGCTACTGGTGCCTTGTGTTCTCATGTTGTTACCTCTCCAAGTAGGTGTTCACATTGATTAGCTAACTCCAAAGCTTTTTCTGACGTCCGCTCGAACAGGATTACAAAACCGCCCTCGCCTCAGGTCCTACCCACAAAAAAGACGAACAACAGCAACAAAACTACCACCGCGGTCGTCCCCAACCACCCTCCCAATCTCCACTAACACCCAAAATCCAAGGCTCAGTGCTCCTCCAATCCTTCCTCCGTCTCCCAGAACCACACAATCAACCTGTTTTAGATAGGTGCTCCCTCTCTCCTCTTCCTCTCCCGCTTCTAATCTAACCTTCCTTCCCACATACAGCATACACTCCATACCCATAGAAGATCGTATAAAAATCGCCCACGATTCCTCCGCATCACGCGTGTACGACGTCCTCCTCGACTCACCTACCGTACCCTTGAAGGCCAAACGTCAGTTCGTGATGGGCTTTATAGGGCATTATCACCTTCTCGTCGATGATCGGATAGGAAGTAGAGTTGGGGATAGGTGTTGGGCGTTTGCGGATACGTATCTCAAGGTTCTTTCCTTCTCCCCTTCTACTTTATGTGGGGTTGATGTGATATATATGAAAAACAGGAAAAAATAGCAAAGTCACTGATATCCCACGACCAAACCCTCGCCGCATCCTTTTACGGGAAATTCTTTGCGAGGAATCTGAACCTGTACCTCCTCCAACGCCGACCTGAAGAATGGCGGAACACACAGTCTGAGAAGAAGAAAGCGTCCTTGCCTCCTCCCCCGCAGGTCAAAGATGTGGAAACAAAAATAAAGGAGGAGACTCCGAAAAAGCGGAAGAGGAAGCCTGAGAATGAGATTGATGAGTTGTTTGACGCTGCGCTTGGGAGGAAGATCAAAAAAGCTGCGTTGGTTACGATACCGGTGAGCGAGGAGAAGGAGGGGGCGGTGGTCAAGGGGGAGGAAGTTAAAAAGGAGGAGGATAAATCGTTGAAGGCTGTTTTGGGTGCTATTCGCTCTGCACCAAAGGGAGAGGAAAAGCACAGGAAGAAGAGGAAAAAAGTATAAAATACTGTTGTTATTGCTCTAATGCACTCTTGATTCACTCAAAGTCTGTGTCAAGATCATAAAAAGCATGGCGCATACAATCGTCGTGTTGTGGTTGCATATGCATGATGTGCAGACGGCATACAAACTTTTGTTCGGTGTACGTAGTCGTAAGTAAGGCGAGGAGAAAAACCCAATGCAACAAATCTAAACCTCCTTGACCTTGACGGTACCACGCAGCAGACCAGTCTATGGTCGTTGTCAGACCCCAGGTTTTGGAGATAAAGATGAAAAGAAGAGAAACGTACCCTGCGTGCGGCAATGAGACCAACTTTCTGTCCAGGAACGGCGGAGCGGGCGATGGTGGAGGCCTTTCCGATATGTTGATGGTTACCACCACCGTGAGGATGGTCCACAGGATTCATAGCCACACCACGAGTACGGGGCCAGCTGCGGATATACATCGTTAATAATTCCAGGAGAATGTAACGTAAAAACGTACTTGTAACGCTTGGCCTTGTATTTGTGGTATGCCCTTCCAGCCTTGAGCAATGGCTTATCAATCCTCCCACCACCGGCTACAATCCCAATCGTCGCCCTCGCACCGCTCGAGATCGTCTTCTTCGCACCACTGGGAAGACGGATACGGGTCTTGTTATCGTCCGGGCTGTGTCCAATGACAGTAGCGTAATTGCCCGACGTGCGTGCCAGGGCACCGCGATCGCCGATCTTCTCCTCGACGTTGCAGATGATGGTTCCTTCGGGGCACTGCGAGACGGGGAGAACGTTGCCGACGGTGAGGGTGGCTTTCTTGCCGCAGTAGACGAAGGCACCGGTGTGCAGGCCTTCGGTTGCGATGAAGGTTTCTTTGCGGAGTTTGTACCTGTAGGGATCGCGGAAGACTACGCGTGCGAGGGGGGCACCGCTGTGAATTTTATTTTGTGTGAGAATGGAGGGGGAGAAGGAATAATGGGATGTAACGCACCGACCGGCGTCGTGGATGATCTCTTTGACGATTCCGCGGATGTAGCCGTTGCGCTCCGCAAAGTCGAGGTTACGGAGTCGGGCGGGCTGCTTGTTGTGGTGGGTGTGCGATTTGAACTAGTAAAGGGATAGCTTTGAGTTACTTCGTTGTTGCAAGAGAATTGAGGGGACATACAATGGCATGCGAACGCCTTTGTGCCCTAATAACCCGACCCATTGCGAATACTGCAAGAGATACTGTCAGTGCTGATCAAAAAATGGTTGGGTACATCCAACAACACCCCAAACCATCCATCCAAAAGTGACCCAATTTCGATGCCGTTTTCTCTCTACATCGTCCATGGGTCCTCTATGTGTGCGCTGGATGCAGGGTAAACGGGCATACTCACATCCTAAGTGTCTTGAGGAACGTTGGTTGTGGACTCACCTCTTGACAGAGGACAAATGCTTGAGAAGCAAACAAGAACAAAGTGATTACCTCAGCAGGATGGTGGAGGCGGCACGAATATATATGCTCATGGCAGTCAACATGGATGGCAGTGATATTGTTGTATTTGTATTGTATTTAAGAGGTGGGCGTTGAGCAAAGATGAGTTGAGGTGAACGAAGACGACGATGAAGAGGTGAATTGAGACTCCGCTGTTGACCTGCAGCGACTTACTGCTCTCCTTGCTGCTCCTTGGATCTGAAGATAACCTTTTGGCAGTGGTACCGGCGGCAGACTGGCTTACCTCGCTACGACAACTTGCAGCGACTTCCATGATTCATATCGATCGAAACAACACAAAGCAGGACATCATTCTACAAAATGACAAAATGATTTCATGGGACGACCATTTTGACCAAGACCCATTCATCGCACACCTCGACACAACCCAACATCATCCAGGTCCAGTAGAGACAACACATGATTCTCCAACAAGCACACGCGGAAGGAGCTCGTCCCTTTCACCAGTCCCGGATCCTTCCCCTCAGCCTCAGGAAAAGGAGGCGCCACTGCAAATCCCCGTAAGGGAGGAGGAAGAGGAAGACGAGAACGAGAACGAGGCAGTGCCAACCGCAATCAACGAGGCATCACGTCTCTCAACGCCCCTCAGCGAACTTTCCCCCCCTCCAGACCAGGACGAAGCACCAGACGGAGACACGCAGAAGCCATCATCACCCCCAAAGCCAGAGGTCTCTGCAGACACTAATGACACGCAATCCACTACAACTGACGGGAGCAAGTCAGAGGCAACAAAAGAGGATCCCGGTGACGGTTCTTCAAATACTTCTCAGCCGGCGCTTACTGCACCGGGTGTATCATCATCATCGTCACTACCGCAGCCAATTCAAACACCTGCCATTCAGGAACCCTCTGATCAAACCAGCCCTAGTAGCAGCCCAGCATCTCCAGAAAAGGCTGGTCCATCCATGCCGTCACACTCGCCAACCAATATCAACGGCACATCACTATCACCTACCTCGACATCATCCACGCCAAACTTCATACAACAAGCTCAAGACGCCGCGCTGTTGAACCCGAGTCCCGGTGACCCAAAGGTGGAATTGGTGTTGGAATTGAATCTAGAGTTGCTAAAGTGCGTCGTTTGCGGAATAAACATGAACATGCTCTAAACATCATTTTTGTAGAATTTTAATAGCGCTTCAAGGCAAGGGAGTTTTGCCCTCTGACGCCCGTTTTCAGCAGTGAGTTAATACCTCGCAAGTATTTCTGACGTCTAACTTGTCCCAGATACGCACAACGTATTCAATCCAACCTTGGCTGGATGGCGTCATCTGCAGACTATCACAGGTTGGGGGTAAGCCGTTGTCCCCCCTCTTCGCTTTCACGATATTCACAATTCCACAGGGTCAAATCGTACAAGCACAAACATCACAGGGAAAACATTCAAAGGGCCCCATCCACCCAATAATCGAACCACCTGCTTTCATAGAATATGGGTCGGATCGCATCCAGCAGATATACTTCGAGCTCCCCAAGACTTTTTCCAAAGAGATCAACCTTCGTCAACAACTTGCTGCCAACGTCGCCGTCCCTGCGAATACCCTACACTCCATGGTCCCTGGCAATCTCAAACGCGATCGGTCAGACGAACCAATAAGCGAGGTGATGAGCAGTAAGAGGAGAGACACGGGTGAGGGCAAACTGCGGCCACCCTCGGTATCTCCTTTGTCACATTCTGCTTCAGGCATGATGCCCCCTCCGTCGTCAATACCGCAGCAGCAGCAGCAGCAGTTGAACCCAACGCATGGCGTAACCCTACCCGTAGCCACTCATTTCTCCCTCCCCATGTCCACGAGCAACACGAATGGCGTCTCTGGGAACATGATACCCCCACAACTCCAGCAACAGCAGGGAGGAGGAGGAGGAATGGGAATAGACCCGTCGGTGGGAATGATGAACACGGATATACAGAGAGCAGCTGTCCGAGAGCGAGAGCGACAACAACAAATACGTTTAGCCCAACTGGCATCACGACAACTCTCACCCCAATCCTCGCAGCCTCAACCAGGGTCAATACCAAACGTGAGCGCGAACGCCGCTGCTGGGCCGTCAAGTGTTGGTGGCGGAGGCGGTGGTGGTGGGGATTTACCACCGACAATAGCAGCATTGCCTCAGCCCATGCAACAGGCCTATCGGATCCTCAATACCCCCAACCACCCATACATAAAATATATGATGCAAAATCTTCCAGGGTTCCACACGATGCCTTTGCAGCTGCAGTTGAACAAGATGGTTTCATTTCAGGTGTGTTTTTCTTCTTCTCTTTCGAAATGTGGACGATGAGCTGAAGGGGCACCGTTGTAGACGCGGCTCCAACAACAAAGAGAGCAAACCCATAGGGAACAGATGGCCCGTGCTATGGCAAGTGGTGGTGCTGGTGGTGCTGGGCGAGGAGGGATGATTCAGCAACAGCAATTAGGAGACAACATGGCGGTGCAGCAAGGTACACAGTTCCCCGTGACACCCGCTTCACCCGTGCATGCGTCCCAAAATCCGATGTTTTCTGGCCAGGGAGGCGGTGGAGTAGGGGGAATGGACCCAAGGATGGCAGGAATAAATATGAACAATCTAAATCCGCAACAACGGCATATGCTCTTGATGCAGCAGCAACAACATCAACAACGGAATAATTCTGGTGGTGGTGGTGGTGGTGGAAGCCAAGGAGGGATGAACTTGAACAACCCCCAAATGAACATGAACCCCATGCAGATGAACCAGGCGAATGTGAACCCCCAACTCGCTGCGTTCCAAGAACAACAGCGGATCCGAATGGCACAAGAACGTATGGCCCTCGCAGGTGCTGGTAATCCCGCTGGAGGTATATCGCCCACCTCCCCCGACCCTGGTGCTTTCCGCTCGAAAAGCACGATACCGGGTATAGCACGGAGTGCTCGGTCGCCTACTGATGCTTCTACGTCCATTTCCCCGGTGCATAACCAGAGTCAGACATCGAGAGGAGGGAATATGGGGATGACGCAGGAGGATTATCAGAGGATGATGATGCAGCAGCAGCAGGGACAGGCGCGGGCTATGGCGCAGAGTCCGGCGTTTGGACAGCAGGGATGGGGGCAGCAGCAACAGCAGCAGCAGCAGGAAAGGCAGCAACAGCTGCAGCTGCAGCAACAACAGCAATTCGGGATGTCACCACCAGGAAGCGCAGTTGGTGCGCCTTCGCCACCGAATAGTCAAAACTGGAATGGCGCGCAGTACCCGTTTTCTTCGTCGTCTCCTATAGGTGGTGGTGGTGGTGGTCTTGGGGAAATGCAGCAGATCCGACATTTGAGTGCCACCCCTGCGCCACAACAACAGCAACGGCAGATGACGCCGCAAAATACAAGCCCGCCTACGACTGAAAACGAAGCGGATTGGTTTAATTGGCAGTGAGGGGTTTACTTACCTGCTTTTCTTTCATCGCCCACTCCTCTCTCTAACCCTTGCCCTCTCTCTGGGTGAAACACGACCCCCCTACTTATTCGCTAGTTATTATTAGCTGTTCGTCCGTCCTTTTGACCTTTTCCTCTCTTCTTGATGGGTGGCTGGTGAAGAGAAGAGTTTGGCCATTTAACCGATGAAGATTTCTTCTTCATTTCATTCTTTCATTCTTCTTTCTCACTTGCTTTGGTCTACTTACATTCCTATAGCCTCTGTGAGACCCCTCCTTTTCATCGGATTTGTGTACCCATACTGTATGCCTCACCTTAGTAAATAAAATGTTGGCAAATATCTGGTGTGTTCCAAAATTAGCACACGCATGGCATGAATGATCGTGATCGAGAAAGAAATTAGGAGGGTTTACCGGTTTTTCTTCCGTCCACGACCATGGTATTTGCAAACTTGCAGTCAAACGAGAAAGACGCGTTTTTCTCCCTTCTCGACGAGTTCAGTTCCCTTATCTATCGTGTATACCACATCAACTTACCCTTGATCCATCATGATTTGCATAGATATTTTCAGTCGCGCCCAGAAATCTTTGCTGCTTCAAGCGCTAACAGCCAGGATGTATCGGGGGTAGCTGCGTCGGCTGTTCACCGCGCCATGGCGAATAACCCAGAAGCGACGGCTAAAATTGTTTCCGCCGGATTGAGGCACGCTGCAGGTCAGACTAAGCCGCCTGGGGGTGTCGCCGGAGGTGCTGGCGCTGGTGGTGCTAACGTGAGTTGTCATCCCTCCTCACCTCACTTGCAAGATCATACGATCTGATCGCCATCTCAGGCGTCATCGGAGAACGACGTGAGCGGCTTTGCAGGCCGGGTGGCAGCTGCCTCTATGGCGTTCTCGAATCGACACAATCCCTCCCCAAGTTCCTCCTCAACAAGCCCGCCTCCTATCGCTGAGAAACCGCCGTCCTTCTCTTCTGTCCGGGTACGTGTTCTGCCATTGATCTCATTGGTTGATTGTGGGTCCTGATCTGCGAGTTTTAGCAAAAATTCGGAGAGGTCGACACATCGTCTCCAAAGAACATATTTGGCTCACTACGCGGTTCCACCGCTGCCTCCAAAACGACTTCTCCCCCTCCCCCTCAAGCACCAGCACCCGCATTTACAGCACGGCAGAACAATAGCAATTTTGGGCCGCCACCGACCAGGCATAATCCGCCGCCACCACCACCTTCGAGACAACAGCCAGAGGAAGAAGAGGAAGAGGAGGAAGAGCAGCAAGGGGAATGGGCGAATGTCTTGTATGATTATGATTCAGGGGTGCGTTCTTCAGATTTATGCCCTTCTTGGAGGTGATGATGGTGTTGATATGGTCTTCTGGCCTTCTTTTTAGGAAGCAGGGGATCTTGTCATCAAGGAAGGGCAGCGAGTGCTCGTTACGGAGAGAACGTCGGATGATTGGTATGTCGCGTGTTACCCTTTACTTTTACATGGGGGTGGGTGGATCTTCGGCGGTCCTCCCTTCCCCCTTTTTTCAAATGGGACTTTATATATGTTTCCTCATCTCACAACTCCTCTTTCGTCATTCGTTGGCTACTTATCGATTCCTTCACTGCTATTGGACAATCCTTCTCTGACCTGGAACTGACGTATACGCCATTGATTGACAGGTGGACCGGAGAACTTAACGGGAAGAAGGGCCTGTTCCCGGCGTCATATGTCGAACCGCTTTAAATAGGACGTGTTCTTTGCAGGAGATGGGGGTGCGTTATCTGGCTGGGTGTGTGTACTTTTACTCTCTTCTATTACTCCCACTCGTACTACTTATCTCCGTTGGACTTGTTGCTACTACCATCATCATCATCACTATCGCATTCAGCATGTACCCATCGAGTTTCTGGCAAAGACCTTTGAAAAGCACGAAATCGACCATGTCCATATCTGTCCATGATTGAGATTGGGTAATGATAGAATACGGCAAGGCACCACGCGTTTCGATTACCTCTCCAGTTCCCTGGTCCTTCACTGTCTAGGCTTTTTGCGTCCGACCTCATTGAGCCATGTCAAGCGGTGATGCATACCAGCTTCTAGCTTCAGCCAACTTCGCTTCCACATCCTCTGACATAATATGGGTACTTGGCATGGTCCTACAGTCATTCGTCAGTTGGCATTCCCGTATATGTATAAAATCACCGACATATCTCCCCGAAATGCCAACCCTGCGCCCCTTTTTCCGCCCATGAAAGTCGTGTCCTGTCATGTCCAATTGACATGAATTGGCTGCCAAGTTCTCAAAAGTTCTCAAGATACGCGTCGTGCCTGGCACATTTAACGAGAAGCTTTGCGCTGATAGCCTTCACGTGGGATGGGGCAGCACCGGTTTCGAAGGAAATTCTAGTAGAAGCGAAAGGCAGAAAGATTGGACCTCAAAGGCTCAAATAGGTCAATCGATTGTATCACCGCATCTTACAGTACTATGTGCACGCGTCTTCCATCTCCTTTCGCCATCGTTTCTGAACGTCAATGCTTTCCAGGAAAATCTTATATTTCGCCTCGAGAAGCTTCATCTCCCTCGTCGTTGCATTCGGAGAAACCAGCGTCCCAGGAGGCGTCATTTCAACCTAACAAAACAGAAACGATCAGTCACTTGACGATGGAAAAAGAAATTTAGAATCAACCATGATATCCCACAAGGCCTCCGCGTGTCCGCTGCCCTCCATTTCTTTCCGTTTTTCCGCTTGCGCCCCCTCTACCTCCGCTGCGAACCGGCCGAGCATCGCAGCGCCGAGGACCACCGCGCTCCCCGCGTCACGGGGGAGCACCACCGGCATTTTGCACGTGTTGGCGAAGAGCTGCATCAAGAAGAGGTTTTTGGCTTGCCCGCCGCTCATGTAGATTGAGGTGATCTGGTGCCCTTTGGCGTTCATGGAGTCGATGATGTGCCGTGTTTGAAGCGCGATGGAGAGGAGTGTTGCGTGGTATTTTTTGGCGAGGTCGTGTAGCCCTGAGTCCTGTGCGAGGTTTGAATGTGTAGAACTGAGATGGGGGGAAAGAGAATGCGACTTGCAAGTTCCAGCCCTGCTATGGAGCCACGCATGCGTGGGTCAGCGATGGGTGATCTATTTCCTGCGGTGATAAATTTGAGGTTCATCTCAACATCAGGGATAGAAAAATGCGAACCATGGAAATCGGGGTATAAGTGTAAATCTTTTGTTAGTTCAGTGAGTGTTTCGGCCCCATTTTCTACTCTCAGCTTTTCAAGAGTCTCTTGGAGGACTAAAGCATGTCAGAAACTAGCAACAGAAACAAGATTAGTAGAAAGAATAGCATACCTGTATGTATGTTCTTCTGTTGTTCTTTTCCAAGTTCCACCAGTTTCGGATAGAAGGAGTGCGTTGTCAACATGAAGTCGATTAACTTGTGGTCTTGTCAGCTATAGTTGAATCTGAAGAGAAAGAGGACGGCTTTACCTGGCCAGTAGAGGATTGTCCTCCCTCGCTCATCCACCAACCACGAAAGACGGGATCCTAGAACATCTGTAAATTTGAGAAGGGCAAGCATTGAGAGCTTATACCTTAAAGGGCCCCCATACCCCGTCAACGAAGATGCCTTCAGGACTCTACCAGTGAAGTTAAGACGGGAAGAGCCCAGAAGGTTGTTACACAAACCTGCACGATATGACAAGTACTTGTTCCTGCAACAGCCGCTAGACGATGTTGAGATTCGTGGAGAGATGGAAGAACCTCAGATGGTACTCCGTTTTCGCTATATCTAGCAGCCACGGTGCCCAACCACCCTGAATATCTGAGGTGAATTGTTATCAACGAAGTAGCTTTCGGAGAAAGAAAATAAATGACTCACGCGTCAATCAACCCACTACCCACCGGGGTGCCCTCCACCAGTCCAAGCTCATCTGCAGCTCTCTTCGATAACCCTTTTCCAACAGGAATTCCAGCAATCAGCACCTCCCCCTGGTTTGCTCCAATCTGCTTGCACTCCCTCTTGATGAGTTCCTCGAGTCCGATTTTCTGGAAAAAGGACGGCTCCCAACCGCTTTTTGGAACGAAGCTACATTTGCAAGTGACGGAACAACACGAGCGCGTGCTGTCTTTTGTAGCTCGGTAGGTGAGGAAGTCGGGAAGATCGAAAAACTGGCATTGAGAAAAGAGGGTCGGATCCATGCTATTTTTTAGCCAGAGAACCTTGGGAATTTCCATTTCTAACTAAAAGAGGGGACTCTTGAACTCGAAGGCTGAATGAAGAGGACATTGGAGACGTACGCTCATTGTACCGCCGACATAGTCAAGCACCACTGAACCTGTGCCATTGACGAGGTCCGCTTCCTTCTCTGCCCTGTGGTCAGCCCATAGAATGACATTTCGTCCCCCCTTCTTCCCAAGATCATCTCCCTTGGTCACCGTGACAGGCTCCCCGTCAAAGTTGGTTACTGCCAGAGAGCATGTAGCGTCAAAGCCCAGCCCTTTGACCGCAGACGACGGCAGTCGGGCCTCAGATAGACACAGTTTAATAGCAATTGCGATCTTATCCCAGGTATCGGTTGTCGATTGCTCAAAGATACGATGATCCTCTGGATTGCGCCAAGTGATGGTGTCCTGAGTGGAAGACGCGACTATTGATCCGTCCTTTCTGACGAGTATGGCACGGGCTGAACCTGTGCCAACGTCGATGCCGATGTAGTAGCTTTCCGATGACATCCTGCGTGTGTGGACTCTGGGGAAGACGTTGGTGCTTAAAGTAAGAGGTTCCCCGGCCCGAGCCTAAAAAAGGTCGAACGAAAAAAAAAAATCACAGTTCACTAAACCGCGGACTCAGGAGAAATATCTATCCTATCAGCGAGTGCAGTTGACGCACTGAATCAATATAAACTCTCAAGTGATCAAAGAGTGAGTGTTTTTGCGCAGATGCATGGGTGATTTTATGTGGGTGAGGAATACATGTGCCTAGCGAGCATAAATGACGGTAAAGACGGACATCTACTCTGAAGATGTTGACCGTGCTGAGGGAGTTGATTATTAGCCTGGAATCACAGATCAAGCAAACATTCGACATACTGTAGACCAGCTGCGCCGAGTGATGCACAATCCTCTTGATGTGTCCCTCCTTCTCCATATGTCTGATAGCAACGCGCGCCAAGCTGCCGTTAATTTTGAGACGTTCGATGAGGATGCTCTGGCTGACGAATTTGAAGGTGGGGACTTCCTTCATGATACGGTCGTAGGTGACTTTGTCGAGAGCAACGGTGTGCTGGGCCTTATCCTTGACCTTTCCCTTCGACCACTTCTTCTTCTTTGCTGATTTGCCACCACTGCTTGATGTGGGCGCCGCTGCTTTGGCTTTGGCCTGAAAACAAAAAAGGTATCATCAGTAAACCTCATCCTGAGTCGAAAGAGTCCATCCAGCTGATTCCGATGAGTATGACGACCATTTATCCACCGAGTACGGTGAACGGACGTTCAAACATCGTATATCTGCTAAAATTTGAGAGAGGGTGCTCACCATGATTGCTTCTGACCGTCGATGATGAGGGCGACGCTGGATGGACTGTGCCTTTCAGAGGGTTGCGTGCCTTGTTTGTTTTCTGACGTAAGCGTTGTTAAGTCCGCGACCTCCACGTCAATCGAATGGACCAACTTCGAACTGTTGGAGGCGATGGTTCCGTGGCTCCTCCTCCTCCTACCATTACCACTGCCTGGCCTTGCAACTACGGATAAAGTTTATGGGGTTCATCCTAATTTAATTTCGAAATACGTGCCCTCGAAATCGGGGTCGTGGAAATGTCTAGATGGATCGAAGGAGATACCTTGGAAATTCGTCAATGACGATTCGTGTGACTGTCCAGACGGAAGTGATGAGCCAGGTGCGCGAGATTGTACTTTATCTGAAGCAACTCAATAATGCTGGTTAGGAACCAGCGCCTGTTCTAATAGCACATTCTATTGTTGGAACGAGGGTCATGTTGGCGCTATCATTCCAAGTTCACGAGTGAGGGACGGATTGTGCGGTACGAGTCGTTATTCTTGGTATAGGGCGCGTAATTCTCAGCTAGCCGATAGAGCCTCAGTGCTGCGACGGATCAGATGAACTGCCAGGAGTCTGCCCGAACGTATGCAAGGAACTTGGGGAGTCGTATAGAAAGAAATTTGCAGAGGAGCGCAGGTTACAAAAAACGGTCAGTTCTGTTCAACGGCATCGTCTGCCGTGACGCGTTAACGACGATCGAACAGGGCTCCAAAATACGTTCCACCTATATTGCTTTCGCACATAAAGAGAAGAAACGCCTAGAGGGCCTTGTCGAAACTTTGTCGCAAGAAATCAACGTTAAAGAGCAGGAAGTCGAACGGTTGCGAGGTATGAAAGTGATTCTTTGATGATCTCACGAAGCTGAAACCGATGCCTTCGACAGATATCGCTGAGCGCACCGAGTCTATTTCTCAAGCCGCGTTGGAACACAAACAGAAATCTCGTCAGTGGAAATAACAAGCCGATGTAAAGCGTATCTCTCACCTTCGTGTTTTCAGCCCTCTACCAATCTCTAATCACCCATCACAACGCTCTCAAATCACTACAGCGGGAACATAAACAGCATTTGGAACGCGAGAAGGCCCTTGGTAACATCCTTGACGCACTGCGAGCAGGTTACAATCCAAATTATCAAGATATGGCTGTCCTAGAAGCCGTTCGTGGATGGGAAGAGCTCGCTGGCCTTCCTCACATTGGGGCAAGTGAAGAAGTCAAGGAAGGCGAAACCAAGGAAGAAGGGGAAGCCGTAGAAGCCACTGAAGATCTTGAGCCGGGAACGTGGACTGCCGATCAACTCAACGATGAGCTGGACGCGTTGTTGGAGGCGGATCACGTATCACTCCTCTTGGAGCATGAGGAGCATATTCAATCGCCTACTGAGGGTTCCCTCCGTGAGTAAATACCAAATCTGAAGCAGTGGTCATGCTTATTTCCTATTAGTGTATGATTTGACTTCGTACTTGCCGGATTTCGTCCTTCCTCATTACGAGTCCTTCAAGGACACGTTGATCAGTTGGCTACATACCCTGGGTATCATCCATGGAGATTTAGACAGTACAGCTGGTGAATTCTCCTTCGATCATAACCATGTCCCGGATTGATTCAATCTTTCTTAAGCCGATTCTTCTCGTGCCCACCAAGCCCTGACCGACGCTGAAGCTGAATTGGAGCGTGTCAAGAATGAAAGGACGACCGCTGAAGGCGACATTGCCGAGATCTTTAATATCCACGGCTTTGGCGCTGCTGGCGAGTGGAAGAAGCTTGATGGAACATGTTTGGAGACGGAAGTTGGAGAGTGCGTATATTACTCCTTCCTAGGCCTCTATCGACACGCTTACTGTGGCTTCGATTACAGCTATACTTATGAGGTCTGCTTGTTTAATGAGGCAAAACAAAAACCCAACCACGGTGGACAAACATTCAGTCTAGGGTCAGCTTTGTTTTACTATCCATTTCGATATAGTACTGACTTGCTCGATCTTGAAATAGGAAATATGATTCTTGGAATCCTTCACCTGACGTTAAACCAGGCGAACCCGAATATTATCAGAAACAGGTGTACAAGCACGGTACTCGATGCTGGAATGGCCCCGAACGTAGTGTCGTGGTAAGTGCTCAGACCATTCTCAGTTCCTTGAACTTTTCTAACTTGGCTTCGCGAAGCTGCTCCTGACATGTGGGATTGAGAACGCCATCCTGACGGTACAGGAACTTGAGAAGTGCGAATATCAATTCACTGGAACGACACCAGCTCTGTGTTTGCCGCTCGATGAGGGCAAGAAGAACTCTAGGGAGGAGCTATGATCACGTTGAATCGCCGCCACAGGCTTGTGTTTTTAAGCTACCTAATTTATATCTTTGGAGAGTGGACGAGCATGAGACTTTTATGATTTTATCTGACCCAATAGCGTCTTCACTTGACACAACCTTTTCAACCACCGAGATTATTCTTCGAGAAGTTGGTATGTTCGTTCAACGTGTTGCTACCTTTATGCTGATGGGACTTCTCCGTTCTACAGACACCGACAATTTACCGCGGTCTCCCATAGCAAGACTATCGACATCGCTCGCACGTGTGAGGAGCGCGAACGTCACATCAGTTTGTGGTATCAGAAGGTGCTCAAGCGCTCAAGTTGGACCAAGTTTGCAATCATTCAGCTGGACGACTGCTTTCAACACTGTTTTCAGTCTGTACCCTCTTGATGTTTGGCGGTTGTACTGTCATCGCGTCATCCGATACATCTCTGACCATCTCGCACAGACTTTCAGAGGTTTCCGAGTTGACATAGGTTGACATATCGGACTATTCCTGCAGATTTGTACTGATCAGCTACATTCTAAGTATTAATTTAATTCAGGTACATATGGTTGGCATGGGGAGCGCTAATCTATTTATACTTAGGTGTCGAATTGCTTCATATTGAAAACTCGAAACTTGCTTCCTAATCCCATACCAACGAAATGGGATCGGATGTCGAGCAAAATGCCTTACTTCCTCTGACTGTGTTTGATCTAGTCTTTCAACAAACAACCTTCGTTACTGGGTGGCTCGTCGAGGGGACTATCGACGAGAAAGCGTTGAGTTACGCGTTGGACAGACTCACTCAAAAATGGCGCATGCTTGCCGGAAGACTGCATTCTATCAAAAGCCCCACCGTCAGTATTTTTTTCTGTGGTCTTTCGCTGTAATGACTTACTCCATCTCTAGGAGACGAAGTGGTTCATAAGGATACCACTAGGCCCAATCCCCGATGATTACCGTACATACGCGTTGACAACGGAAATCTCACAGCGCCCGCTGTCCAGCTACGTCTCAATTCCCATTCCACAAATATCCAATTCCCCACCTCCCGCAGTCTTCTGTCACCCTCTGACGCCGCGCCAGTACACCGCATGGGAATCGGCAGACTACCCGTTAACGTGCTGGCACCTGACCTACTTCCCTGCGTCGGCTAATGGTGGAACTGCTTATACCGGTATCGGGTTCGCTCGTTCGCATGCGGTATTCGATGGCGTAGGTGCTGCGCTTGTTATGAATGCTCTTGTTGCGGAAATGCGGGGACAAGAATGGGCTGTCCCCCCTTTGCCATCTGGAGGGTTAATTTCTAATCCCGTACAAGAGGCGTTGGATTTGGAAGCTGGTGCTGAGGAAGAAACCCTAGAGCGTTATCCAGATTATAATGCTTATACGTCCCTTGGATTAGGCGGTCTCCTGAAAGTCATAGCCTGGCATGTGGGAGAAAGATATTGGAGGGGTGCTGATAGGCGCATTATTCTCCTTCCGAAAAATATCGTAAAGTTGCTCGTGGACGACGTACGATCTACTCTTCAACGGGAGAGTCAAGTGACCACTCATGTTACCACTGGGGATATTCTGACCGCGTGGATCTTCAAGGTATGTTTCAGTCTGATATCTGGCAGCGCTGTTCAACTCACAATTCTGCGTTTACTAGACGATATATTCCAGCGGCATAGATCCAAATACACTCGTCCACTGCACAAACCTCGCGTCTTTCCGTTCACTTCTTCCAAGCAAAACCCACTCTTTAGCAGATTACCCACACAATGCCTTCATTCCAGCACCTTACCCCCTCATGTCCGCTGCAGACCTGAGCTCCTCCCCTCTTCACGAACTATGCAACGTCTTAGCGACTTCCCGGCTCTCTTTAACAACTTCACACGTCATCCAAGCATACACCACCATAAATTCCATTTCAAGAGCGTTTCCCAATAACCCTGCTGCTGGAGACACACTCGTGATATCCAACGTATCTGGGTCTAGGATTTTGGAATCTGATTGGTCCCCTGTTGGAGCGAAGAGGACGCTGTGTAGTTATCGATACCAGTTGACACCGCATAAGCTGCTCCTTACGAATGCTGTTTTCATTTCGGGGAGGTTGGATGATGGGAGTGTGGTGATTGATGTTACTTTGACTGAGCACCGCTTGTCGCTTTTGGTTGCTGAGATTAACAGGTTGGGTAGTAGTGGAAGTGGGTTCAGTGATCAGCACGACTCTCTTGATTGAGCAGGTTATTCGGAGTCTTCGCTTTCGACTTGCTTTCACTTTGCTTTCAAACTTGATTTCGTATCTTAGAATCTTAAATTATACCATTGCTAAGTCTGTATTGTTACTGATAACAAAAACCAAATGCCGTTCTGTTCGTACGTAGAGTAACGCGTGGGACAGTAACAAACCTGAAAAAAAAGGTCGTACGAGCCTGACGTCTGACCATCAAAACAAATCAAAAATGGCGCAGGATCAGCGTTTTCTCCTCCCTCCTACCACCTCGAGCTTCAACGTTTCCTACACGCACTAATGGCGGCTAACAAGAAGTCGACCGACGCGTCAGAACTTCCAAACGCCTTTCTCCTCAAATGGGCCACCAGACTGACCGCAGTGCTGTTCATCATCGCGACGTGTAGTTGGCTCGACACCATAAAAGTACGTCCCTCTCTCTTATTTCGCGATACCCGTCTCTAAACGCGTCTTTATAGGACCGGTGGTACGTCTTCGACCCCACAACCCTCCACCAACTCGCCCAATCCGCCATCGCCTCCTCCCCAAACTCCACCTCCGGAATGATCCAACACATCCTCACAAACCTCACCCTAACCCACCCCCCATCCCAAATCCACCTAAACCCGGACTCTTCCGAATGGGTGTTCAACAACGCCGGAGGGGCGATGGGCGCGATGTACATCATCCACGCCAGCATCACGGAGTATCTTATTATTTTTGGGACGCCGTTGGGGACGGAGGGGCATACGGGACTGCATACGGCTGATGATTATTTTAATATACTTGTTGGGGAGCAGTGGGCTTTTGAGCCGGGGAGGTTGGAGATGGAGAGGTATCCTGCTGGGTCGGTCCATTTTTTGCCGAGGGGGACGGCGAAGCAGTATAAGATGCATGAGGGGTGCTTTGCGCTTGAGTATGCTAGAGGTTTGTGCGCTTTTTTTTTTTTTGTGGGGTGGGTGGAGTTGATTGATTGATTTGTTGTTTGTAGGTTGGATTCCGTTGATGTTGCCGTTTGGGCTTGCGGATACGATCACGTCGACGTTGGATATTCCGACGTTTTATAATACGGCGAGGATTACGGGGAGGGAGATGATTAAGAATTTGTTAATTGGGAAGATCTAATAACTTGGGTCGATTTTTTGTTGTCGCTCCTCGACTAATTATCATCGTTGTGGGCAACAAGTTCATTGTTCTGACTGATGGTCTTAAGCATAGGGTCTTATGGAGAACCCGTCGTCTGAAGGTGTTCAACAAAGTTATAAAGTACTTAAACTAGTCTGGCACATGATGGACCTACAAGGACCTACATCTCGTCCTCGGGAGGTAACGACCTCCGAATAAAACAGCTCCCAATATCTGGTGCAGGTCCATTGGCTCAAAAGTGACGCTATGCATCTCCGATGGCACCCACTAGTCTGAGCGTCTCAAGTGAGTTTCTCCGTGCGAAAGCTGTCCAAGAAAAGGTGGTATGAATGGCAACAGCTAATGGCAAAATGCCACGACTACAACCAGGTTGCTTTAGATGTTTGTCAATGGAGCAGTGCGGTGATGCTCCGCTGCACTGCGAACGTGTCTTCGCGGGAGCTGGTTAAAGGATAAATGTGCGTCATTTTAATTAGGGAGCGGAAGAAGGAAGTAAAAATTTAGAGAGTTATGGCAGGCAGCGGCCGAGATCTATGGCAACGGATGCAGGGAAGAGGTGCAAACTCCGAGCTTTGAGCGCTTGAGCACCCGTAGTGAAAGCCGAGAGAGAGACAAAAGATGGTTCATTGTTGACTATCTTTGAGATAGAGGTGTAACGTGGGATGATAAGCTTGGACAACTGAGGAGTTGTTGACGAGTAGAGGAGCTAGATGCAATGGTTGGCGTCATTAGCCTGGCAGAATGAGCGATTACCGGATAATTAGAACGTGCGTGGGTTGTCCCACGTTGATTTTAGTGGTGGCTCAGAGTGACGAGAGGTTCAGAGGATACACACGTGACTAGCGATAGTTACAAATTTGGCTTGCATTCAACAACGATCTTGAAATTCATTCATTCTTCTTTCTCTTTGGATGCTTGCACTAGTGAATCCGTTTCCGCCTGATGTTCACCGTGCTTCACAGCCATCTACTCGTAAATCATCATCTTCAGCAACAAGATCTTCTTCCGCCACACTGTCATCCCACCACCCACCGTCGCTGCAGCGGCAACCTTCCGCACCCAACTCACAACCCGCAGTTCACTTCCAACTCCCGCGGGTCCAACAACACTATCATCCTGCTCCACCACCTATCCAAATTCCCCTTCCGAATCCCCCGACGCCCCTTCAGCCAGCACCATTCGACATACACACCTACCCCTCCACCGATCTCCTCAAATTACTCGCTTCGCTTCTTACCCAGATAGCAGCGACGAACGACCACCTCTCACCACACCCATCATCTCCCAGTTCAGCCCACCACTCTGCCACCTCTCCCATCGACTTTGACCACGCTCCACATCCGCCTATTTGGTACACGCTTACAACAGCATCAAGAGGCGCTTTCACAACCCCCGTATCCACCCTCACCTTCCACGCACGAAATGTCCCCACCATCACACTCGAAGCCTACCTCCTCCGCATACTCAAATACTGTCCAACCACAAACCACGTCTTCCTCTCCCTTCTCGTCTATTTCGATCGCATGTCCAAGCTGAGCCAAGACGCTACAGGACGGGCGTTCGTCATTGATTCATATAACATCCATCGATTGGTCATTGCGGGCGTAACAGTCGCAAGCAAATTCTTCAGCGATGTATTTTACACAAACTCGCGATACGCAAAGGTATCGTCCCATTTTTTTCCTTTCACGCCACCCACCTCTAATCACCGCGCTATAAATAGGTCGGCGGTCTGCCCCTTCCAGAACTTAATCAGTTGGAGCTTCAGTTCTTGCTACTCAATGACTTTCGACTCGTCATATCCAGCGCGGAGATGCAGCGCTATGCAGAGCAGTTGATGGTTTTTTCGCGATCGAGTGATCCTGCGCTTTTGTTGAAGCATCCTGCCATACAACAACCTCAACCCGTCGCCTCTTCATCATCAGCGTCATCATCACCTCACCGCCAAAATAAAACCAGCCCCCTAAGGGTCGTGTCGCCTAAAGGGATGGGCGCGATAGACGCTTACGGAGGCCACGTACCGAGTTCCGAATCTCATGCTGCTTCTATGGCAAAAATGCAAGCTGGTGTCCCGAAATTGAGCTACCCTATTCCTAGAACACCGCGTAGTGCGGGTGTTAATGGTCATCCTCCTCCACCGCCGTCCCCTGATACGCCGGACGACGAGGACGAGGTGGAGACGGAGACGGAGACGGAAACAGAGACGGATGGAGGATCAACGACAGACGACGAGCCTACGATTCGACCTGGTGATGGTGGGAGCGTGTGTAGTAGTGTGAGGAGCAGGAGGAATAGTTTGGCTAGTAGTGTTTGGGGGGACGAGGATGAGGATGGGGAGATGGAGGTTGTTGTTGATTCTGAGGCTAGGGAGGGTGGACGTGGACAGGAGGATGGGGAGAGGACTCCGGATACGTTTGGGAATGGTGGGAATGGAGGTGGGGTGAATGGACATGGACATCATGGAAGGGATGGAGATCATGCTATGGGGAGTCCCTGAGGTGGTGGGTGAATGAAGGTGGGGGAGGACAGGAGTCGGTTGAAGTTTTGGTTTGAACCGTTGTGTTGCCACTGCTGCTGGAATGGGCCGGGGTCACGTTGGGTGTTTTTTTGGTGGGGTTGGTTGGTGGGTGCTCTGGGTGTGTGCTGGGGCTCGCTCGGCCTCTTTGGTTGCTTGTCAGACGGCTCAAGCCCAAAGCAGAGAATCGCTCCCAGCCGTTGGTACTGGTCCAAGTACCTCAATCGTACATTTTGGCGAGGACGAACCCTCCAGCCCCTGCCCGCTCCCCGTTCGCCGCAATCTCAAAACCCGCCTACTTTGACCATAAATCGATAAGTTGTCCACTCATACACATGACCCGACAAATACACAACCCGAAACGCAAAAGCTGCTTTTTCGAATTCCGTGACTCCCAACCAAGCTCCTCATGCATTAACCCTTCCACGTTACCATATCAACCTCAGTTCCACGCTACCTACCAAACCGCATACTTATCAAACGCATTTCACTTTGCCACTTTGTCACTGCCATATACATGTTTCTGCAATACGCATACGCATATGAAAGTTTTTTTTTTTTGTAACATTTAGTCAATTTTTTTAATACATGCCAAGGATTCTGTTTCTCGTTCTAATGTATGATGTTAGATTATTACATGCAATACATAGGTTCAAAGAAAGAAAGGATCGAAGAAATGTTGATGTGTGGATCTGATAGGACGCAGGAAGCAGGGTCGGAGGAAGGTATTTATAAATGTTTAGTTCGGAGGTTGTTCGTTCCCTTCCGCTCTCCGAGTCATGTTGGTTTTTGAATTTTGATCTTTTGTCTGTCATGAACGTCAGTAACCCTTGTTACCGCTGTATGCACTGGAATTCAGAGGTTCTGAGTGACACCTTTTCTTGCGTCAACTTGAAGCCAGGCCACCAAACGCGATCTTCCTGAATTCCTGGTTCTTTGGGACGGTGGACTGGAGCTCGTGAAGGTTCCATGGATATTTCAGACCTGACCACCTCTCTGACTTGCTCACGACAAACGATGGTTGTTGAAGGGAACACTGAAGTCAAGCTCAGCTGGCGCCATGGAGAGACGATGTCTGGCTTGGTCCCTCGGATCTTGGATCACCGTGCTCTCGCCGCTTGGATTGGGGCTAGAAAGGACCACATATCGCCACCCGGCCTATACTCGAATGCGTTACAATAATTATTTTTACGATGCAGGAGGGAACACTCATTCACGGCGGGGAAAAGAGAATCCGTTTTCCTGATCCTATAGCTCGCGCCGGGCTTGGTTCGAAGACCTTGATATGGTAAGATATTGCAACATGATCACCCTTTTAACTCATTTATGACACGTGATGCTGTAGGACAAGGAATGTTCATAAAACATGACTAGCTGGTTGTTTATGGAGGGAAGGAGATATCTTCCTGATACCGTGGTTCGTGTCTTGGTGCTTGGGAGACATGATACATATAGTATGTGCACTAAATTATTCACACAACCTAGCAGAAGAAACTCATTCAAAATGACACAGATTCCCAATCTTGTTACGGAAGACTCTGGACCTCGGCCGCGGCCACTCTTGGCTTGAAGCTCACACGTATTTGTGCTGTCATGCGCCATACCCTCAGTCGTTGCTAAGCGATGTAAGCAACGTTCATACGGAATCCGAAGGCGGCGGAGGTGATGTCTCCCTGATCCGCTGGACTTTAAAATGGCTCCCTCGTGGACATTAACCAGCTCATCGGCACCCATTCACTATACACAATCGTATCAAAGAGGGACTCTTCAATTGCTATTGCTGAAGCTGGTGAAGCGAATCGTCTTCCTGATCCTTGGCTCACTCGCGTCCGGGAACCGCCAGTGGAAAGATACCGTACTATAGGACACGCCAATCACCCAATCTCCACTTTCTATATCGGCTTGCCTGGAGGAGCTCTGCCACCATGACCATCGTTCGTATTCACCGTTCTTGCAACCACCTGCCTTCGAGATGTTACTGCGCAAACGTTGCTGGTGGTGGGGCGAAACATCTTCCACTCTTGGCTTGGCTTGCAGCTCACTGGAAAGATACCATTGAAATATGTGCGCACGAGGGACAATCTCCACCCTTTACAACTCACTCGAAGGAGCGCTCATCGACAAACTGCGGAGAAGATTGTTCGGTCGCCTCTTGGGTTGAACGTGTGTTTTATCTCTCTGTTCTGAATGTATTCCAAGCTCGAACGTTGTGAACATATATAGCAATCAAAACCTTTATCAAGCGCTACTGGTTTGTGTTACCTGAATGGGACGGCTCAAGTTCAAATTGACCATGACGATTATTGTTATATTTACAGCTTGCAAGAATTGACATGAGAAGACGAATTTGGACTAAGGAAAGTGCGGTTATAGGGTATCTCCTTGTTGAAAGAAATCGAAATGAAAGAATGCACCAGACCACCACCGATCAAGCTCAAGAGCCAGGTACAGGAAACGCGATACGCCGCATTGTGGTGCACGGTAGACGCCCGTTGATTACTGATTGCGTGCAGCAGCGTTTGTCAACCCCCAAGTCCTTGCAGAAGTCCTCGCGAGTGCTCTCAGTCCCAGAGCGTCCGATCCAGGGACGTCGGCTGCTGAGAGCTGTGAAACACTATGCACGGCTTGTGCGAGCTCAGACGAGGGTTCGATCTCTTTGCGTTGGGTGTACACGTCAGTGAGTATTTTATGGAGAATTCGAAGATCCTATCGTTGACCATGGGGTTAATGTTAGATGAAGATAGGTGCGAGGCAGAACGTACGGGTGTTTCCAGCTTCCTCTTCCCCTTGATAAGACCCAGCAATGCCATCGCCCATTCAGCATGCTCGTTTTCGACCTCCCGGTCTGGCTCTTCACGTGGCTTTTCTTCGTGGTCCATCTTGGCCCTCTTGTTTGTCGTCGTCGGAGACTCGGGCGGTGTTTCTTCAATGTCCTCCACATCCTCCACCTGGTCATATGGCACAAATGCCACGGCAGGCTGGATGATGACCATTTCCTCCCTCATTCGCTTCCCAAGAACCGACTCTATGTGCAAGTTCTCCAATGGGGCACGTTGCTTATCAGCTTGCAATATATTCGAGGTTGAATACGTTCCCGTCCGTGGTAGCGAGGTGGATGATATAGTATCCAAATCTGGGATGATGAGCATATCGATTTCATCTTCAGATGCAAGGCCGTAGGGTTGACGCCCGACTGAGATTGGGACTGATTCGGCACGAGGTGAGGCGCTAGGCGAGGTGGATCTGAGATCAGAAGCAGGGGTAGACCTCTTGCTCTGGGGGTTCAGCCGTCAGTTTTTGGCATGGTTGGTCATATGAGGAAAACAAACACGCACCTTCAAAGATGGTTTGTGGGTCCCCCTTTCTCGGGTTTTACGGCCAGTCCCGAAGGTCTGCTCAATGAGTTCCTCCAGCGCTACGGAATCTGGCATCTCGTGCACAGCCTTGCTCGTTCCCTTCTCCTCCATGATACCCTCCACCTTGTGCTTCTCTTTCATCGAAGCCAGTAAAAACCTCACGTTCATAGCGACGAGCGAAGTCTCTCTATTCTCGAGTGTCTTGCGAAATCGCACAGGAGCCACGTCCGCTTCACACCAGCTCTCTAGTTCCTCCTGGTTGGCCTCGTACGCCTGTGCTACTTTGCCATGAGGGTATAGGAGCTGCTGCTTGTAAACAACGTTCTCTTTCGCACGACGTGCATAGACTCTTCGCGTCGTTTCCTGCGCCGATTCGGAAGCTAGAGTGGAAGCCGAGGCGGACATTGGAGGAGGTGCCGTATAACGGTGCAGGACATTAGGTTTGGGTTTCGCTTGGACTCGAGGTGAGGGCGAGAGCATTAGTTGGGCGTTGGCTGCGAAGGTTGCGGCGAGTGCTTTTTCCAGGCTGGTCATAGTCTTGGTCTGAAGTATTGTCGACGATAATTTGAATGGAACTCGTGGTGGAGATGGTGGAGATGATGGTTTAATAGGTGGAGATGATGGTAACTGGGCATCGGAGAAGATGCTCCCGCTTGGGGAGTGGCTGAGAGTGGACAAAGGCAGTCGGGTCGTGGAACGACGTTTCCTAGCGTTTTCGATGGTGTCATCCATCTCAAGGCCGTACGTGTCGAGGATCTCGACGTCGCGATGAATGTCACCAACATCAGTGGTTGGAGCTCCTTTGATGTCGACAACTTTCACGGGGGTGGGCGTGTCTATGAAAACACCTAGAAACCCGCTTTTCTGACGAATTCGCTGCGACCAATCGAGAGACGGAGCACAAGAGTTAGAAAGCAATGTTCCTTCCCGTCCCGCTTGCGGTAAATTGTCTCCAACCTTGGACTTGAAATCAATTTCTTGAGTTGTCTTCCAGCGCTCAAACGTTGTCGTCATTGATCTCGCAAAATCAGTCAAACTATGTGCAAGCGAAGTCGACGCGGAGGAAATGATTTTGGAGTCTATGATTGAAGCTGCATTTGAACGTGAAGGTGCTGAAGAGGGTGAAGGTGCTGAACCCGTCTTTTTCTTTGAGGCCGACTTTCTTATGGAGATTGGTGGTTGCGAATCTGGACGACCGTCGTTGCCGGTGCTGGAGCGTGACGTTGGTGGGGTCGGATAGCGGCCGCTCGATGTCGAGATATCTGCAGCTGCATTGGATCTGCGGCGATGGGTAAAAGGACGTGGTGGAGAGTTTGGAGGAACCACCTCTCCCGAACGCTGTGATCCATCCCCACGTGACTTTATTGGGGTCGGAAGCTTTCTCTCAAGCATGTCCGTTTCTAGTTCGTCTTCATCAGATCCGCCTTCTGATGGTTCACTGGACATGCTGGGAAGTGCCGTCCACGATGGCAGGTCGTCTTCAATGGATGTTCGCAATCCTTGGCTACTGAGTGGGTTGGAGTAGCTTGGTTCAAAGGTTGTGTTCTTTGCTTTCTGTCTCGTTGTTCCATTTTGACTAGAGGTCATTCCAGTTAGCATACAATCAATTGACTAGCCAGTGAAGATTGTTTTCGGGGAAGTTGGGGAATGCAAGTTGATGAGGTTCTGCAAAATTGTAACACAAAGCATCAGCAATATTGTTTGAAAGCATGTGCCAGCACAAGCAGATGATTAAAAGCTGCAGTGTAGCCCTGTCAGCCTTAGACCAGCATGTAGTTGGCAGTTGCTGGCTGCACAATACAAGAAGAAACAGAGTGGCAAATTGCATGAGGAAGCTCTGGTCATGGTCTGACTAGGCAGACTAGCATTTGGTTAAGGTCTGCCAACCAAGCAAATATCCTTCCATACTGAGCCTCATGATAGGAACAGCATGATAGAGGTGCCCTGAGATATGTACTGGGAGATGCAAATGACAGCATGTCCCATAGAAAGGATGGGTGGAACAACAGTAAAGAAAGATAGAGGGGTGCAGTGAGGCCCAATGCCATTTGAAAATAGAACACCCAATAGAAGTCAGAGCATAATTTGTGCTCACCAGGCAGCAAATTCCTGACTGAGGTTTCTCTATGATCTGATATTCGTTGAAACAGTGTTGGAATGTGTGGCAGGACTTGTTGGCAGTGGTGATTTAGGTGATGGAAACAAAGGTATCTGATGAAGATGTGGATGACAGATTGATCAGTTATTTGTTGCTATTTGGCTTTTGATGCTTTTGTTTAGGGCAGGTCCTACCAACCTTGGCACCCCCCTCAGTTAGAAGTCACAAAATGTCACACTTTTTGGCAAGCATGATCAATTGTGACTTCTAAAAAAAAAGAAGTTTGTCAATTCATCATTTTTTTTTTACAAGAAAAGTGGAAAAAGGTTGGATTAGACCCAGGCTCCTAAAAGCAGCCACTTGTATCGCTCGATGAGTCTCTACATACTATTAGCAGTATGACAAATTTTATGATGTGATCATTGATGGGAGTGGGTGACTTTCCGTAACTCAAATCTATAAAAATGAATAAATTTGACCCTTATCGGAGTTTGAAACGAGAACTTCACAGGAGGGTTTATTGGAGTGAATAAACCGTAACACCAACTGATTAGATTCTATTTGATGTATTTGCTTGCCTTGTACAAACTCACTTCCCTCCCATCTGAGCTGCTCTGAGGTCGTGTAGGCCCGTGGATGGGTTTATTATACTGATTATTCATCCACCCTGCTGTAAAATTAGACCACACTCTGGGTGAAGCCCAAAAAATCCCAAGTTGAGCTGAACATGGCTGTGGATCAGTGAGTTAGGTGTCAAGAAGGGTGTTTGTAAAGGGAGCAACAGTTTCCAGGAGGGGATTTTGTAGCCATAAGACATTGACACTTCTAATAGACTCTGTAGTGGCTTTGAACTGCAACGAGAGGGAGCAGAATGCCCCAGCCGTATGAGAGTAGGTAGAGCTGACTAAGCCATGTGGGAAGGAATCGTACCCAGGAAGGAAAGGTGTCCCCTTGGCAGGGTTGATTCCAGTGTTTGAAATCTGTTCGAGGGGTCTGTACCCTCTGAATAGATTAAGGTTTGTAACTGGGTTCCAACCAGGGACTCCATCAAAGTCGAACCCTTACAAGACTCGGCATCCCGGCAAAGGACCCTAGATTTCGTCGATTTATTCAAATCTAGAGAATTTGTGTTATGGAAAGTCACCCAGTGAATAAATAAACAAAACTAAGGACTCAAGCTCACAATAGAGCAGCTGCCAGAAAAGTCAGTTGGGGAACTCCAAGACCATTGATTAACTCTAATGATGGGTCCCAAATCTGCAAGGACCCTGGCGCGTCACATTTCAGTCACCAACACTGTTTTGGCCATGCTTGAGTGGGGTGCACAGTGTTGAGACTTGAGAATAGTGTCCAGGTCCTCAATAATCAACAGTGTGAAGGGATGGTTTTCAAAAATGTTTGTCAATAGAATCCCATGAAGAAATTGGTGGGATGAAATCTCTGAATCCTCAAGGCCTTCACTCAAAGGCCTTCATATGACATAGATTTCACTTCATTGAGGTATTGTAGATTTGCCATTGGGTAGTTACCATCATGGGCCCTTCAAGTTAGGATACAATACTGCTTTGAACCTTATGCAGGTCTCTTGTTATGGTTGTTAAGCATAACAGGCAGTTATGTTAAGCTTTCAGTTCTATCGTTCGTTCGTCTACCACAGTTCTCGTTGTTGAGACAAAGTGGGTCACTACAATGTTCGCTTAGCCCTTTAAAGCAACACAGTAGGTTCTAGTAGCCTTGTACCTCGAAGGGTAAAACAAGGTTCTATGATATGTTGACTTCTGTTAAGTCAAACATGTATTAAGTCTTCAACGTTGAAGACTTATTGTCAAGGTTTCAAAAGAGACTCTAAGTCAAAAGATTTATAGAGTTCGAGGGGGATCTTAGTTCTGAGGTTTCTGAGGGAGAACCAAGCTTAGATTGCCTAGGTTCAAGCTACCGAATACAAACGAAGGTAGCACTACTTATATACTAAAACAAAAGAAAAAGATATCGTACAACATCTAAAAAGTGGTACAATATAAAAGTGGTACAATGTAAAGTTGTACGACAAAAGAAAAGAAAGTCGTACAATGTAAGAAATTGTATGATAGAGAAATGAGGCCTGGAATGCATGTCTAGAGCTGTCTAGTATGGTCTAGATACATCTTAAGAGTATGTAAGTGTCTGCGCATGTATGTACATATGAGGAAAAAAGAGTCTGTAACATTACCCCCCATTTAAACTTCAATATCACTGATATTGCCAGATGAAGAAGCAACAGAGTTGAAATTGCTGACCAAGTCTTCAAAGTCAAAGAGAGGAGATGGGTGGGTCGTAGGGGAGTATGGATTATAGAGAGGGGACGACAGTGGGGTTGGTGGGAAGAGAGGTGGCATTGATGGCGAGGAAGGCGGTGAAGGGGAGGTCAAGTCGATGACCTCAGGCTGCTTCCTGGGGGTATTCCAATCTTTGTTCAGGATGACCAGTACTCCTGCCCAATTGTAGACCTTGTTTTTCCACATCTGTTCTCCTGTTTTCGTATCATATCCCCATAACTTATATCCTGCAGCGTTCATCTGTTTCTCTTTCTCCCATGCTTTATCGGCTTCTTTCTTCGTTTTGCAATTGGGGGTAGTATGTCCTGGTCCCCACCAAAGGCACCCTCTGCACTGGTAATCGCTGCAATCCTTACAAATAGTGTTTAAAGGTTCAGTCCATAGGACCACAAAAAACTGGTGGACTGAACTGAACTGGACCATGGACCGGTCTTTTTTTCGGTTGCAGTTGCCCCAATTTGGGGTTGGTCTGGTTGGTATAATAAATTATACGCAAAAAAAACTGGTCTGGATCGGTCTGAACTGGCTCCATAGACTGCAAAAGACTGGTCCTAGGTGGTTCGGTTCGGTTCCCTCAATATCTGGGTCGGTCCTAGACCGGTTGCAGTCCATGGTTGCACGTTTTGGGGGCAAAAAACCGGACTGAACTGAACTTGCGAACACTACTTATGAATGTGACCAAGCCTTTTGCATTTCAAGCAGCGGCAGGTAGGGGTGTGTCGGTAAGGATGATGGGCAGTGATTCGAGGGGATGTTGGGAATTTCTTCCCATAGGCGTGGATCTCGGTATTGAACTTCTCAAAATACTGTATAATTCCCTGTCCTGCGAAATGGCTTGGGATGTAGTCAGGGACAGCAGGGAGTTTGTTGCAATAGCTTCTAAAATGAGATGAAGGTCGAGGGAGAGGGTGGAATCATTCTGGCAGGTGTCGATGAGAGCATAGACATTTTCTTCTTTTTGAACAAGGTGTTCAATGAAGAGAGTGGCGGTGAGGAATGATTCAGAGTTGAAAAGGGAGGCATACATGTTTAAAGAGGAGGGTTGGTTGCGAAGAAAGCTGATTGGCTTGATTGCGAGTTTAGACGATTGTCTGAGGATTTTACTGGAGATTCTTTCTCTTCTTATAGTCTTTGAGAATCTCAGAAGCATTCTTCAAATTGCTTTCTGGTTCCCAGGTTTTGTTGGAATATCCTTTCCATTCCACTAGATAATGGTATCTTTTGCCTCATTTTCTGTGATCTCTGATTGAATCTACTTTGTATTCCTCTTCTCCTTCGATAAGGTCAGGAGGGGGTTCAGGGAAGTTCTTTCTGTGAACATCGGTTTCGCGATATGGGGTAAGAAGTTTTCCATGGAAAACATTGTGTATGGTGGAAGTTGAAGTTTGTATGTTACTGGCCCCATGATTTCTTCGATCTTGAAGGGTCCTTCGCGTAATGAGTCTATCTTTGGGAATTTGTGACCTCTGTTGAGGTGTTGCCCATCTAACCATACTAAGTCTCCTTTGCTAAATGGAGGAGAGTTTTTCTTAGATCATTTAATTTGAGCTTGTCGTGCCAGCTCATGTGCGGCTCAAGCGTCGTCTCTTACTTTTAAGAGTTCTGATAATCTTCTTTCAACTGCAGGGACATTCGTCTTTGAGAATGCTACTGGGACTCCAGTATAGTGTTGCCGCAGCTCGGCTAGCCAAGAGCCGGCTGATGTAAGCTGGCTAAATTTCCTTAAATGGCTCAGCTCGGCTTTTAGCTGACTCAAAGCTGGCTCAAGCTGGCACATAATTTTTAAAGTGATGTGACTATAAATCTGAGTAAATTAGATGCTGTCTACCTGATAGATACACAATGTAATGTATGTTTCAAGCATAGAACTATGATAGAAACTCTAGGGTTTTAAATATAAATATAGATTCGCAAAAAATAGGGGAGGATGTGAGATAGCATAGAAATCAGAGCACATATGGATGTCATCTCTTCAGGACCTTCAAATGTGACTAGAGTACAATGTAAACGAGCCTTCAATGATGAAAAAAGGTGGAAAGCTGACTGAGATACAGCTTAACCCCCCCAAAACCAGAAAATGTGGAATATCTTGAGAACATGGACATGCAAACCTCTCGTCTTTTCACGACCTTCAAATGACACTATAATAGATTGTAAACGAGCCTTAGATCATAAGAAACAATGGAAATTTGACTGACCTAGTGTACTTGCCTCCCCAAACAGAAAATGTAACATTTCTCTGGAACGCAGACACGTAAACCTCTCGTCTCTTCAGGACCTTCAAACGACACTATAATAGATTGTAAACAAGCCTTAGATCATAAGAAATGATGGAAATTTGACTGACCTAGTGTACTTGCCCCCCCAAACAGAAAATGTAACATTTCTCCAGAACGCAAACACGTAAACCTCTCGTCTCTTCAGGACCTTCAAACGACACTATAATAGATTGTAAACGAGCCTTAGATCGTAAGAAATGATGGAAATTTGACTGACCTAGTGTACTTGCTCCCCCAAACAGAAAATGTAGCATTTCTCTGGAACGCAGACACGTAAACCTCTCGTCTCTTTGGGACCTTCAAACGACACTAGAATACGTGTAAACGAGCCTTTACGAAGGAGAATGATG